CTGACAAATAGCCTGACTCGCAGGAGTCTGCTACATCGACTAAGGGTTTGGGATGGGGCAGCAATCATTTCATTCATCATTCTTTGTTTTTTTTCTTCTTTTTCCAAAAAAACAGTATGGATAAAAGTAAGCAAAAAAAGTGAACAAATGCTTATTAAAATACGCTTTAGTAAGTGTATATATATAAAAAGTAAAAAAAAAAATTAAAAAAAATTTATATTTAATATTTTATTAAAGCAAAAAAAAAATCGATTGTAAAATAATATTTTATACTTTTTACTGCTAATTTAGTAGTAGTAATAATTAAAAAAAATTATTTTGCAAACGATTTTTTTTTTTTTTTAATTTTACAATTAAGAATTATTTTAAGTATTATATGTTATTAATATTACTATAGAACAATTATTATATCATTATATAATACTATTATAATGACTGAACACAATTATTATGATATAATAGCAAAATACAACTATTATTAAAAAAATACAAAAATTTAAAAACAACATGCTTTACTCCTTGCTCACATTTAGTCCGCTTAACTCATTTTGTCGCTGGCAAAGTAACAAGCCGTAACGGCAACGTTAACGTCTAAAAAAAGTTTACCCGCCAAATAGTTGATGTACGTAATCGGCAGAAATTATTATAAATTTGTTTTACAATTTATTATAATTTAATTATCTATAAAAAGAAGTATATAAATATATATATATTAACAACAAAATATAAAATAAAAAAGCTATTGTAGTATATAAAAATAAATAAAAAAACAAAATATAAAATAAAAATATAATAACAATTAGAGATTTGGTGTTAAAATAATAAAGAACGCGAAAATTCAAAGAAGGCGGATAAGATTTTGAATTTGAACATTAAAACTTTTTTTTGATTTGCGTACACACTTAAAAAAATAGAAATTTCTACCTTAAAGTAGGATATAAGATATATACTTAGTAAGGTATAATTTTATACCTATTAAAGTAAAAAATTTAATCATGGGCCGTTTAAAACCGTGAATTTCCGTTGCGATAAAAAAAGTTAACGAAATTTCCTTTAAAATCCTTACATTAAAATTTATTAACGGTAATTTTCCGTTAACGACCATTAACTTATTTAACGGACGTTAAACTCCCTTAACGGCCGTTAATTAAAAAAAGTCAACTTACTGAAATTTATCAGCTAGAAACACTTTTTTTTTTTTAATAAAAAAACTTATTTAAATTTAAATTATACTTTTAAAACTCAAGTTATAAGTTTAACAAATGTACAAAAATGTTTTGAATTTTCATTAAAGCTGTAAAATAATGTTTTTATAAATTTATATTAATACATTTATAAAATTATCTTTTTTAAAAAAAAACAGTTTGATAAAGTTTTCGCTTATAAAAAATTTTTGCTAAAAATTTTATATAAATTATTAAATTTTATAAAACCTTTAGTTCAATAATCGAACTGTATATTAAGAATTTTTTTTTTTTTTTTTTTTGCTCATTGTTTTTCATTCAACACAGCTCAGAAATTTAAGGTTTAAGTTTACTATCGGAGCACCCCAAAAATGTTAATAAAATAATAAGTGGGGCATCTGGACACTTCATTTTCATATTTTAAAAAATCTGGGAGGTATCACATTTTTAGAAAATTGACATTGAAAATCTGCTAAAAAGTCATTTTTTTCGTATTTAAAAAAACTAACCGAAACTAGACCGAAAGTTTAAGTTTATTTAAAAAAATAGTCATACTCCAACTTTTCAAGATCTTTAATATAATATTTATGCATAAATATTATTAGAATACTCAAAGTCAAAAAAAATCATTTTGTAATAAAACTATTGATTTTTGATTATGCTTTTTATTTTCATTTTACAATAGATACCTATTTTATAATATCAACCCTCGGAATTAGGGTCGGTATTCGGCAATGCCAACCTAACTGCCGACCTCGTTTCTATGTTTTATGGTAAGACCTTTAAATCAAATTTTCTTGCCGACTTGATGCCGACATTTAAAAAATTGAGGTCGGCAATAATTTGCCAACCCCATTTTTACTAATTCCGAGGGTTGTAATATAGATACCCATATATTATTATTGATACCGTAAAACGGGGTGAATAGAAACAATTTTCAACTTTGGTATGAAAATGTGCATACTTGTAGTTGTTCTAGATAAACAATTTTTTGCCCAAACACAGGTCTCTGTTAGGCTTATTTGTTTATAGTATTTAAATTTTTTAATTTTATTTGATTTTAAAGAAAAATATATAAAGCATGGTGTTTCTATTCACCCCGCAGATGGGGTTGAATAGAAACAGTACTTCAATTTCATGTGTTTTTCTATTGAAAAAAATTTAGGGTGAATTGAAACAGACAAATATGGATTTTTGGTCAATAAATGAATACAAATAAATTTATTTCTCAACATAATGATTTATTTGAGTACATAAACAAAAGAAGTTACATATAATGTGCCCTACGGTAAGAAAACAAATTGGAATAGTCCTCTTCATCTTCTGATTATATCTCCACACGCTTTCGGCTTTTCTTTGGCTGAACCGTTTAGTACCTGAGGTACTTGGGTTTTGGCCAGTAGAACGTGAAGTTTGGGGAATCTCATCGTCCACGACGAAGTCCTCAACACCAATACTTTTGCTAGGTTTCACATTTACTTTGGTCCTTTTTTGCCTTATCTTAGGAGTCTGATCATGACGCAGACTCTGAAGGAGCTCTTGGAAACTCCTGTCAACAGCTTCAGTGTTCTTTTGAATGTTTTCTGAATTCTGATTTTCCTCATCATTAATGATTTTTGGAAGCATAGACAGCACTTTGTTCCGTTTAGAGGCGCTATACCGCACTTCTTAAAACCGCTGATCACATTTTCTTCCTTCAATGAAGCACACAACTTTTTCAATAACGCGGGAAATTTGTCCTTAGGAACAGTTGCTTCTGCTCTTCCTGGGCCCTTTTTCCACTCTTCGAGAATCTGCCGCCATGTTGATTTCAATGGGCGAAAAAAGGCTACGTCTAGAGGTTGTGTGAGATGGGTGGAGTTAGCTGGGAGAAAAATAAAACTGATATCATTGTCTTTACACAACTTCACAGATTCCATTGATAAGTGGGAAGACAAATTGTCCCCAATCAGAATTTTTCGACCCGTTTTGTTTTTCAGGTACGGAAGAGCAACTGTCAGTACCCAATCTTCAAAGCAAAAGAAATCGAACCAGCCAGACTTTGTTTGATTGTACCGGGCGTTTTTTGGCCCACCTTCTGTCCAGCTTTGGTACAAGTGCATAGCCTTATACACAACGTAAGGTGGTAAAATAGTGCCATCAGCAGCGGCTGCAAACATCACAGACGTAGATGACTTTGATGAGTTTATGACTCTTTCTGGATATTTTGTCCCTCTACGTATAATGACCTTTCGCTTACCAGGGTCATCACTTAGATTCGTCTCATCGTAGTTAACGATATTAGATAAAGGCACATCCTTTAATTCATTTGTCAGTTCATCAAAATAATGGTTAATTGTTTCTGGCGTTACACCAGCCCTCGAGCGTTTAATATTCGGACACATTCTCACGGCCAGTTGTTCCATGACGTTTTATAAATGATTATACAAAGTCACGGCCGGGGAGGTTATCTTTAAACCTCTTAACTTCTTTCCCTCTCCGGTCTAAAAAGTCTTTTACAAGGAGTCGTAGAGTTGTAGTGTCAATGGGATAACCCCATTTGCCACATATCTTAAGCCTATCAACAAACAGCTGTTCTTCTTCAAGAGATAATGCTGTCTGACCACCATGTTTCTTCAAATTTGGGCCTCTTTTCAAGTGTCGATAAAGAACACTATAATGCAAACCATGTTTTTCAGCAGACTTTCGAAGGCTTAATCCATTCTGTATGTCAGAAATTGTTCTTTCGATTGTTTTTGGATTGTGCTTTTTGTAGCCACCTCCAACCACGTGTTTGTACTTCCTTGGCATTTTACAGGGTTCTGAAATAAAACAGCTGTGTCAGTTAAGTGTCTAACATAAATATATAGCATACAGTATGTATTTTATACAGTATAAACGTGATTTAGAATTACTTTTTTATTGCGGGGTGTAAAGAAAACTTGACCAAAACTATTGCACATCTGGAAACATTTGTTGATTTGAGTGGTCTTTCCCTTGGGCAGTTTAACGAGTATACATCTGATACTTACCATTCCAAGATAAAAAGTGTAATAAACAGGTTTAGAGTTTTGCAGTGCAGCAACAAACATAAGGAAAGAAGCAAAAGAATTTCTGAAGTGTTCAGTTTAAATAATTTATTCAGTTTAATGTTCAGTTTAAATAAGTTATTGAACATACATCAACTTTACATCAAAACACAAACATTATTGAAATCTTAAGTTAAAAAAATTTGTAAATTTACTCAAAAACAATTTTAAAATATTTTATTTAGTATTTATTATACTATTATTGTTTATATATTAGGTTGTTAGGCAACTATGCATACAATACTACTATTCTACTAAATAACTTATATATTATTAAGACGTTCTACTTTACGAAGCATACTAAGTTCCTAAATTAATTTTAAACGTATCTAAACTTTTTTCGCCAACTTAAAGCAGTCTAATGATGTTGATGTATAAACACAAAATTAAAAAAGCATAAAAAGTTGGAATATAAACTTATTTTATGCTAACCTTACTATTCTGTCAGTATATTTAGCTTTTTTAAATACGATAAAAATGACTTTTTAGCAGATTTTTAATGTTAATTTTCTAAAAATGTGATACCTCACAGATTTTTCTAAATATGAAAATAAAGTTTCCAGATACCCTATCTAATATAAATATTATTATTTTTGGGGTACTCCGATAGTAACCTTTAACCTTAAATTCTGAGCTGTGTCAACCGAACTTCGATTAAGTGAAACTTTTTATTGAACAACATAAACAAATTTTTTTAAGTAAAACTAACAAAATTAACGGAATCAACGGAAGTTAACAAAAAAATATCGGTCCGTTGAAAAATTTTAATGCAAATTTTTCGTTATTACCGTCCGTTAATTTTTTTTAACATAACGGACGTTAACGTAACGGACGGATTTACAAGACAGGAAAATCAAACGCTTATGCTTAAAAAAACTATATTAAAAATAGTGGTTTGTCATACAATTTTCTACCTTAAAGGTGTAATTTTCTACTTTAGAAGGTTGTCAAGTGAAAAATTAACACTTATTCCACATGGGTTCCATGTGGGATACTATGGATCCCAGACGGAACCAGTCTTCATTTTTACCAAGGTCACTTATGGGACTAGAGCCGGCGTCGAACTTTGGACTTCTAGGCTCTGAAAACTCTAACTACTGCGCCACGGCTATGCTCAAACAATAATGATATTTATTTATATAATGATTACAGTGATAATTTTTATCAAAATGATAATAGTACAAGTAACATTAGTAAAAATATATTAAATTATTATAGAAATCTATTTCATTTCCAATAAGACTTCAAGCAACTACTATTGCGTTGGGAGTTACTAGAATAAAAACAAAGAATAGAGTCAAAGAGCGTAGAAGCAATAAAAAAAGACTTGAAAATTTTGTTGGAGTTAAAATTTACAAGCCACTGGAAGGCCCAAGCTGTTGCAGAAGTGAGATCAGATTTAAGATTGGTTGCCTGTTCTAAGCAATTAAAAAAGGAGGAATAAAGTGGAGTAGTCAACAACATCTCTTTAAATGTAAGATTGTCAGTAAGATTAAATATAAGATTGTCAGTAAGATTAAATGTAAGATTGTCACGAAGATTAAATGTAAGATTGTCAGTAAGATTAAATGTAAGATTGTCAGTAAGATTAAATGTAAGATTGTCAGTAAGATTAAATGTAAGATTGTCAGTAAGATTAAATGTAAGATTGTCAGTAAAAAAATTTAAAAAATTTTTATATATCAAGCAAATATGGAGAAGACCAGCAAAAAAATCAGAAATATAGTCAACAAAAAACTGCAATTGTCAAATTGTATTTGGTGTTAAGAGAGAAGAACCTTGTGAACCTCTCTTACTTGGAGAATTAATTCGAAAATTATATTTGTTTTTAGGTTTCATACAATAATAATTTTGTAATACATTTGGCGACAAATTTTCTCTACATTTAAACATGAAACATAAAATATTAAAGACATTTAGTTGATATACATTTAAAATATTCATTTCTTTAAAAAGTTGTTTCGTGTGAAAAAACCGATTTTTAAAATTTATTACGCGAGTTGCGTGTTTCTGATGAAGGTAAAGAGATTTTAGCTTTGTTCCGTGAGTGCTTCCCCATATAATATTCGCGTAGTTTATATGACAATGTATAAATGAATAATATAATTGTGTTAACTGGTTTTTACTTAATATATTTCTTGCTTTATAGAGAATTCCGATGCATTTAGCAATTTTGTTGGAGGTATTATCAATATGATTTCCCCAAGATAGGTTTTCATTAATATATACTCCAAGAAATTTAGTAACTTTTTCTCTTTTTATTATTATAATATCAATTAGAAGGTCTAGCATGATATGGGGCAGTTTCTGGTATTTTAAAGGTGGATAAAAAGTGTCCATTTAGTTTTTTCTATATTTAGAGACAATCTATTTTGTTTAAACCAAACAGAAACTTTTTTTAATTCATTTGTCATATTTGTAAAAAGCATATTAATATCTTTATGAGACAAAAACAAATTTGTGTCATCTGCAAAATTTATTGTTGTTAAATTTGATGATTTATGAAGATCATTTATGTATATTAAAAAAATAAGAGGACCAAGTATGGATCCTTGTGGAACACCACATGTTATATTCTTTAATAGATGAGATATAGAATCTTTATTGTAAACAAACTGTTTACGGTTAGTAAGATAACTTTCAAACCATAATAGGGTTTTATCTTTAATACCATATGATATTAGTTTTTTTAACAGGATTTGATGATTGACGGTATCAAATGCCTTGGACAAATCAATAAACACTCCTAGTGTAAAACAAGAGTCTTTAAATGAGTCAGTTATATTGATAAGAGAGTTACAAGATAAGAGTAGATTCGGTTGTACATTATTCTTTCTAAAATTTTTGAAAAAACTGGAAGAACTGAAATAGAACGATAATTTGTTACATTTGTACGATCCCCTGTCTTGAAGATTGGAGTTACTTTTGCTATTTTTAGTTTATCTGGAAAAGACCCTTGTGAAATGCTCTGAAGATTTTATAAAGAATATCTTTTATAACATCGTATGAATCAATCACAATATTTGTGTTAATATCATCATACCCAGTAGCTTTATTTCGTTTTAATGACTTAAAAGCAACCTCAAATTCATTAAAAGCTAACTCAGTAAAATTTAGATTAGAACTTATTGATGTTTCGAACTCATCAACAGATTTATCTTTAATGAATGAAATACTATCGCTTAATTTTGTCCCGACAGTGGAGAAAAACTTGTTAAATTCAAATGCAATATCATTTGGGTCATTTATTAATTTGTTTTCAATTTGTATAAAATTTGGGAGTAAATTTTTATTTGGTTTAAGTTTTCCAGACACCTCCTTCATGATTTGCCAGACGCGTTTTGAGTTGTGCTTATATTAATTAAGCAAGTTTGAATAGAGCTTTTCAAATAAGTTTTTATAAGTTTTATAATTTTGTTTATGTTTTTCTGATTTTGATTTTAGATATTTAATGTATAGCTTCTGCTTAATTTTTGATGATTTTCTGATACCTTTAGTAATCCAGGGAGATGACATTTCTTTATCGCTTAAAACTATTTCAATTAAAGGAAAGTTGGAATCATACGCTTGGTAAAAAGTTTTGAAAAAATTGTCGTAGATTATGTTGATATTATCATTAAAGTTAATATAACCCCAATCTATATGTGATAATTGTTCTCTGAAAGAATTTAAATTATTATTGTTGATAAGCCGTTTTTTTATTAATAACTTTCCCTGCTTCTCTTTTTTTAAATTAATAGAATTAATAGAATTATAGAAAAAAAAATCGGGAAGTGATCGGAAACATCGGTTTTTATAAATCCCTTTTTCAGCGACTTATTAAAAAAATCGGTTGTTAAAATGTTATCAATTAATGATGATGAATGACTTGTGATTCTAATCGGGCGATTAATTAAAGGTATTGTTCCAGTTTCAAATAAGCCATTAAAAAAATTTCTCGAACTTTGATTTTCATAATAATCAAAGGAGTTTATGTTGAAATCCCCGATCAAGTAATTTTTTTTCTTTTCAAGATCAGTTTTCTTTATTATGTTATTTAGTAAAAAATTGCCAAAGTTTTCAATTCTTCCAGTTGGTGGCCAGTAACAACAGCTTATTAGTATATTTTTTGAACGCTTATTGATAAGTTCTATTGTTAAAATCTCTTTGTTTTCATCAGAAACACACATTTTGCTTCGAACTTTATATAGAAGTTCATTTTTAACAAAAAATAAAACTCCTCCTCCTCGCTTATTTGTACTTCGTTCTAAATTTACTGGATCAAAACCTGGGAGATGGAGATTTGAGTTATTTTTAAAATCTGCATGTAAACACCAGGTTTCAGTTAAACAAATTAAATTAAAAGAACTTTCCGCTTCGCTAATAAAATTTGATAAGTTTTCAAAATTCTTTATTAAGCTACGTATATTAATGTGGACTGCATTAAGACAATCACTTTTATTTTCGCTTTTTAAAATTTTGCTCACGCTACTAGGATAAAATTAGAGGTTTCAAATTCAGAAGAATTAATTTCATTAAAATAATTAATATCCAGATCGGATTCGTCGTCTAAGTGTAATGCATGGGTTTCAAATAAATTAATTATTTTTTCAAAATCATTCTTATTTGTTTCCATTTTCGCTATAATTTACATTTGGCAATAAATAATAGTGTGCGACATGTTGAAAGTCTTTTAGGAAGACTTAGTGATTAATTTATTGCATACCACTTTAGCATATAACGTATATTTAAATATAATGTAAACAAATAAATAAAATTAAGAAAAACTACTTTATTTGTGTATTCCACTCGCGTACAATAAGCTTGTCGTAGGAAATATATGCAAATTTTCCCGATTGTCTTTCAATTTTCATTTTCTCTCGCAAGTCTTTTCTTATTCGATTTGTCTCCGCGCAAAAGTCTTTATTGATAAAAATATTCTTTCCTTTTAATTCTGAAGAGTTTCTTAAAATTGCTTCTTTATCTTTAAAATCCAATAATTTCACAACAATTGTTCTGTGCTTTTTTATATCTTCTTTACCAGCTCTATGCGCTCTTTCAATTTTTACATCTTTTATGCCCAAGTACTCATCAAATATTTTTTTAACTTTTATTTCGCTTTCTAGCCAGCTTTGATTATCATCTTCTTTAACTCCTTCAATTCTTAGATTGTTCCTTCTTGATCTATCTTCTATTTCTCTTAGCTTGCTGTTTATTTTTTTGAGTTCAATGTTGTTATTTTGAATTTCGTTGTGAGTAGGTATAATAATGATAAAAACATTTTGTCTATTTTTTGCTCCAGCTATTTATGTTATTTTATATGTATGTACATAAAAATTGTATTTATAGTAAAAGGCGAAATAAACTTAAAAAAATTGTATTCAGACTAAACATGGGATGTAAGAAGTTTATCGATCAAAGACTCAAAGACCTTGCTATTAATAGATAGAAAACTGATCGGGCAATAATTAGAGGGGGCAGAATGTTCTCCAGAGTTTTTAAAAATTAGAAACGAAAATGCTATTTTCAAGTACTCAGGGAAGATTTAGTCAAGCATTTGTGAAATAGTTTAGAAAGAATTGAAGAGAGTTCTGGAGAACTCTTTTGTAAGACTGTGACAGAATGTTGTCTGTATCACAAGCCATAGAAGAGTTTTGTTGAGAAATGACTTTGGTAATGGAAGCCGGGTTTTAACATTGTTTTCATTTAACTGTTATAGCAGGAAAACTATGATCATTAGATTAAAGAGTCGAATTAGAAAAAAGATATACGCAAATATTTCTGCTTTATCCTTTGGAGGGGTAATATGATCTTTGGAGAGGTAATATGACCTTTGAATTAGAGATGGAACGTTCGACTTATACGAAATTTAGTAAACTGGGAATAATGGAGCTTAACATCAGACAGCACCTTTTTACATTAATTTTTTGCAATAATAAAAGGCTTTTATTAATGTCCTCAAGAGTGTTGTTCTTTTAAAAAAAAAGATTTAAAAAAAATAATTACGAACACGACAAAAACATCAGCTTAAAGACCATCAATAAAATAATCACGAAAAGAATCCCAGTTCGAAAAAATACAAGATTCATAGAGGTTGTTACATGGTCGAAACCAAATAAAAGAGAATACAAGAAGAAACCAAACACAAGCTTGGGTAAAAGACAAAACACAAATCAAAAATTGGAGGTAAGTGATTTGATTTGCTGGAAAACGAGTCACAAAGTTAATTTAGTAAGTTTTTCAGAAATACAAAAGTTTTTTTTTGTTTGTTCGTTCATTTTCGCCGTTTAATAACTTATACAATTTAAAATTTTATAAATAAAACAATAGCGGGGCAAGTAGATGGCATTATTTTGTCTTATCACCGAGCCCTAATCGTACGTATTTACAATAACCATATAATATATTCATACTTTACAAATTATTTATTGAAAATTATAAAAGTAAAGATAAATAACAATTAGTTTAAGAAATACTTCAAGAACAATATTGATGTTGAGAGTAATAATCAAGTAAACAAGAAAAATCGAAAGAAATGTATATATATATATATATATATATATATATATATATATATATATATATATATATATATATATATATATATATATATATATATATGTATATATATATATATATATATATATATATATATATATATATATATATATATATATATATATATATATATATATATATATACATATATATATATATATATATATATATATATATATATATATATATATATATATATATATATATATATATATATATATATATATATATATATATATATATATATATATATATATATATTATACAAAGTGTTTATTGAAATTAAAAATTCTTAGATATTTTATATAATTGAATTTTAGTTTAAAAAGAAACTTTTAAAATTACTTAAGGATTTTAAAATGTTAAAATCCATAAGTAATTACGCCTGTTTCGATTCATTTTTAAACTGTTATATACTAACTTTTTTTGTATTAGCAAAATTATATATTAAAATGCAATATTAGGAAACTTTTTCCACAAATGAGGTCCACAATATTGAATTGATTATGTAATTTGTTTTGAATTATATTTAAGAACAATGTAGTTATTATCTGAAAATTTTGTCGGGTAATTATGCACTACTTTTTTAAATTAGGACTGTAATATTTTAGAAGAAGATCTGTTATTTAGTAATTTCGCAGGTGTTATTGAAAAAAGTTCACCGATAATATTTAAGCAGACAAACAAAATGTTATGGGTGACTTTTTTCATTAGCACATGCGAAATTACTAAATAACAGACCATAGTTATTTATTGTATAAAATAAAAATTTAAGTATTCATACTAAGTTCCGACTAAACCCTACTAATACTACTATTAAGTTCCTAGCAAAAACTTGGTTGGAACTTACATGGTTTTACGAATACGACTTACTAAGTACTTAATAGGATTAGTCAAAGTTTTATCTTAATGTAGTATTACAGGTGAGATAATTAAACTCAAAACTTCTGACGTTAATACCCTGGTTTTTCTTACTTAACAATTCTCTGTTGTGTTGATGACAGGACTTAAAGTTACTAAAAGCCTATTGAGCAAATCTATATTATAAAAAATACGTGAGTTTTTCTGGTATGATTCCAACAAAAATCTTTATTGTGAGCTTCTTGAAACTCTTACTATAGTTCCCCGATTAGAAGAATGGATGTTTTTATAACTTCTGCACTATATACAAATATTGTTTGTAAAGTAAAAAAAAAATTTCGTGCTAGTAAAATTGAATCTCAGATATAGATTAAGATAAATAATTTTGGATTCAGAAATTTCTTTTTCAAACTCATAACAAGTAATATCACAAACTGGGGGATAGTATTCTCAATAAAATACTGAAACGTTTAATGAAATTGACGTAATGCCCGTCATCAACTCTGGCAGCCAGAATTGAGTGAAGAGATTACGGTTTAGACGTCAACCTCATAAAAGCCAGAGTCTAACTTCATATAAAATCTGCAAACTGTATCCCCAAAGCCAGGGTTTGGTTTGTCAAAAATAAGCAGAGATGTTACGAATATTCGTTGGCTATTCGGTATTCAGCCAATTTGGCTACTTTATTTACTATTTGGTATTAGGCCAAATATTGCAAACTATTTGACCGAATACCAGATGTTTGGGAAATATTGTGATTTGCTTTATACATTATAATCTTTCTCAAAGATCGAAACCCTCAAAATACTCGGTGCTTCAGATGAACACCAAGCCAAATATTCGGTATTTGGCCAGTTCACTATTTGTGGTGTCTCTAAAAACAATAGTTTTTTAATTTTTGTAATAGCTAATAAAATATGTAATAATTGTAATTAAGTATGGTTTTTAAATTTTTGCTTGATATCTTCTGAACGTAGTTGGATACAATTAGATTTATTCTCATCACTTCTAACTTGCCACTTTTTTATATTTAAATTATAGTTAATGTGTAACATTGACAAAAAAATGAAAAAAGTAGTCAACTGTATTTAAACGGTTTATTTATTAAAATGCAATATTAGGAAACTTTTTCCACAAATAAGGTCTTGATATTCAATATTGAATATCAAGTTTTTACGAAAACTCAACTAAACTTTTATTATATCATTCATCATTTTAGGAGTCGTATCACATGTGTAATATTTTTGTTGAGAACGTGTATCAGCATGTCTTATATGTAAAATCCATGACAACAACAAAATGATTCCTTTCTAAAATTTTGTTAAATGGTATTACAAGCACAGCAAAATTGTAACTAAAATTTTTTGAGAAAAAAAAATTACATTTAAATACCGCTTTTATTGGTTATTGGGGAAAGCGGAGCAACATGGCGAATGGGGCAAGATAGGTTTTCATATAACAACTCAACAAAAAATCTTAGAATTGGGTGAAAACGAAACTGTATTTGCATCTTGTATTTTAAAACACCAATTGGTTTTTTGAAATATTTTTAACCCAATTTTATACGCATAAGTTTACTTTTTGCGTTAAAAAAAAAAATTCCTCACTTTCGGTTTCTCATAATGAATGGTGTCCTTCAAGTTTAACTTCTTTAGAAGTAATTTTTTGCAATTTGTGTTTATTTTTTGTTACTTTAGTTAGAGTTATCGGTAGTTTTTAAAATTTTATAAAATTGGAGGTAAAAAATGCATAATAAGTCATCTTGCCTCGGTCACGTGACCAGATGACAAATTTATGAACTTTTTATTTAATATTTATTTCAAATTGTTATATTTGCAAACTGAAAATTTCATACAGGCTATGAAGAATTTTAATAACATAAACACACTGAGAAAATATTATTGCTTCACAATTGATAGTTTTGCTATAATTCAGGGCTTTCAAAACGTTCGCCATGTTGCACCGCTTCCCCCTATTGGCTCATTGGTCTGGAATGTCTTTCATGATTAACACCTTAAGTTGTTACCAATGAGGGGCTGTTGTTGTGAAAATACCATCAATTAATTATCCACCTAGCTTGTATAAAGCAATACACTGAGTGTCGTTTTACTGAAAGCATTCGGAGTATTATGAATGTTCTTGTCTACAATAGTAACCAGCAAGTAAGAAATGATATAAAATTATGTGCTATGATCAAAGTTGATAGTTGAGGAAGACTTCTAAAATCAAGCATAACTCATGTTAAAAAAAAGATAATTGAGGGAGTTAGGACTTATATAATCTAGCAATGTTTTTTAATTGTCCCCCATTACAAAATTTTGAAGCAGGAAAAAAAATTATGTTACAATGTTATTAAAAAATGCGTTCTACCATTGAACATTTTAAAAGAAAGAGCACTATTTTTAAACTTTTTTAAAAATATATAATAAAAAGTTAAACTATTGAACATTTTAAAGAAGCATGACGTTCTACTATTGAATTTTATTATAGAAAACGTCGCACTGACACATTTTGAAAGAGAATGTTTTATTATCTAAAATTATGAAGAATATACGACTGAAGAGAACAAAACAAAAAAATTTCCAGATAATTTTTTATTTTTGCTGAACTAAAAACAAAAAGTAAAACTAAATACAAAAACTTTAATATAAAATAATTCTTTAAAAAAGTTTGCCTTGACATATTTCAAAAATATAATTTTAATATTTTGTTTTTCTCAGTTGAATGCCTCAACTATTAAATAATTTTACAAAAATTTACAAATTTCGCAAATAATACAGAGCAGTAAATAATGCAGAGTGATTTTATAAAAATCAACTGTGTTATAACTAAGCGCAATAGGACTGTCTTAAGCGGTATGGATATTAGAGATTTGCGTACAAGTTTCCATAGCTAACGTACTTATGAAGTGCAAGCGACATCAAGAAAATATTCAGGCGCTTATAATTATGGAAACTCTTTAAAAGCGCTGATATACATATTCAAACTGAATATCTTACGAGGTAGAACTGACATCTTTTGACATTTGCTTTAGTTATATGTGGTCACCATACCAGTATGAATTTCAACTGCTTATTTGTAAGTATCGACTGCTTCTTCACAAAAACAGAACATGCGAATACTGCTTATTTGTGAGCTATTTTGATTTGACCATTGATTTGAGTTGCAAAGTGTTTATTATTTTTCAGTTTTTCTAGTCTTAATTCTTTTATTGCTAGCCATATATCGTCAAATTTGTAATTAAGATCACTAAAACCTGAATATTGCTTCAGACTTGACAAATAAAATGTAAGATCGGATGTAACCAAACTAGTTAAAAAAATATTATTAAAAAGAAAAAGTTCAAAATTTTGCAGGCAAAATAAATTTTGAAAGACAATTTACCCATGCTGAGGTCCTCCGTCACATTCAACACTGAGTTGTGATAATCGTTCCGCAAAACAAACTTTAAAACAACGACGAATATCGCGAAACAAAGTCTAAACAATTGACACAATCAATATTTAACAGAATTAAATTTTACGTTTATTTTTATTTCTTTTATACTATATATGTTTGAACTGATAAAACAGTCAAACAAAAAAAAAAAAAAATCACTCACACTATTAAATTTCCAAAAAACTGACCCAAAGTTAGACAACCAATTTTATTGAAGACATATAAGTTTAATCGTATTTATTGTACATCATTTTAACATCGTTTTTTTTATTCTTTTTTCAAAAGAATAAAAAAAACGTCCAAATGTCCAAAACCGTCATAATCACATTTATATTATTACGCTACACTAAGTCTTGAAAAAAGATATGATGTGTTGATCATGATTTTAAAATGATTTTTCCTGATTTTAGTTACAAATAAATGCATCGTCTTATTCGAAACCCTATTAGTTTCAACTGCTTTTTTAAATTTACATCACAAAAAAATCATTTAGGTCTCCTTGAGTTATCAAATCGACTTAGTTGGAAACTCTTTAAATTCACAGTCATTGTTCTCATCAACCAATTGGCTTCAAATGGAGAACAAAAATACTCCAACAGATTTCCCGCCCAAATTTCAGGGCAATGAGTTAATAAAATATTCCAATTTATTATCTTCTACTAAATTCTAACTTATCCACAGGTTTTAAATTTCATTTAATTATCTTTAAGCGTTGAATGTTATGACAATGTAAAATTCACAACCCCCTGATTTTGATGGGGCTGAAAATTTTACATGTTTGAAACCGTTCGAACACTAAAAGATAATTAAATTAAATTTAAAACATAAGAATGAATTTTAATTAAAAATATAATCGTAAATTAAAATTTTTTATTAACTCATTGCTGACGCATTCGGGGTAGGGTGAATCTTTTGGAATATTTTTGTTCCCAGGTTTGATAATGATTAGAATAAAAAATTGTAATAAGAAAAAAATTTTAATTGAAAAAAATACAAATAACTTTGAAAATACATATATATTTAAAAAAAACACTAATTCATTTAGATTATTTTCTTAAAACTTATTTGACATTTTAAAGAAATTTAGAGGGATTTGGCAGGAGAAAGGGAGGAGGGGTTGGGAAAGAGGGTGAGGTGAGCTATATTGCAAATGACCCCCTATTCCTTAAAAATAATTTTGAGGACCTGTTTATTTTATTTTAGCTATGAGTATTTTTTATTTTAGATTAAGTTTTGATAGTCCCTAATAGTATCCGTATATTCAAGCAATATTTTGGAGTTTGAACTAAGCTCTCCTCCAATGGAAAAAATCTTATAAACGCTTATGCTAAAAAGTTAAGTTTCTCTGAAACTATGAATCAAAATTATGTGAAGTTTTAAACATACATACTTTACTATATGGTTTTTTTGAAAAAAATAAAAATTTTGTGCAGGTATTAAGAAAATAATTTTGGCTCCTTTTGTATGTAACCGCCCCATTGTGAACTGGTTCAAGGCTCAAGGTAAATAAGGGTAAAAACTCATGTGCTTTTTTCTTGAAATCTAAAGCAGTTATATTGGTAACACAAAAATAGCATTCTAAAAATGACCTTTTGGTTAAGTGCTTGTCATAGGTACAGCAATAGATATGAAAATAGCCTTTTTATCAACAAGTGAAATTTTTCCACATGGTTTGCTGCAAATATGAAAGGCTCAAGATTTGTCTTGATGGGCTAATACAAAACCAAAATACCAATAACTTTCCAAGTTATCAAGATTTTGTTTTGTATTGCCATAGATTTAGTTATGAGTATTATAATATAACAAAAAAACTGGGGGTAATTGAAATACAACATCTGCAGTTTATTAATGAGGAAGGTAAACTAAAATAGCAATAGCTACTAAATTTGGTGTAGCATGAAAAGCATTAATCAGTGTTATTGGACTAGTCAAATCAACAAACTAGAGCAAGGTTACAATATGGATATGTATGTAATTACATAGACCTTTTTAGAAGAATTTTATCAAAAAAAAATACTGGGTCAGATTACATTACAATAAGAACCCTATCATCAATGAGAATTTATTTGGTTATGTATTAGTGTTTAATGTATGTATTTAATTATGTATGTATATATGTATGTATGTATGTATGTATGTATGTATGTATGTATGTATGTATGTATGTATGTATGTATGTATGTATGTATGTATGTATGTATGTATGTATGTATGTAAGTATGTATGTATGTATGTATGTATGTATGTATGTATGTATGTATGTATGTATGTATGTATGTATGTATGTATGTATGTATGTGTGTGTGTGTGTATGTATGTATGTTTGTATGTATGTTTTGTTTGTCAAGTTTCGTGTTTTGGAGTTAAAGAGTTGAGAAAGGGTTGTAACCACAAATAAAAGTAGCTTTCTCGACTGTAGTGGCAGTTATGGCCTTCGGGAGGTGAATTAAAATAAAATAAAAATGTATGCATGTATTTACTAAAACTTTCATGCGTATAATAATCATCAGGTAAAAATAAACATATTATAAATGTACTTTTACAAAATTAAAAAATTATTACATCAAACAAATTTATTTTTACCAGAGAACTGCTATAAGCATGAAACTTTTAGTAGTACATATTATGTAATTGATTTTTATTTTATTTTATCTTATCAAATATATATTTTATATATATATATATATATATATATATATATATATATATATATATATATATATATATATATATATATATATATATATATATATATATATCAGCCCTCAGAATTAGGGTTTCCATTCGGCAATGCTGACCTAAAAGTGTTTGAGGTCGGCAAAAAATCATCAACCTTGCTTTTATGTTTTATAGTAACCCCATTGTGACAAGTTTTATTGCCGACCTGATGTAAACTGCTGACCTCAAACTCTAACAGTTTGAGGTCAGCAATTTATTGTTGACCTCATTTTTTTTCCGAGGGTTAATATATATATATATATATATATATATATATATATATATATATATATATATATATATATATATATATATATATATATATATATATATATATATATATGTATATATTTATATATATATATAATTTATCCATAAAAAACTTTTCTAAAAACTATTTATTTTACCTCTAATTGTTGTTCATTGAAAACTGTTTCTAGAGCTTCAAACAGTTTTATAATATGCTTAACAATTGCTCTCATTTCTTTAGATGGCATTGGTGCTCGCACTTCATACTGAAATAAGAAAAATAATTTATATTATATTAAATTTGATTAATTACAAAAAAAAATAATATTAGTGCTTTAACTAAGATATGTAAATTTAAAAATTATGATACAAGTTCTGCTGATAAAATCATAAAACCAAAATAACTATTTTTATTTTATATATGGACTTAGTAAAAAATAATGCAAAGAAATCTGAATTCATGGTAAGTGAAATAAAATTTTTTTTATGGAAATAAAAATAAAACAAAGTAGAAAAGTGGTATTCTTCGTTTAATTACAATTTTTATTTTGTCACAAGTCTCCAGTTGAACTATTATCTTAATGTTTTTTAACGGAGAAAAGCCATATTCTGTGAAATTGTGTTAATGGTTTAAAATCCTCTGCATACATATAGCTCTACATAAATATATAACTCTCCAAACATATATATAAGTACACTTATTATTAAAACAGATATTTTATAACAAAAAAAATTAGACAGATTTATGAAATTAATATTAATTTCTCAACCACAAATATAATGGCAAAACAACAAATGCTTTTTTGTTAATATCTCAATAAATAAATTGTTTTGGTTATTTTAATAAACTCAAAACTTATTTTTTGATACTTATTTTCAAAACAAACATAATTTCTCTTGCCACATGGAAAACCTTTTATCAACAAATATATGCGTACAAATAAAAAAAATTATTTGCACAAATAATGCCTTAACAGTAAATATAGCATAATTAATGAACAATACCTTTAATGTTTTAATTATTTTATGACAAAAAAAATATCTTTAAATTGTGTTTCCAGAAAATTATTTAGATATCTGGAAAAAATAGAAATTTATAAAAATATCTGGAATTCCAGAAATATCCCAAAAAACCTAAACCCCTCTTTCTTTCTCACAAATTGTTATAAATGCTTGTCCCTCCCCCCTCCTGGAGCATGACTTACTTTATGGACGACCTCGTAACTCAACTTTATACAAAATATTAGCAAATATATTATTAAATATATTAAATAACATTTTATTTTAGCACATTAATTTTTTTAATCTAAGTAACATAAAAATCAACATAATTAAACATACTGATGCAAGATTTGCATTAAATATACCCTCCATAAGACTAACAATTTTACAAAGCACCTCATGTCTATGATTACTGTAATCCTAAATACAAAATAAAATAAAATTGAAATATAACTAAAATTCTAATAATAAAATTGGAATAAAACTAAAATTGAAATAAACCTAAAACCGAAATGAAAGCATTTAATGATAAAAAAAAAGTACTTTTAAAATTTGGTCAAACTGCGATAGCAATACAAACTGTTTCTGAGGTATTCGTGACTCAAAGTAATTTTTAACTATGTGAATATGAAGAATGACCACTTCTAAACATTGAGCAGCTAACGCTAAATGCTTCGCAGTTATGGTTTTTAGCCCAATTGTTTGAAGGGCGCCAGCACCCAAAACAATTTGACATGTTCTTGAATTAAATAACTGAAAATAAAAAATTAACGAGGAATATAACTAATTAGAAAAATAAAATTAATTTCCATTACTAACAAAATATTACCTTAAACACTTCACAAAGCTTTGTAAGTAAATCTAAAGCTAACATCGGTACATCTCCAACACATTGACAGTATTCTGCCACTATTTTTAAAAGCATCAACAATGTACTAAAATTACAAAAAGAAGTTTTGAATGAAACTGAAAATTAAATATATATATATATATATATATATATATATATATATATATATATATATATATATATATATATATATATACATATATATATATATATATATATATATATATATATATATATATATATATATATATATATATATATATATATATATATATATATATATATATATATATATATATATACTTATATATATTTTTGCACAGGCATAAAAAAATTAAATTTTACTCATATTTGAGCGCATAAACCACTTAAGCCATCATATTATATACCAGTTAAAAGATTTTCAGGTTAACAATTATGTTTTGAACAAATAATGATTATCTAATTAACATTTTAAAATTGGTTTACAAAATAACAATTTTTGATAAGTTCAAAAGTTTGCGGACAAACTTAAGCTTTTAGCATTTTCACCACAAAATGGCTAATTTGTTGATTTTATAAGCAAATACTTTGTGGAAATAATTTACAAACGTTATTTATAAGTGATTAAGATCATAGGATCTAAGAAATGTATCTCATCTCCAGTGAAAAAATTGATCTTGAGATCAGTTCAAAATAAAAATTTGTTTCGTAAAACAGCACAGCCTTATGGAGTTGGTAAGCCTGCTGTTGGACAAATTATGAAGAGATATGAGCTTACTAGATTTACAAAGAATAAAAATCAATTAGGAAAGCCACGCAAAACAACACGTTATCAGTATAAAAAGCTTGTAATACTAAGCGAAGAAAATCCCCGTTTGACAGCTCGATATTATTAACTATAAAAAATTGTTCAAAATACTCACGTTTTGGTCTTATTGTTGAGGTTTCTTGTAATGTCAATATTGAACAGTATTAAAAATTTCCGTTTTGGTAAAAAAAAAAGAAACTTATTTTTGTCGATATAAACGTACAAATAATACATTTCTATGGAATGAACTGTAGTATTTCTACTATAAAACATCGTTTATGTCACACTAATTTATTTGGAAGACACCCACCTAAAAAACTATTAACTTCCTTTAAAAACTGTAACGACTGAAAAAAATTTGCATCAGAGCATCTAAAGTGGAATAGTCAACAATGGTCAAAAATTGTCAAAATTCTTTTTAGTGACAAAAGCAAGTTTATGCTGTTTGGATCAGATGGAATCAGGTATGTTTGACATCCAGTAGGTACAAGATACGATGCTAAATACCAACTACCGCAAAACATGGAGGAGGTAATGTAATGGGTTTGGGGATGTTTTAGCTGGAATGGAGTTGGTCTTCTACATAGAATTACTTAGAATATGAATTAAGAAAAGTACAAAGATATATCTAAGTTTATTATGTTACCTTATGCAAAGGATAAAACACCTAAAGGATGGATATACCAATAGGATAATGATCCCAAAATTTTTTAGAGCCAAACCAGTTTTAGAGTTTTTCAAAAAGTGTAAAGTTAATATTTTGAATTGGCTATCATCTAGCTGAAACCCCACCCACCTAGCTTAAATCCCATTGAACATCTATGGAAACAGGTTGACCATCAAATGAAAGGAATCAAACCTAAAAATTGTGCTGATCCATTTAATAAAATCAAGGATATATGGAGCTTAAACCATTGGCGTTTGCATTCATTTAGTTGACTCTATGCCTCATAGATGCCCAGCCATTCTTGATTGTAAAGGATATCTTACAAAATACTATTTTGCTTTTATATAAATTTGTAATCAAATATTGTTGAAAAATTTGTACTATTTAAAAAAAAAAAATGCTTCGTTCGAAAATTTTTGAACTTATCAAAAATTGTTAATTTGTATACCAATTTAAAATGTTAATTAGATTAACATTTTGATTAATCATTATTTGTTCAAAACATAATTGTAAACTTGAAAACCTTTTAATTGGAATATAATATGTTGGCTTTAGTAAAGTGTGTGCTGATAAATAAGTAAAATTTCTTTTTTTTTTTTTCCTGTTCGGAAAATTTTGGACATTACTGTATATAAATTTAAAACTATAAATAAATAAATTTCTTGCTCGATATTATTAATTATAAAAAATTGTTCAAAATATTCATGTTTTGGTCTTATTGTTGAGGTTTCTTGTAATGTCAATATTGAACAGTATTAAAAATATCCGTTTTGGTAAAAAAAAAGAAAAAAAAGTCTTACCAAAATTTACAAGATGGAAAAACTTATAAAATTACTACAATTTTACCTATATCAGAGTTATTTTTGTTTCTTGGTTATATAACCACATAATAAAGTATTATTTATGTGGTTATATAAAGACATGATTATTTTTTTAATTCTTCTCTATTTTATCTTTTTTTCCAAAAAATCATTTGGCAATACTGATCTAAAAGTTTCTGAGGTCAGCAAAAAATTGCTGACCTCAGAAACTTTTAGATCAGTATTGCCAAATGATTTTTTGGAAAAAAAGATAAAATAGAGAAGAATTAAAAAAATAATCATGTCTTTATATAACCACATAAATAATACTTTATTTGGACTAATTGACCGTGGCTTTTTAAATATCAAAAAAAATGCTGATTAAAAAAGATTTTTATTAATGCGTATTTTTTCATAAATAATATCAAAACTTTTATCAAATGTTTTCTACTAATGTTTAAAAATTGATGTTTAATGATTTTTGTTTCAAGTATAATTGATGTTTAATGATTTTTGTTTCAAGTATAAATGAAAGTTGTATATAATTTTTTTTTAAGGATATATATATATATTATATAAGTTTGCATTTTTTATAATGAACAATATTTTTTTTAAAATAAATTTCTTTTGATTTTATAAACAATGACATTTTTAGACAACAATAGTCTTTTTAATGAACTTTATATAAGAATCATTAAAGTTAATACATTAAAAAAGATAAAAAATTTTATTTAAAAAAATAGATTAATAAATAATTTTTTATCTTTAAAAAAAAAATCAATTTTACAAACAACTTAATATAACCAAACGACTGTCTTTTTTATTTTTATTAGAATAATTAAAGTTGACTTATCATTTTTTATAGTGTGTAAGAATTTACGATGTACGGAATATTTTAAAGGAGTAAAAAGAACAATTATAATTTAAATTAAATTTGTGTATTTTTAAAACCATTGCCTAAACAATCAAAATTGTTACATTATTAATAAGGTTTTCCATAATATTATAAAAACATTTGATAAAACATTAAATAAATAAACATAGATATTTAGAACATTAAATAAATAAACATAGGTGTTTAAACATAAATATAAAAATTACTTGAAGAATAAAAAATATTTCCTTAAAACTACTAACCCAACAACAACAAACCGTTGACCTTGTACCAAAAGATGAGACGAAACTGAGACTATAAATCATTAACAATTTATTTTTTAAAACAAATTTAATTGAATTAAATCCTAAAATTCTTTACAAAAAAAAAAAAAAAAAAAAAAAAAAAAAAAAAAAAAAAAAAAAAAAAAAAAAAAAAAGATTATATGATACCTTTAGAACTTGACTTAAGGCTTGAATTTTCTTTTCCTGTAAATTAAGATTTTAACTTTATGCAGATTTATGATAATTTAATTATCATAAATTTAAATTAAGATTTAACTTTATGCAGATTTATGATAATTTAATTATCATAAATTTAAATTAAGATTTAACTTTATGCAGATTTATGATAATTTAATTATCATAAATTTAAATTAAGATTTAACTTTATGCAGATTTATGATTATTTAATTATCATAAATTTTGCAGATTTATGCAAAATTTATGATAATCAATTCTTTATGTTAATTTATGTGATAAGCATATTTAATACTATAATATAAACTCACCTTCAGGAAAGAAATTAACTAAATTTTGAATTTCACCAGGAACATCAACTTGTCGCCATCGTTCAATGTCTAATATATTACTAATAAATAACAAATATTTTATTCTAAACTTATCCACTGTCTATATTAAAATAACTTAGAGTTCAATAGATCATATGTTCAATTTTAAAACAATGATGTCATTAGGCTGGGTGAATAAAAATGAGCAATTGCTTTTACTCAATAATTGGTCAGCTTTACATGAATAAAAACTTTAGCTATTTTGGTTAAGTTTTTATTCACGTAAAGCTGAACAATAACTGAGTAAATTGTTTAACTTTACGTGAATAAAAATTAGAGGAAAACTGCTAATGTTTTTCTTCACATAAAGCTGACCAATTACTGAGAAAAAGCAACTGCTTGTTTTTATTCACCTGGCCTATTATAACTTTTTTATCATTACTATTTTTTTTTTCAGGTTTAAGTTTTTCAGTTTACCTTAATGCTTGCTTTCCTTCATGAAACTTATCTACAAAAATTTTACCTTAAATTATGCTTTCTCTGCTCATGAAACTTATCTACAAACATTTTTGCTTGTGTTAAAAGAGTACTTCGAAAATTCTGTGATTGACGACCAGATATTGATTCACACTCAGCAGAAAAATTCTCAACCATTCGTGCAAGAACAACAAAGTCTTTTGAAGAGAGCTGATCAAGAGCACCTTCCTAGAAACATAATTTAATATAAAATTAATTGTAGATTTTTTAGAAATTTTAAACATTTAAATAATGGTCACCTTTGCTCGCATCATTATTACTTTTGAACAGCGTGTTTGAGCTAGCTCACAAGCTGACCATAATATGTCTTTACTTTCCTTGGTCAAGCTAGCAAGGTCATTGCTATTGATAAATTCGTTATGCTCTCTAGATCGTAATATTTAATAAATTTTTTACTTTTTTTTTTTTTATTCTGTATTTTTTTAAAAACATAAACATTGAATAATAAAACTACAACATATGATTAAAAAATCAACATTCAAATTATCTATCTATCTATCTATATCTATATCTATATCTTTATATATATATATATATATATATATATATATATATATATATATATATATATATATATATATATATATATATATATATATATATAAAGAAAATATAAATTGCAGAGCGAATAAAAATTTAAAAAACTTACGAAAAGGAAATTTTATGATTATCTGGAACTATTCCAGAAGCAAGATGAAAAATATTAAGAATAGCTTCATTAACAACCTAAAATGAATTTAAAAATATTAAAAATAAACTTCTAAAAATACAAATTTTTGAAAAAATTACATCAAAGCCTCTCTCAAAAATTACATTAAAGCAGACTCAAAAAGTGAGTAAAAGTGTTAACTTGAGACTAACTAAAAACATATATGGTAACTAAAAACATATATGGTAACTAAAAACATATATGGTAACTAAAAACATATATGGTAACTAAAAACATATATGGTAACTAAAAACATATATGGTAACTAAAAACATATATGGTAACTAAAAACATATATGGTAACTAAAAACATATATGGTAACTAAAAACATATAGTGAGTTTGGTTACTAACATCCTTAATAAGATATTTCTTATTTATAAGATTTTAAATGTGACAAACTTAATAGTAGTTGGTTTTAAAAAATTTGTTAATTTTTTATTATAAAATTTCTTATGATGCAATATAATAGTTATTAAAATTTTTTATTCTATTGAAATTTATTCTATCAGAAATTTAATGGAGAACTGTTTTAATTAGAATCTTTCAATCTTTAATTATATTTTTTAATTTTTTGAAAAATAAGATGTCTTCAAAAAAACTAAAAATTTTTACATTCATTATACAAACAAAACAAAAAAAACTGCTTTTAAGGCATGCAAAACTTGATTAAAAAGGAAAAGCATCTGATTCTTAAAATAGAATTTATAAATTTGATTGTGAACTTCAGGCAAGAAAAAAAAACCATTCATGACCCAAAAAGAAAAAGGTTTTAATTTTCAAGTTTTTATGATTTTAAAGTTCATAATTAACTCATGAAACAACTATTCTTGAGTATAACTTTGTTGTTCTATTGATTGACTGAAAAACATTGTTAAATATTTTTTTTTACTTTGAAAGTATATTTTTGTGAACAAAGAAATTAGAAGAAACCAATTTAAGAAAAAGGAGATTTTGCATACTTTTTAGATAATAAACTAAAATAAACTACTCAAAAACTAAATTAAACTAAAATTAAACTCAAAGAGAAGCAACATGCAAATTTTCATTTTGTCAAGCAGTCGCTGTAAAAAAAGAAAGCTGATCTTTAAATACATTTATCGATGTTACAGAAATGAAAGCCAAAATCAAACTACAAGATCTTATGAACAACACATTTTGTTGGCTTGTAAATTTACAGGAAAAGAGAATTTCTAAAATATTTAGATGATAATAAAATAAATGAAAAATTATTAGCTATGATTTTTTTAAGTCCAAGCTTCCATTCAAAAGGTACTAGCAAATGCTGGCAAAATTATTATTAACTCATTAATTCCACTTAGGTCAATGTGAGAAGTAGCTAAATTTTGACGTGAAATTTGTAAACACCATGCAAGGAAAAAAAGCAGAGAAACTTGAAACTTGATTTATATTTTCAATTGAGCTATACATTCTTCAGATTAGTTAATTAGTTCCAACCTTCCAACCTAAACCTAGTTTAATCTTCATTAATAAAATGATTGAAAAACATAAAACTTTTCAAAAAAACCTTTCAAAAACCTTTCAGGAAACCTTTCAAAAAACCTTTCAGAAAAAGTTTGTGAGTAGTTTATAGTTTGTAGTTTAATCTTGACTTTTTTCACAAAATAATTTATGAAATTTTTAATTTTAAAGATCAACATTAATACCATCAGAATTAATAATTATTTTTAAATGAATTAGTTAATTAAATTCATTTTAAATGTTATGGTTATGTCATTTAAAAAAATATAATAATGTCATGATATGGAGTACTATTATTATCTTTCAATCAAGTCATTATTTTATTTATTACTGCATTATAAAATAATTGTTGAGCAGAAATGATTAAATTTGCTCATTGTCTTACATCTTAAATCCCACATTGATTGTTTTAACCAAGCTTCTTTAGAATGTAATATCATTCTGTAGGTTGTTTTATTCAAGATTCTTCAGAATTTTCTATCAAATTGTACTTTATAACTTTTTATGATACCGATAGTTTCATACCTAACCGATCATTTATCTGTGTAAAACAAGAACAAGAAGCAAAAAAAAAAAAAGTTACAGTGGAGTATGCTTTGTTGTCAAAAGCAAAACAAATAAGAAAAACAAATCTGATAGCGGCTAATCACTTGCTTTGTATTTTGAAAGTAGAAATCTTTAAGTGGAAAAGTAAGCATATCTAAGTTTAAATTTCACAAACTTCAATATAAAATTCATTCCCTATAAAGTAACATTGCAATATGAAAATCATTCTCATTTGAAGTGCCTTGGTATAGAGTGACTTGATGCACAATGTTATTTATATCAAAGAGAGGAAGCTAAAGTTAAGGGAACAAGTTGCTCAAGATCATTTAAACAATATTTTGAGAAATAACCCAGAAACAAAAAACCTAAAAAGATTACAATGAAATTAATAATAATAATAAAAAAAAGGTGATATTCTCAACAGTTTTTATAATCATCATACACTGTTTCATTTAAACAAAAAAAAATATATATATTACCTTCATATTTTTCAAAACATGAAGGATGACACAAAACACAGCTTCAAGTACCATAAGCCATTCATCATGTGAAAGCGAACGTATGTATGATCCAAATTTAATACTAAAAACAAATTATTTTAATTCTACATTAAAATATTAAATTTATAATAAAACAATAAATACTAAAAGAATAAAACTACATAACTTTTAAAATCTCATTAAATTTTTTCTTTATAAAAAAAATTAAAAAAATTCTTTTTAAACTTTATTATTATTACTATTATTTTTTAATTAGAGAAAAAGCATTGATTGACAGTGACTTTCATATTTTTAATGAAATGGCTGAAAAAAATTAAATACTAACACCAGAGAAAATGAATTTGAGGTTTTATTTTTTGTGTTTCGACCTGTGATATTACTACAATAAATTGGTGTTGTTATCAACTAAATCGACTAAAAGTCAAAATTAGTTGACTATGACAAAACCAAATAATCGATTTAATCAACTATGGGTTTCCTACTAACCGGCTAAAATTTAAATCTAATTTATTGCATGTTAGCAATATTTATACCTAAATAAACTTTCGGTTATATATTTCATTATTTTTATTTGTTTGCTTATTTTGTGCTTGTGATTTTCACAAATACTTTTATACAGTACGGTTCCAAGCTGACTTGGGGCCCTGTGGCAAAGTTAAATTGTGAAGCTCTTAAACCTAAATTTTATTTATACAATTCAATTGCAAATATGATTGCATAAATTTTTGATATTTAGCAATTATTTAAGACAGACCCTAAATCATTGGGGCTCGGGAATAAATTGTCCTATCGTCTGAGCAAACTTGCTTTCATATTGTATTGTCTCATTGATATTTAAACAGACTTGGTCGGGAAGCAGGTGCGATCGCACTCGATAACTGACTACGGAAATAATATTTAGTTGCGAAAAACTGGCCAGATTTTTTAGTCGTTTTGAGAACATTTAAGCTTATGTATGTTTCCTTGTTTGTCCACAAAATAATAAGTTCATTTTGTTGTAAATTTTAAAATATTTTGTTTTACGGACTTACATGGAAACATACATAAACTTAAATGTTCTCAAACATCTAAGTGCGGAAAAAAAAAAAAAAGAATACTCGCAAACACAAAAAACACGCCAAATCTATGAACAACTAATTCTATTGGTTCAAAAAATACTAACCGAAATTTCTAGAGTATTCAAAAAAAACTATCTGAATGTCCTGAGTATTCTGTTAAAATATTTTAAAAAACAGTATTATTTGAATTTTGTTTTTTTTTCCTCAGTGTACCCGATAACTGATTCTTTCTCCCAAGAAAGAAAAGTTTTTAAGTTCTTAGAAATTGGTTTACTAACTTCAATTATTTTTGCTTTAGCCATTCATACAAACTCGTTATACTTAAAGTTACTTTTTTCTGTTTTAAATACTAAGTAAAATTATGAAGCCCACTCACTAAACATCATCAGCGGTATTGTGAAGCAGTTCCGCTTCCTCCTCACAAAGTAAATTAACGCTTTTTGTTAATTTCTATCTAGCTAATTGAATTTCTACAGTAACTCAATGATTTAATTATTTCATTTGTTCATCTTATTAAGAAGAATTGTTTCAAATGTGTTAAACTTTTTAAACTACGCGAAGCATAAAACAGTTATTGAAAAAATTTATTTATTTATAAATAAATCATCTGGTTGAATCTTGTTGGTCTTTTCAGGGCCGGCAGCTGCATTATTTTGGGGGCCTTTTTTATGTGCCACAGTGTAAAAATGACTTAAAAAAATACAGAATGGTCTTCTTGACTATTTCCCCTAATATTCTGAGTCCCGGGGCTATAGCCCTACCTCCCACCCCACCTCCTCAATCCAGCACTGGAAATAAGACATAAGCATATAAATAAAAATTATATATACTCTTTGATAAATCGAAGAACATTTGTTTTTTTATAGTTGTTACTTTATATAAAAAATGTTGCTTTATTTTATAAAAAAAGTTATAAAAGAGCGACGTTTCAAAAATAATAGCTCTTCGCGTTTTTTCGCGTTAAAAGCTATTTTTTTTTTTTTAACTGTCACTCGTTGGTCCAGTTAATCTTAATGCGCTTTTTTGTTTGTTTTTGAAATGTTCTCAAAACGACTAAAAATTTTGGCCGGTTTTTCGCAACTAAATAATATTTCCGTGGTCAATTATCGAGTGCGATCGCACCCGCTTCCCGACCAAGCCTGTTTAAATGATATGATATTTAAAAATAAAAAGTTAATAAATTTATTACTTTTATAACAATTTACTTCCAAAATAAATCTTGTATTTTGACTTAATCAACTTTTAGTCGACATGATTTGATGAGATTAGACGACGAAATAAGTTGAAAACATAATAAATATACTTAACGAATCGAAAAATGTTTTTATAACTTGGTTACAAAAAAATCTTGACTTACCTCTTAACTAACCTTGGTTAATTTTTGTTTGTAATTGTTACTGCTATTTGACCTTTTACTATTATACATACAATCAATTTAACAAGATTCTATATAAAAAAAAATAAAAAAAGTAAAACTTAAAAACCTTTGATCATTAGAATATTCTACTCCTTCCACTATATGATCATGTGCAGCCTAATAATAATAATAACAATAATAGCAATAATAACAATAATAATAATAATAATAATAATAATAATAATAATAATAATAGCAAAAAAATATATATAAATTTATATATATTTATTTATTATATAAAACTAACAAAGTATTAGCAGAAACAAAATAAGTCAATAGTATAAACCTTTTTCACAGTGGATTTTACAACTGCAAAAGCTTCCACCTTATAAGCTTGAAGAAATTCAAATTTTTTTTGATGAAGAAGCCCAAGAACAATTGAAACAAGATGTTCCTACAAATAAATTAAAGATTAAACAAAACAAATAAAAATTTTAAATAAATCAATAAAAAAAAAATGTTTTACAATTTTTTTTACAAATTCCATATAATTTTTTGTTAAATTTAATGATTTTATAAATAAAAAATCTGAAATCTACAAAACTTTATTTTAAAAAAGTCCTCAATTGTTGTAACCATCATGAAATTAAAAAAGTTAATAAAGATAAAAGCTTTAAAACAAACCTCTTCATCAAAAATTTTATTCCCATGAGGTTGATTTAAAAAGTTAACTGTAAACTCAAGAAACTCTGCAATCATCATTTGCTCAATCACTCTTCGCATTTCTAATAATTGAGAGCTAAGATGTCTGTAAAGAAAAAAAAAGTAACACCCTTCACATACCTTCAGTAAACATCTATAACAAATACAATTAAAAAATCAAAAATAATCAATTTTGTTTAAAAATAATCTTAAAACGTTTTTCAATTAGTTCAAATAATTTATTTTATTACAACTATTATTATAAATAGCAATTAATCATTATTCGCATTTGCCAGTTAAAAACCAAATTTTTTTAACAAAGCGCTTTGCTTCTAAAGCTGAAGTCAATTTAATTTTGTTATTTCTCATATCATCAGAAATATCACTATTATCTATTTCTTTACCATCATCAAATAATAAAAATAAAACAAGTGAAAATAAAACAAGCGAAAATAAAACAAGTGAAAATAAAACAAGTGGCTATTTGGTTTCTTTTTAAATCAAAGCTTTTCCTTTCAATAATTCTTTTTTTAAATTACTGTTTTGCAAGCTGACTAATTATCAGAAAAAAATTTGGATAAAGCAAACAAGTGTTTGCTTAATCAAAATTTTTTTCTGATAATTTAAGTCAGAGGACAACAAATTTGGATTTTGTTTGAATGTTCTTGTTTTGATTGCTTTATTCAACTTTTTTCTTATAAATTAAACTAAATTTTTAGAAGACAATAAGCTTGGGTCTTGTTTTAAATGTGCTTCTTGCTATTTTATCATTACTATTTTGAGTGGCTTTAGGGCAACACAAAGGCGTGGGAAAATTTAATTTTATAAAGTTCATCTTTGAAAAAAAGAAAAAAATGTTTATTTGTGCCAATTATGGCTATTTTTATTACTTTTTTAACTTCATAACAATTGCCTCAACACAACAATTGTACAGTTACAACTTATGCTTCATAAGGCTGGGTGATTAAAAAACAAACCATTTTATAAACCTTTTTTACCAATTGCAATTAATCAACACTTTTCAAGTGGGTTACTCTAATTAAGCGCAACTTTAGGCTAGGTTTCGGTTCCTTTTTTTAGTTTTAAAATATTTTTTTTAAACTAAGAAACTACAACCAAAAATTTAAGAGTATCATAAGACCTGTGATATTCCTTATTAATAAGACCTATGATATTTCTTATCAAAAGACCTGTGATATTTCTTATCAAAAAAGACTCTTTAATGCACTTTCAAATTTAGAAATGAAAATTTAAAGACAAAGTTCAGATATGCACTTTCAAATTTAAAAGAAAACAAATATTTTCTTACAATACCTTTTGATCAAACTAAAAATTAAATTAACTCTTTTGATCAAACTAAAAATTAACCTTATGATCAATGTAATTTGCCAAATAAAACAGCAAATGATTGTAAAATTACAAAATTTACAAATAAAATTTACAAATAAAATGATGATTTCAATTTTACTTCTTTTAAAAAAAAATTTGATTATTAAATTAAAAAAATGTAACATTTATTTAAAAAAATAAATTGTTTTACATGTAGTTTTATTAATTTTTAACTTTTTTTTAAATATATATTTTTTTTAAAACCGCAATGCAATACAATTGCACTTTTTATGTGCTCAGCTAAAATGTGTAAGCTAAAGTATTGAACAGTTTCTGCATTACGTAATGTGTGGATTAATCCATATTTAGGTAAAGTTCATGCTGTTAAAATTGATTCAACAATTTTTAATGTTATCATTTTCTATATATTAAATATAAATTTATTTATTATATTTAATATATATATAAATTAAAATATATATTTCTATCTATATATCTATATATATTTAATACATACTAGCTGAGATCGGACCCGTAAAAATACGGGTCTTTGTAAATCTATTACAAACCGATTTACATATCTATTTCTCACCAATTATTCTATACCTAATCTTTATTTACTTCAATATTTTTTAGTAAAATAAATTATTCTGAAAAAAAACTTTAAGAGCAAAAAACTTAAATGCGCAACTTTTCCGCATATGTAGAGCTTATAAGAGAATTATAATTAGGTTTGTTTTTCTGCTATATGCATTTCATTGATAGCTCAGTGGTTAAGTGTGCTGTTTAAATGTTGTTTTGGAAGGTTTAAGAACTCCTCTTAGCGCGATAAGTTTTGAAATTTTTTCAATCTTGCTTATATATTTATAGCAAAAAAATAATAATATAGCAAAAAAGATTTCTAAATTTTTAAGTTTTCTCATTTTATAGATATATAAAATAATATATAAAATAAAAAAAAAAATGTCAAAGTTCTCTTATTATATAGATATATAGTTATACGCGATTATTCTATATAATGCCTGCAAACTCAACATATGCTAAAAACGTTTACACTTACAGACATTGGTACATGACGCTATATAAATGAAACTAAGAAGATCTTAGAGCACTAAAACATAATCATAAAAAAAAATTCATTCTTATAATTAAGAATCCAAAAAGGTTTTTGCAGATTGACGTCAGTTTGTGGCAAAATAAACCTTTATACATCAAGTTTCCTTTGCATTTATCTTACATTTTTTGATTAATTTTAATTATGTTGCATACAAATGCATAAAAATATACAAAACTGGTACAGATATATCATTTTCACGGATAAGAGATTGTATTTATTACAATAGTAAAAAATAAATAGTTTTAGTCTTTATTAGAATATATCCCATAAAAATATATTCCATATATCTTTAATAGAAAGAAATTTTTTAAAAAATTGAAATAAAATCTTATTTTTATGACTATTATTTTTAAAGGTCTAAGAAACAGATAAAACATAATTTTAGCAATCAGAAATTATTGAAAGAGGGGCAAATCTAAAGTTGAAGTTTCAAATTTTCCACTTGGATGTGACAATATATTTTGTGTTTTTTCAATCTTGTCCATTTTTTAAATCATATTAACACAACTACAAAAAATCAAAACAAAACAGTTTGAGCAAAAAAGACTTCTAATTATAGAAAAATTTACTTATATTACATACGATCCTGATTATAACGTTATATAAGTGGATTTTTTACATTTTATAAACAACACACTATATTAAAATTTTTAAGTGCACAGAACTGCAATTACTTTTAATTTTTTTGGTTTAGTGGCTTTTGTTAAGAGCTTTTAAATTTTGCATCAAATTATTTCATTTCAACATACTCGTTGTATCATACATACTGCAGCCGTTTATCAAAAAGCCTTAAGGTAAAAAATATCAATTTGGACTTTTTTACAAAATAAGCTAGTTTAAATGTCTACAAACATTATTGATTACATATTTTCAAAGAGTTCCGAAAAAATTCATAAAAATTATACATTTCAAAAAATGTTTTACAAAGAGTTAATTAAAAATTTTTTTTAATAGCATTTTTCTTGAAATAGGTAATAAGCATATTAAGGCGTTTTAAAAAATGGCTGCAGCATTTTTTATTGTAAAAAAAAAAAAATGTAGCAAAAAACTTTTGGTTGTCAAAAAAAAGTTTTAAATTTTTTCTAGCTATGGAATTTTGTTTTTTTTTGCCTCCACAGCAGCACTTTCTGAAGTAGCAGGACTGACTTAGATTTTTTTTTTTTTAATTAAATTTCAGACAACTTTTTTTTTCAGACCATCTGCAGCTTATTAGGACTAATTACCAGAGCACATTAATAACATAAGTATCTCAATCATGACACATATGCAACAAATTTTTTCTCTTGGTGTTTTGATGCTTTTAGAAATTTTAGCTTTTTTAAAATCTTTTCATTCATTAAGTGTATAATTTCGTTACATATGTTTTTATATAATCTCTATAAAACTTCAAAAGTATTTTGTATTTTAAAATAATCCAAAAAAAATAAAAATAAATTGTCATGGTAGGACTCAAACCACGGTTTACTTGTTTAGAAGCTCAGCGTGCTATCCACTCAGCCGCGCTGGCACATTGTTAAACGAAAATTTCTAAAACTATGTAATGATTTTTTTAACAGAAAGAAATGCTGTAGATCAAAGTTAAGGAGAGCTTGACTCAAAGCAATTTTTAAGTGAAAATCAAACTATAAAACTTGATAAATATTTTATTATGTTTTAACATTACTTAATTTAAAAGTACGTTAGATATTTGCTTACACGTTCTTTCACATTTTCTTATAAAACAAAGTGCTACAACTCTTTCTTGCCACTACTCAATTGCAATGGCTGCCAAGGGTTCGATGTCAATCACACTCGAATGAGCACTACTACTACTACTACTACTACTACTACTACTACTACTACTACTACTACTACTACTACTACTACTACTACTACTACTACTACTACTACTACTACAAACACTATTAAGTTCAGCAATAATATATAATATGTATACATACATATATATACATACATAAATATATATATATATATATATATAAACAAATATATATATAAATATTTTTTAATTATCTTCGCTTCCAACAAGGCTGCAAGCAACCACTAATTAGTGTTGGAAGTTACTAGAAGAGAAAAGATGAAGCAAGATAACGATTGACAGACGACTTAAAAGATTGCAAATTGTATGAATCAGGAAAGCAAGATGAAGGAAGCGAATTTCAAAAAACTGATGTTCGAGGAAAAAAACTAGACGAATAAGAGTTTTTGGAGCACTTAGGAACAGTAACAGAAAAAGGATGAGACGTAATTGAATGACGAGTAACACGAGAATCAATTTTAGTAGATGGCACAAGAGACGCTAGCTCTTTAGAGCAGTGCCCATTATAGTATTTGTAGAAAAGAGAAAGAGAAGCAACATTACGACGATGTGACAGAGGTTGAAGGTTGGCTGCAAGAGCAGGTCCAACTATGTTTACAATGCGTTTTTGCACCTTGTCAAAAAGAGAAAGGACATCATTAGAAGATCCGCCCCAGATATGGCAACAGTATTCCATACAAGGCCGGATTTGAGATTTAAATAGATAGAGAATAGAATCCAGAGTAAGAAAGTGACAAGCTCGATAAAGAGAAGCAACTTTAGCAGATGCTAATTTTGAAACGGATTTGATATAAGATTTCCAAGAAAGATCAAAAGTAAGAGTTAATCCTAGAAGATGAAGGGTAGGAGACTCATCAAGTACATTACCGTTCATATATATAGGAAGGTCTAAATTATTGCGATAACGATTAGCCGAAAAAAATTGAGTTTTATCTGAATTAATGTTCACCAGCCACTGTGAGCCCCATGCTGTAGCAGAAGTGAGATCCTTTTCAAGCTCAGATGCCCCCTGCAACAATCAGAGGGAGTTGGCTTCTTATCGTGACAAGAATAAATGGTAGTATCATCAGCGATCAATGCCACCTTAGATGTGAGAATATCTGGAAGATCATTAATGTAAATTAAAAAGAGTATAGGGCCAAGGATTGAACCTTGAGGAACCCCTGAGATTACAGAATAAGAAAAAGAGTGCTGTCCATCAAGGACAACTTGTATACTACGATTGGAAAGAAAGGATTCAATAATCTTAAAGATATTTCCAGATACACCGTAAGAAGAAAGCTTATGGAGGAGACCAGCATGCCAAACTTTATCAAACGCTTTAGAAATGTCAAGAGCAATGGCCTTAACCTCTCCACCTTTATCTAATGCGCGATAAAACCTATCGGTTATTGCTGATAGCAAATCAGCCGTAGAACAAGAAGATCGAAATCCATATTGATGATCAGAAAGTAGGTTATGAGATTTGAGATGAGAGATTAGGTGTTTGTTAATTAAAGATTCAAAAACCTTGCTTATGATAGGAAGAAGACTAATGGGACGGTAGTTAGACGAATTGGATCGCTCTCCAGAATTTTTAAAAATAGGGATAACAGATGCTGCTTTCCAGCAGGCTGGAAAACAAGACTCTGATAAGCACTTGTTAAATAGTTTTGAAAGGATAGACGACAGCTCCGGAGAACACTTCTGCAAGACTATAACAGGTATGTTGTCCGGGCCGCAAGCTGTAGAAGAGTCTAAGCGGGAAATCACTTTAGATACAGAAGCTGGAGTGATACAAATGTCGAGCAATGGATCAACCTGTTTGACGACTATATCAGGTAGAATGCAACTAGCGGCATCAAAAGATGATATTGATGAAAAGTTCTTGGCAAACAATTCAGCTCTGTCTTTAGGTGAGGTGACAAAGTCTGAACCATACAAAAGAGGTGGAATTACAGACTTGCCCTTATTATTGATACTATTAAAGATTCTCTAGAAGTCACGAGGGCCTAATTTTTGTGATGAAATACGAGATTTCATGATCTGAGAATAGCGGGCTTTGGCGTTAGACAAAACCTTTTATATACATACACATATATATATATATATATATACATATATATATATGTATATAAATATATATCTATATATATATATATATATATATATATATATATATATATATATATATATATATATATATATATATATATATATATATATATATATGTATATAAAATATATATCTTATACTGCTAAGTTAGGTGAGCATGATGACATCATACTGAAACGGCCTGCTGCCGGGGGCTTCAGTACATACATCAACTGACAAATAGCCTGACTCGCAGTGGAGTGCTGCTACATAGCCTAAGAGTTTGGGATGGGTTAGCAACCTTTTCATTCATTATTCTTCGTTTTCTTCTTTTTCTCAAAAATCTATATTGATTTAGATAAGCAAAAAAAGTGAGCAATTGCACATATAAATATGCTATAGTATATATATATATCTATATATCTATATATATATATATATATATATATATATATATATATATATATATATATATATATATATTATATATATATATATATACACATATATATATATATATATACATATATATATATATATATATATATATATATATATATATTTATATATATATATATATAATAAATATATAAAATATGCTATAGTATATATATATATATATATATATATATATATATATATATATATATATATATAATAAATATATAAAATATGCTATAGTATATATATATATATATATATATATATATATATATATATATATATATATATATACATATCAAATGCACAATAAAATTTTTCAGTTACAGCAGTTACAGTAAGTCAGTCATAGAATAAGAAGATTGAAATTTGTATTGATTTTCAGAGAGTTGTTAGAAGATATTAAAAAAATACTAAAAATTGTTAAAAATGTGTTGATTAAAGACTCAAAGACTTTGCTAATAATAATACATAATGATCTTGCTAATAATAATACATACTGATCTTGCTAATAATACATACATACTGGTCTTGCTAATAATACAATAAAGACTGATTAAACAAAAAATACTGACCAAACCTGGGATAGACAGGGAGAGTTTGACCAATAGATTCAAAAGTCAATTTAAAGGAAAAACTCTTTGCAAATAGTTTTGATTTATCCTTGGGAGAAGTTATAAGATGCGACTTGTTAATTAGAGATGGAATGTTTGACTTTTATTTTTTTATGTTTGACACAGTTGAAGGTTTTCCAAAAATTTCTAGAGTTTTAATTTAATTTTAATAAGATCATCACTGAAAAAATTGACAAAAAGTTTGAAAAAAAATTAAACAAGAAGTTTGAACTAATTTAAACATTTGTAACATTTTTTTCTTTGCACAAGAAAATTTTTTTGAACTAAAAGTAAATTGTTGACTAAAAAAAAAAAAAAATAAAACAAAAAAAAACCTCTGAATATATTACTATTATATAAAAAAGAATATGTTTATATCAAATTAAAATTGATTTAACAAAATTAATCTAATAAGTCAATAGCTTTAAACATGAAAAAATTACTTTTTTAGATAAATTATTGTGAGATATAAATGTGACTAATATATTAATATTAATTTAAATAGGAGTTATTTTTGGCTAATGTGCATTTAAATATAAGTAAAATCAATAAAAAATAATATAAAATAAAAAAAATCAAATAACTCAATATAAATTTTTATTTGCCCAATTTAAATTAATTATCTAAATTAATCAACTTAAATCAAAATATAAGATAAAATTTTTATCTTGGCACAAAATATTTTTTTATAACGACAACTCCAATAAACTTTAGTCAAACATAATAGTGCATTAAATACAATACAACAGTACAGGTAAATAATTTTATGCTTTCATGCTTTAGGAAAAATTATACAAACTATATTCACCTGAAACATTGCACTCCTAATAGTTCTTGCTGCAAAACTTCTAAAGATGTTTCTATTAAATCTAGAGCACTCACAAAATCTGAATTTGATAAAAGGAGTTGAATGGTAGGTTGAGTTTGATGAATGGTTGCCATTAGTTTCAGCTATAAAATAAATCTAAATAATGCAATATAAACATAAAAAAAAAACACCCAAAATAAAATAAAATAAAACATCTGCATTAAAATCAAATGTTTTTTTTTTTTTTATAAATAAAAATAAAACTTTTTTTATAAAAATTGTTCATTAAAAAATAACCAAAACCTTCTCCTCAACAATTTCATATCTCTCACGAAGACGCATTAACCTCATCATATTTAGTGGTACTTTTACTAAACGATCACGTATTTCATTTAATCGAAGCCTAAAAAGATTATTCCACTACATCCATAATAAAAAAAATTTTTTTTTACAAAATATCACAAGTATCAAAAAAACTAAACATTACAGCAAAATTTATTTTTAACAAGTTTTGAAAGAGATCATGGATTAACATTTATGTGGATAGAATAAATTAAAATCATTAACTTCTATTTATTGAGATGGAGATATATTTACAAGAACATTTTATTATCAGTAAAAATTTTTTGTGGCGGTTAAACTTATTACTAAATTCTTTGATATGAACACAATGTGTTCAAAACAATTAATTCGTGATTTACCTTTTGTTCTACAATATTACATTTTAAAAAAGGAGTGTGACCATGTCAAAATTACATTAGATTATCAAAAAGTTCTATTTTAAAAATATTTATTATAAGCGTTTGTTTTTATTAAAAACAATGTATAAATTAATTATTTTATAAAGGTCAATAAAAAAAAAATCACTAATGCGTCAATAAAAAAAAAAAATGCATCAATGAAAAAAAAAAAAATTAATTTTTATCTAGCAAAGAATATAGAATATAGAAAGTCTGATTGAAAGAAAAATATTCTATTCAAAACAAAATTTCACTTTTTTGGGTTACAAAAAATTCACTTTTTTGGGTTGCAAAACAAGTGCAACCAAATAATGCTAATTTAGTTTCTTTATATAAAAGTGCTGCATTTTTTCAATTTAGAGAAATAACTATGTAACTGTTTAGATACAACGTTCTTCAAGTTTTATTCATCACAAAGCTCATTATTTGTACACGAAAATTAATAAATTATTCAAAAGTATTAAAAAAAAGTTGATTTCCTTCTAGACAAAACAAGTGCAAATCCACAAAATGTTGACCAAGCTGTATTTCGCTATCAATATTTCGTGGCGAATCCTTTGTTGGCGATCACAGCCTTGCATCTTCGAGGCATAGATTCGATCAGGTGATCAATGAAACTTTGTGGAATTGCTGCCCAGGCCTTTTGGATTTGTTCAAACAGTTGATCCTTATTACAAACGCCTTAACGATTAATTCTGCGGTTGACGATCTCCCACAGGTTCTCGATTGGGTTGAGATCCAGAGAATGAGGGGGCCAATCCATTGCCGATAGGTGGTTGTCTTAAAACCACTGCTTGACTAATTTTGCAATGTGTTATGGATCGTTGTCTTGCTGAAAAACCCATTTTATTGGCATATTCCATTCAGCATGAGGTAACATAACATCTTTCAGGATATTTTTATACATGAAACGGTCCATTATTCCATTGATTTGACCATTAGCAGAAAAACACCCCAGACCATTACATTGCCTCCACCATGCTTCACGGTAACGTAAATTGAGGTGTTTTCCGGCCGGTCAACATAAACAGCAAATGCCATTGCTCCCAATGATCCAATGATGTTGAACTTCAATTTATCACTGAACAGGACAGTTTTCCATTTCTGCACATTCCAGTCAATATGAGATGTAGCAAACAGGAGTCTTTTCTTTTGGTTCTTTAGTGAAATCAGCGGCTTCTTTGCAGGGCATCGAGAAAACAATCCGGCTTCAACAGCACATCATCTGATTGTTTGGTCCAATACAAGCAGCTCTAATTGCTATTGTATCTCGACTGATGATATCCAGGGATCCTTCTTGACGGATCTGATGATCATAAAATCCTCTCTAAAAGTGGTGGAACGCGGTCTTCCACCTTTGTTATCTGCTGCCAACTTCCCAGTAGAACGATATTTGGAACATATTCTTGATACGGTCCATTTTTTCACTCGATATTTATCACAAATACTTTTTTGTGACATTCCATCTACATAATCGCCAAAAATTTTCTTTCTTAGTTCCAATCCAAGACTGTCGGGAGCCATTTTCGCACTTGAAGTCATAAAAATAATAAAAATAAATAATCACGCTTCTCAAGGCTTACCGTGTTACATTTACCTTATGATGATACAATAATGCTCTGTGGAACACAACGTCTTGGCTGGATGGGACTGTATTGATGTAATGAAACACTTGTTGTATTTCACTTCTTGTATTGATGTTCTCCGATAAAACACTTTGATAAAACTCACTTCAATAAACTGTCTTGATAATACTGACTGATTGACTTCCATATACTGACTGAATTACATGTCGGTTTACATGTCTCTTATATAGTAAAATTAACCTGTGTGAACCTGTTCTGGAAGATTCTAGATGCTTCTTTTCAATGCTTCTGGAAGCTTCTGGATGGGTCTGGATGCTTCTGAATGTTTCTGGATACTTCTGAATGCTTCCAGATGCTTCTTCTGGAAGCTTCTGCATGCTTATGGAAACTTCTGGATACTTCCTTTAATTATTAAAAAACTTCTGTGACGTTGACACGGACCAGACTTAAGAAAATGAAACAAACCAAAAAAGTTGCACTTGTTTTGTCCGCTGCAAAATGACATTTGTCAACAAAATTCTGCCTGTGTGCTGTCACCTGTCAGCTGATTGCTCATGTCATGGCATGCTATGACTCTAGACTCCTGAACTGTTAGCTGTGGTAGTGTAGTTCATTTCGTTTTTAAGACATGTAAAATTAGGAACACTTTTTAGCATTGTTCGATATTGGTTGCAAATGTTTTGTCCAATACTGTATATCAATTATTAAAAAAACAAACAAAAAATTAGAACATATGTTTGAAAAAATTAAAAATAAGTAGGGAATTTTAATGAACTATTTTAGTTTTATAAAATAAAACTAAAATAGTTTTTTTTTTTTTTTTTTAGACAAACTTTTTAAACAGTAATACTTAAATTTCAAAAATTATCTTAACACTATCATTATTTTATGGTAATTGTTAATTTTCTCATATTGCTTTCTCTTTAATATATATATTTGACCATCTTTGTTTAACTGAAGCATTTTTAATTGCTTTAACGCACTCTTTGAGTTTTTCTAATATAAATATAAATATTTATACAATTATTTATAAGACTAATGACTTACCGAAGTTGCTTTACTTCTTGACAGGAGAGTTGAACATCAACTTGCAACTTGTCTTGAGAACTCATAGCAAGAAAAAAGTCAGATGATTTTGTTGCAATCTGTTGTGAAAGATTGACCTCAATCATGTCAAGGTAATGTGCAAGCTAAAAATAAATAAAACGAATAAAATTAAAAAATAATAATAATAAATAGCTTTATGAAAATTAAAATTGAAATTTAATATTAAAAAAAAATAAATAAAAAAAAACAAAATAAAAAAACAACATCAAACAAAAACAAAATCAACACCAAACAAACAAAAAGCAACAAAACAAAAGATTAAAAAAACAAACAAAAAAAAAAAAAACTTTTTATAAAAACTAGTTAAAGTCTTTAGTGATTTATTTACAAATATCTGTTGTCATTTTTACAATAGATATTTAAAATACTTTTTTCTCCTATTTATGTTTAAAAAAATTTTTATTGCAATAAACTTATATGCTTCATTTTTTTTTCAAAATTATGCATTTGATCATCATAGATTAGATTAGATTAGGTTAAAATTTATTAGAACAGTGATACATGTTCTAAAGAACACGCAGGTCCATAAAATATGAAGGACTCTGACAACATCCCCTACAATCACATAATACATATGCAAGATAATTTACAATATATATATATATATATATATATATATATATATATATATATATATACACATATATATGCAATCACATAATACAATCACACACATATATATATATATATATATATATATATATATATATATATATATATATATATATATATATATATATATATATATACACACATATATATGCAATCACATAATACAATCACATATATATATATATATATATGCAATCACATAATACAATCACATATATATATATATATATATATATATATATATATATATATATATATATATATATATATATATATATATATATATATATATATATATATATATATATATATATATATATATATATATATATAGCAATTATATATAAGACCACAATTATAAAACAAAAAGTAGTTAACCAGACAGTATTTTTCAAAGTCGATAGAGTTAATTTTAATTTTGAAGCTCTTGATAAATTTGGCTTTCACGACGTCAGACGGCAAGTTATTCCAAATAATAACAACCCTGAGAGAGAAAGAGTATTTACGGATACCGAGTTTACATTTTAGTTTGCGCAATTTAAAATTATGTCCTAGAGTGTAAATATAGTAGTTAATTAAAAAGAAACTTGATTTATTTAGGCAAACAAAGTTGTTCAGAATTTTGTAACAATATAGTATTGGATATTTTTTAAATATATTACAGAAAATATAAAATAATAAAGACTCACAAGCGAAAAATGCACATTTTTTAATCAAATTTTAATTTGTCTTTATCAATAACTCCGTATGAACCATATGAATATGGGTAAATAAGAATTATATAACCATATGAACAGAATGAATTTTAGCAGATGGCACCATAGTCATAATATTTAACTAGTCTACTCTTATAACACTTAAGTTCCTCTCTATACTAGTGCTCAGCCTACTTTAGACTGCATCAAATTATAAACATTGTATTTTGCTATATAAATATTGAAAAGCCAGGAGTAAATGGTAGGAGTAAATTGTGCTAGTTTTGGTTATTCAGTTTAGATATTGTTTTGGATTGCATATATTTTGCATTCTAAATAAAAATGATTAATATTGCATGAAATAAAGACACCAACAGTTAATAAATGGAGTTACGTAATGGAATTTGTAATAGTTTGCATATTCTATATAAAAGTATGTTATAGAAACAAACATTTCATTGACTGTATAACTAGAAGGGTATACATGAATAAATAGGTTTATATTCAGAGTATATTTATTGGAAATGTTAGCTAATAAACTCTATATTTTATATAAAGTTTACTTAGCTGGATTAGTTAATAATTTATATTTCACTCTCCACATTATGTTGGTATTATTCCTGGAAACAAGAAAATTCAAGTACATTTTTATAATTTTAGATTAATTAAAAAGCACTCATTCATGGATCATATTCTATAAAAAAAAGTTTAAAATTTCACCTTAAGAGGTAAAAAGTTAGCAATTTCTACCTTAGAAGATAGAAAATTACACCTTAATATACCTAACTATTACTGAATTTATATTGAAAATAATGATTTTTCATACAATTTTCTATTTAGAAGGTAGAAAATTATACCTTTCTATTTTCATTAAATAAAAATTGATTCAGTAAAAAAAAAAAAAAAAAAAAAAAAATAAAGATTATAATAAATTTGTATAAATACTTTAAAAATAGTATATCAAGGCTTCTTATAGTATAACATTTTAAAGCTTTCATATCATTTTTATATTTTCATATTTCATATCATTTTTTGTTTTTATTGAAACTTACAGAACTACTATCACAGTAACTTACAGAATTCTATTTTAAAATCTTGAAGTTTAAGCAACTATTTAGTGTCGGTTGAATGCAGAAACTTGTTATTAAGTTATTTTGAGAGAAACAACAAAAAATTTGAGGTTATCTTCAAGTAAAATAAGACATCCTATGATAATTCTCTAGCTTCAAAAACTGCTACAGAGTATGATAATATACTTAACTAATCTATCTGACTTTACCACCACAGGTGCCACCACTGTATGACACCACTGTATGACAAATGTTTCTTTTACTTTAGAAAGCAATCAAAATTTGTAAACTAAACTCCTTATAAGTTATTGTTTGTAACTTTGCAAGATGCAAGTTGTTTAAAATGCATTTGATTCATTTACACATGGTTGACCACACTAAAATGATTCATTTACACATGGTTGACCACATTAAAATAAGACAACTTGTTACTGTTTTATTCAAATATGATTATCCAATTATTTTATCCAATTAAAATTATAAAGATAAAAAAGATATATTAAAACGATAATACTGTGGAACCATATTTAATAATAATTTAGTAATATTATTACTGATTTATACTGTGGAACCATATGGAACCAACTGATGAACCATGTGGAACCAACTGATTTATACTGTGGAACCATATTGCTTACATACTTCATGAAGACAGAGAATGTGGCTCTTGTATTTTACCTAAACTTACTTTTGATATTAAGTTGACACCATATTTATTGATATTAAGTTGACACCATATTTATTGATATTAAGTTGACACCATATTTATTAAGAAGTGTTAAACTTGCTGCATAAGTAAAAATTTTTAGCTGTATTAAAAGTTTTATTACATTATGAAATCACTTAGTTCTTGCAAGGTTATCCCATCTTTGAATGACTTTGGCTTTAATATTAGCACGATAAAAAAACAAAATATATTTTTAATAGCTGGAATTAAAATTTAGCTACACAGGTAATATAAAGTGGTAGTAATATAGTAGTGAGTTGTGACAAAAAAAAAAAAAGAAACTTAAAGTAAGTAAATATTGTTTGCATTATTTACAAGATGATGGTATCAGATTTGTTCAACTAATATCTTTTTATAAAACTAAATATTTTTTTATAAAACATATGTAAAATGTAAGTGTCATTAATATCTTAAAAAGACAATATTTATTCTTATCAATCAATCTTGTATTGATATTATATTAGAAAGTTACTACACCATAAAACTATTAAATATACATAAGGCATTTATTTTACTACTTAAAAAGTTATTATACCATTAATATTTTATTAAAGTATGTGGCTATGAAAATAGCTGTTTTAGTAGGTTCAAGTCATCTCACTTCCTCTTTAATGTTATTGTTCCAAAACTGATGGTATTTTTTAACTGATTCTCTTTAAATACCTATTTTGTTTAAACATTTTAAATCTTTTGCAAAATAAAGAACTTGTATATACAGTGTAAACCCTTGGAAATTGGAAAAATGAGGTTGGCCAGCCCCAAACTTATAGAAGTCAAATCAAATCTTTTTTGAAAACTTACAAAATTTCTAGAAAATTTCAGGAATCTCTAAGTTATAATGCTTAAAAACTAGTTTAACTTCTTTATTATTCTTAAATAATTTTATTTAAGTCCTACCAAAAAACTAAGATTTAAAAAAAGTTAATCATACATAATAAACTGAACCTTTTCTTGAAGAAGTTTGCCAGTTCCGGAGGATGATTGTAAAGTTGTTTTTTTTGTAATTTGATTCCATGGAAGCACTTCATTAAAAGTGTTTGGCTCTTCAAGATGAAAATCGGGTTTCAAAAACACCTGAAATTAATTATTTTTCTGGTTATCAAAACTATTTACTTAAAAATGTTTATATCAGTCATTTTTAAAAACAGTCATTCCATATTTCAAATCACAAAAGATTAAGTATTATGCTCAAATAAAATGAATAACACATTAGTATTAATGATTTCAGTGTAACATAGTCAGCGTTCAGTGATTAAGTCAAGTTACTATGTGCTGTTGGTTTTGTTTGAGTTTTTTTGTATGTTTGTTAATGTTTTGTAAATTAGTTAGCATTTGCTGTTTAGTTTTTTGCTTAAGATTAAGTGTATAACAATTAAGTTGATGAAAATATGAATGAAAAAAAACTTTGATTAAATACTTTAAAATTAAGTTTTTTTGCGAATACCACAAAATACTATTACAGTAGTGTACCCTCTGGTTTTTTCCCAGTTGCCTGCAGGATGAAGTTACTTGAATGAAACTTATGATAAAATTTTAGCTTATGCAAAGCCGTGTACTTTGTTTTTAAGGAGCAAATTATTATAAGTTTGTTAGGGAAAAAGTTATAAAAAACAAAACAAAAAACTTACGACTGTAAAAGTAACAACACTCTTGTCACTAACTGCATTATAAAAGTAATAAAACTATAATAGTGTTATTACTTTATAAAGCACATATAACTTTTAAAGTTCATTCTTTATTCAAACAACATTAGTAATTCCAAACTTTAATAAAAGTAGATAAGCACCTAGAAAATATAAAGTGGATATTCAAATATTATTAAAAACTTTGAAAACTTTTACAAATACTTAAACAACTTTATAAAAAGTTTGGCATAATGAAAAACGTAACTAATAGTTCGTAAAAACGCACGTTAAGTTTAAAATCAACCAATAAAAAGTTTTTATTAAATGATTTTAAAATTAACGCGTGTTTTTACGGACCATTAGTAACGTTTTCACCATACATATAAAGTTGTTTAGGTTCCTTAATAAGTTTTAAATATTATTTGAATATCCACTCTATATTTCTAGATGCTTTTCTAGTTCAATTAAGATATATTTTTATTAATAAACACACTCTAATAAGAAACAAACTGTCTGGTCGTCCTGCTGGGCTACTGACAGACTTTTTTTTTTTATTTCAGTTACCCTTAGAGAAAACGAGTCGTCTTGTGCCACCAGACAACCATGAGGGTACACCACTGTATTATGAACAATTTTTTTTTAATAAAAAGAGATTATTTAAAATAACTGATTCTGTTTTGCAAAAAAAAAAAAAAAAGTAGTAGAATTATCAAAAAATTGAAAAATACCTCCGGTATTTCTGTGTCTTCATTTTTTAATTCTAAATTTGAAATTATAGAATATTAGTTTTATAGTATTCCAATAATTATAGAATATTAACTTTATAGTATACCAATAATATTAGTTATATAGTATACCAATAATATTAGTTATATAGTATACCAATAACTATAGAATATTAGTATTTTAGTATACCAATAATTATTGAATATTTGTTTTATAGTAAACCAATAATCAAAAGAAATAACATAAGAAACTAGAGGTTTTGTTAATGAGGTTTAAAAATAAATTTTGAACACACTTTATTAAATTACTTTTAAAACAAAGTTCAAGCCAAATATTGTCTTCAACAACACATCAATACATTAAATATTGTCTTCAACAACACATCAATACATTAAAAACAGTTTTATAAAAGTAAATCATGGTAGAAAAATAATAAAAACACAATAACATAGCTAACCTTCCAATAAACAACAAAAAGTTGTTTTAAAATATAAAAAAAGAGAAGTACATATTAAAAAAACCTTATGACTATAACTGGAACTAACCTTTGTATTTTACATCTTTTTTTTTCCCTGAATGAGGAGCAAGTATAGTGCGTTTTAATCGTACATGATGCAGATATTTCTTTAAAAAATAAAATATACAACATTTAAATGTACAAAATATTATAAAACTAAAAGCTATATTTATAAATGTAAAGGTTGCATAATTTCTAATTTGTTTGATGCAATCTTCAAGACCATTGCTGCAACCTAAAAAATCATTAAAACTTGTTTTTATTGATTTCAAAATCTTTTATTGATTTTAAAGTCTTTTATTGATTTCAAAATCTTATAACAGTTAGAGCACCAAATAAAAAAATATAGCAGATGCTGCTACTCTCGCCTGAACTGTAAACATTTGATAGAAAAAAAAGAGTATATATATGCAGGCCTAACACATTACCTCAAACTATTAATATCATCGTGATTTTGATGTCATAAAACTCATTTAAACTACCACAATAAAATAAATTACAGCAAAATGAGTTTAATTTACTAAGAAAAACAAATCTTGAAATGTTATTTTGGTAATGTGCATATTGTGGAATGTCTATTTTGTTTCATTTTTTTTTGTTTTTTAATATTAAATAATTAAATTTAATTTTACATTTTTTATTATCATTTAACACTAATTTATTTTCCTTTCTCGACACCTGCATTTGTATTTTTTTAAATTGCAGTTTTCAATTTCAAGGGTTTCATTTTCAAGGGTTATAATACACTGCAAAAAAGCTAAATTTATCTACTGAGAAAAAAAAGATAGCACTAAAAAAAAAAAAAAAAATTGTAATAAAATATCAAACTTTAATTAAATAAACTAGAAAAATTTGATAATTAAAATAAACAAATTCAAAAAAAAAAATTCAAAAAAAAAAACTTATTTGCCATGTATACTAGAGCTATGAAAATCTTAGTTTTTTTCTTCTTGCATTTATTTGTTTTTTATGTCTTTTTGCTTTTAAAAATGTTTTTGCTATATTTGATGTTTTTTCTATTTAACGTTTATTAAATTATATTTATTATATTATGTATTTTAATTGTATTTGACGTTTTTTATATTATAAATATTAAACCTGATGATGCATTAAAACATTAGTTCAATTTGAAAAAAAATTTATGCATCATATTTACACCATATTCTTACATCAGTGTCTACATCATTAACCTTTATAACTTCTTGACCCAGAAAATTGTAATTCAATGATTGAACAATTTTTAATGATTTTGTAGTAGATTTAGTATTCATTTCATTTCTCTTACATTTAATTCTAATCTGTTTTTTTTTTATTTTTAAAGCTCTATTATGTTGCAATAAATTTTAACACTTTGTAATGACGGAAGAAATTAAACCAAAAAATAGTATGGTTTCTTTCATAAATGTATTTACCACATTTGATGCCTGTCTGAAACTGTTTCCTTTATATTGCCCAATTTCCAATGTTAATACAAATTACTAGAAATAATGAACATAATAATCGTTTGAAAAAATGTATTTAAAAACTTTAAAAAAAAGTATTGAATAAGCTCCTAAAAATCTTCATAAAAAAAAAAGTATACCATTTTCTTGATGAAAACATTACATGGAGAGAATATATAAATGTAATTGAGAATAAAATTTCAAAAAATATTGGTATATTGATTTAAGCTAAACAATTCTTAAATCAATCCTTTTGAAATACATATACTTTTTATTCATACCTAAACTAAACAGACATTGCTTGGTGCAGCACCAGCTTTACAAAACTAAGTAAGCTTCTCTGCAAACATAAACATGCTATTAGGATTATTAAAAATATAATTTGTTTCTCGCATACAAAAACACTTTTTTGTAAACTTAATATACTAAATATTTTTAAATTAAATCTTTATCATATTCTTATATTTATGCTTAAACTTGATTAAAATATGGCGCCGTTGTCATGTAACTCTTTATTAAAAAAACATTAATCATATATAAAGCACAAGATTTTCGAATAATAACTATAGTCTACCCAAAACCTATTATTCAGCCACTAAATTCGCAATAACAAACCGAGGACCTAAATTATGGAATACACTTTTAAATAAAAAAAACACTTTCTTCGCGTAATCAGTTTAAAACAAAACTTTTTACTGAACGACAATGAATAAAACTTTGTTTTAAAAAAAGGCATTTAAATAAGAGTATTCTTATAATTAATTTTTTTTTTAAACATAATTAATATATTTATTACCTTCATATATATACAAATAAATATATATATATATATATATATATATATATATATATATATATATATATATATATATATTATATATATATATATATATATATATATATATATATATATATATATATATATATATATATATATATATATATATATATATATATATATATATATATATATATATATATATACACACACACACACACATATATTATCAAATTGTATGATATGTATACTTCTAATTCAAATATATGTATGTGTTGGAACTATAGTTTTTATTTTTTTATGCATATATTTTTTCTCAATTATTTTGCTAGTTAAATAATTACGCAAGCAAAGTATATAAATTATTAAAAACAAAAAAAAAATTATATATTTAACTATTTATTTATTCAACTACATAAATATTATAAGGTAAGGAACAGTTTTTTTTTTGTTTTTTTGTTTTGTTTAGCTTTTGCTATGTTAGTTATCTCTATTTTATTATATTTTTAGTAAATTTTTACAGTGCAAAAAAATAATTATTATTATTATTATTATAATTTTATCTTTTGATTATGTAACAAAGTTTTTATAAACTATGTATCTTACAGAATATATTACAGGGTTTAGTGATAAGACAATTATAGTCTTCATTTTGCCCCAGTTATGTAAATCTTTTAATCATGTAATTAGTAATAGTAAATATTAGGGTCATTCCATATGGAATCATCCAGACCATAATACCCTTACGTCTAAGAACTTATACAATTTTACCTCACTTGCAGTCCATTAAAAAAATAATAACTGCTAAAATTTTAGTTAAAAATACACTTGGGTTACAGAGATATAGTCAGTTGAAATAATGCTGAATCAGCATTTTAGTGATTATCTGAAGCGACTACAAAGCAACTTTGACATATAGTATCTTCATATTGGCTTGGGGAAATTTCCTAAAATTTGGTTAGATTTTTACTTGAGGAATCCAAAAATAGCACCCTCAAGACTCGATTGTCTCAGGAAATGCCTTGTTAATCCAATTTTATTCAAAACTATTGACTAAATTAATGATGATAAATTGTAAATTTGGAGGTAAAATGAAGACTGTGGCCCAAAATCCTGAATAAAAGGTTTAATTGTATATCAATACTTTATCAGGTCTACTGAAAAAAAATTTAGATTCATCAATTGTCCCTCTTGATCAAAATTTGTGTTTAAAAATTGTGTTTTTTCAGAAAAATTTTGTAATAAAAGCAATTGAAATGTTTTTTAAAACATTTATTTGAATAAAACATCAAATAGTGTTATTTATTAACTAGTTTAGGACATTTATAGTTATAGGACACAGGAGAGCCAGGGGGCCTCTGACCAACTTTGCCCCCCCCCCCATCTCTTTTTTTTTTTTTTTAAATACATAAAATTAATAAGTAATGAATAATTATTAAAATTCGATTTAAAAACATAATTTTTTTTTGTTTAAGTTTGAGAAACAATTTATTTTCATTATTTCAAATCAATAAATACTTACCTCTAATTTCAAAGTAAGCATTCAAAACAGAGATCTTTTCACAATTTTAAAAATCATAAACTTTAAAACCAAGGATATTGAAATGTTTTTTGAAACATTTTAACAATCAATATCTTTATGATATTATTCAGTAGTTTAAGATATCTAATATAGTCATTGACATGATAAGGTGGACAGTGGGGTTTATTTAAATCCAACTCCCTCTCAGTCTTCCATCCAAGTATTTGACAAAAAAGAAAAAAAGAAAGAAAAATTCTAAATGCAAATTAGGTAAATAAAATTACAACAAAATTATTTTAAATGTATTTAATTTTTTTTTTTGTTGTAACCAACTGCTTATATTCTACAAATCTAAATTAGATATGTTGTACGTACAACCTGATATTGTTGTGGGTGTAGAAATTAGACATATAACTTTAGAATTAAGCACTGAATACTCATTGAATAAAAGAAGTTTTTACCTAGTCCATGTGGTTGCATGAACCTGACTTTTATATCAACCTTATTTAAATCTTCAGTAATCCCTACCCACCATAAAAACATGCAATATAATCCATTTTTTTAATGTTTAATAAAATACATGTATCAATACTTGTTTAATAACTGTTTTATAATAACTTATAGTGTTTGAAACAATTGGAATAAAATGATGACAAATCCTTGTGCTAGGAACTGTTCTTCCATCTAAATATCTTTTTTCTAATTGTGCTTGTGTTTGGTCGATTTCATCTTTAGAAAACAATATAAAACAAATTCTATTTATCTTGGCTTTGCAAAAGGAGTACATTAAATTAACATCTAAAATCTGCCCAGTAGAAATTTGCTTTAGACTTTCTTGACATACTACTCTTTTAACAGCCCCACCAATACCATCACAGGAGGATTTACCAAGACTGGTAGCAAAAAATACCATTCAGTATTTAAATCAGTCTTTACTGTGATGACAAAGATTGATAAAGTTTTCAAAATTTTTAAATTGTGCTGCACAACCATCGGAAAAGTATTTCACACTTGATATATCAGGTAGATTTTCTTTCATATATCTAGTTATATCTTCCTGAGTCTTGCAATTAAATCCTGTGTCATGATCAACATCTTCTGAAAGTAACAAAAAGATTTATGTTTGAGAACTTTTTTCTCTATAAAATAAAGTACAATTGTAAAAAGTGAACATTGACTTTTGCTCCAGTGATAACTTTAAACCTTATCCTGAAAAACATATTGATAATTTTCAGCAAAATCTCCTAAAATTAAGCATTCGTTTTTGTTAAGATTTTCTTTACATCATTTCAACTATCTACTTTGTGTTTGTTTGTGAATGCGTGGTAAGGTTATCAATGCTGTCACATAATAAATCATTAAATTCATCTAGTTGCAATGATTGTAATAGTAGTGTTGTACAATAAGTACTTTGCGATTGCTTGAATGCTGCATCTTCTTCAAGCTCATGGTCCATAAACCCCTGCACTAAAAAACTTTTTAATGCTTTAATACCAAGGCATTGGTTACATCGATGTAACATACATTCTGTATTTTCAAGAGAACAAACAATCAATGCCATGAAATCTTTATTACTTTTATTCCACCTAATGGGATCAATAAGAAATTTTGTATTTTGGTGATGTATGCATACACAATGTGTACTACACATACATTATGAATACCTGATGCATTAGTTGTAATGCACCATTTTGGATTTAAGAGTACAAAACTTTGACTAACTGACTTTGACGCTAGAATAATCTTTTTTAAATGCAATTGAATTTTCATTAAGTTTTCATAAGTTTCCAGTTTTTTTTTTGGGCAATGATAGAATTCCATGCTTATTTTAAACTTTTCTTGCATATCGAACAAGATACTCAGACACTTCAAAGTAGCTTGATATCTTTGTACATGTCCATGATTTTGGTGTGAGTGTTAACATTTGCATCTCATGGCAATAAGAGTTTCATGGTCATTGCTAATGTTGTTGTTTGAAATAGGGCTTTTTATTTCTGTTGTGAAAGAAGTTTCTTTAATGTTATATGCTAAAGAGACCACTTTTGCAACTCTGTCAATAGTGTTCTCAAACTTTTGTTTTGCTGCAGGCAATTTGCTGTGTTTTGAAAGACTTTTTAGTTTGACTGATGAATTTTTTTTTTTTATATAAATAATGTTAGATTACCTTTTATAGCAATTTTTTTACTTTCCTTGTGTGTTCCAAATAGATTGCAACACTTAGTAATTTTTCTCTCAAAGTATTTTCCATAGAATTGCTTATGATAACAACATATAATTCTTATGGAACAAAATCTTTCCTATAAATTTGGTTGGCATATTATTTCTTCTTGTTTTTGATTACAAGGATGATCTTTGAATTGAATAAAACCTTGTTTTCTAGAAAATCCAGGTTTGTAGCAATAAATGTTAAGACTTTTTTCAAAATTACATTTCTCCACATTTCCACAAAATTACACATCTCCACAAATATGTTTATTATTTATAATATTACTTGCCAAAAAATACAAAAATAATAAAACTCACAATTATTCTTTAAGAAAATACAAACAAGTAAAGTACAACCTTTAAAAAGAACAAAACAAAACTTTTGCTTGTTTTTGATATAATAAGAGGTAAGCATTCACCAATTTGAAATAAAACAATGAAAATAAATTGTTGCTCAAACTTAAAATAAAATAAAAAAAATGTTTTTAAATTGAATTTTAATAATTATTTATTATTAATTCATTTTATGTGAAAAAAAAATCCAAGAAGATTAGGGGGGGGGGGGAGATAGTCATCAGCCCATCACTATAAATGTCCTAAACTAGCCCATAAATAACACTATTTGATGTTTTATTCAAATAAATTTCTTTTAAAACATTTTAAATGCTTTTGTTACAAAATTTAGTTTTTCTAAAAAGATTTTTGTTTAAAAAATCTTTTTAGAAAAACCTAATTTGCGTTTAAAAACAATTTTTAAACACAAATTTTGATCAAGCATTAGAGAGACAATCGATAAATCTATTTTTTTTTTTCAGTAGACTAAGATAAAATATTGATATACAATTAAACTTTTTACTCAGGTTTTTGGGCCACAGTCTTGATTTTACTTTTAAAAATCATGAATTTTTAAGTCAATAATTTTGAACAAAATTGGATTAACAAGGCATTTCCTGAAACAATCAAGTTTTGAGGGCGCTATTTTTGAATTCCTTAAAAGTAAAAATCCATTGGGTACCAAATTTAAGGAAATTTTTCCAAGCCATTATGAAGATTCTATATGTCAAAGTCAGTTTGTAGTCACTTCAGACTATCTCTGGAACCCATGTGTATTTTTATCTAAAATTTTCGCAGTGATTATTTTTTTAAAGTGGACTGCAAGTGAGGTAAAAATGAACAAACTCTGAGATGTAAGTGTGTGAAAAATGTTTTTTTTTGGATGATTCCATATGGAATTACCCATTATTTAACGGGGAAATATTAAAAAAAAAAAAAAGTAATATTTTATTTTATAACAGTAAAGGGAGTTACACTAGTACAAAAGTTACAATTTGTACTAGTGTAACTCCCTTTACCGTTCCTTTACCTTTACGCACACGCTCACACACACTGTGTGTGTGAGCGTGTGCGTGTATGGTTATTTTGAATAAAAAGTTGATAACAATTTTTACGAGTCCTGCACATTTTTTTTCTTTTTCTTTTACTAAATATTTTGGATGTAAAAGTTAGGTTAATAAAAATCAAATTTCCTTTGTTTTTTTTAAACTTATTACATTTATGAAAAGTGCTAATATCAAAATTAATTGCCATTCAAACTTTTTAACATAATCTTCATTCAAACTTCATTAGTGGTTTTTATAATGTTAAATACTTCTTACCACTTAAATGCTATCTTTAGACTTGTTTAAATATTCAAAAATAATAAAAAGTGACTCGAGTGAAATGGCTTACAGCTTACGTTAAATGGCTTGCCATTTTACGCTTTAAAACAAGGCCTGATATGTAAATAAAACAAAAAAAGTTATAAAAATACAAATTTAGGATTGCAACAGCATCTGATATATGTAAGAGATATTGGGATTTATGTGTTTTTTGGGCATATATGTAACTTTTTAAACATCACTTCCTTTACTTATTTTAATTACTAATTACTCATTACAAATAATTACTTTTAATTTTTTATAATTAGTAGATTCCATTACTAATTTTTGCTTTAAAAAGAAAAAGTAACCACTTACTAGTTCATATTTTTTCCAATAATCAAGAAAGAGACTTCGTGGAAAACATGGAAGAAGAGTTAAAGGTATAATGACTTGAGGTACAAAATCTTCTCCCCAAACTCGAGTAAAGAAATCAGTTTCTCTACTTTTCCGTTTGGGGTCATTTAATACAGCTGATAAGTTTTGACAAGGAAATTGTGTCCAACCTGTTTTAATATCACCAGGCAAAAGGCTATCATCTTTATATTTGAGATAAGATAATGAATTTCTTTTTGAAATAGTTAGATTTTCTTCATTGGAGTGATTCGGATCTAAAAACAAGATAAAATTGCTTTATGATAAACTTTCATTAAAACTTTTTCTGTAAAGTTTGAGTAATGTAACATAAAACAATACTAAAAGTATAAAACTCATTCATTCAAACTTATTCAAGGTTTAGTTACAAAAGTCTTTAAATAAAACTTGTTGCATGGAATTACTTGCAACCATTCAAGTTGGGAGTTAACAGAAAGGGAAGAAAAGAGCTAAAAAGCAAGAAACTTTAGACAGAAGACTTAAAAAAATATAAATTAAATGAGTCAGGAAAATAATATTATGGGAGAGGAAAAGCAACAGCAAAAGGATGCTATTCTAGGAACCTGCTTAAAACTCTAAGAAACTAGATTAAACTGTAATCAAAATGTTAGAGCTGTGGACATTAATGAGGAGCGATATAATATATAAATAGCAACAATCAGAAGAACAACTCATTCATGATGGAATTAGCTTACCTTTTGGTGAGGAAGACAAACTTAAAGAAATTGAAATTATTGAAGAAATTTTTATTACTCTAGATAATATATTATAATATTTAATATAACAGGTCTCGGCAGTAATAAAGGTTTGCAAAATCAGAGAAAATTTCTCCTAAAATGAACATGACAAGTCAAGCAAGCTGCTTTTCTAAAAAGCTTTTTAAGAGAGCTTTCAGTTTTTACTCGGGCTATCTGTTTATTCATTAAATAAATTGCTTATTAAACAAAAAATTTGGTGTATGCAGGTCACAGGTGTATGCTTGAGGTGTTAATATTACAAGAATATATACATAACAAGCATTGTTTATTGTGCCATGAAAAAGTTCCTTAGACAAGCGTCAATAACAAAATTATAACGCAACTATTTAGAGCATAACAATTTTATATTATAAATATATGAGTTTGCACTAAATGAAACAAAAAGTAATAACATTTTAAAAGATTTTTTCAAATTTTTAAAAATATTTAATATTATAAACTGAACTTTATATAATAGCTTTAATATGAAGACATAGCATTAACTTAGTAATTATTAGACATTAGCATTAACTTAATATTATTTTGTAAATCTTTTTTTTAGTCAATGCTAAGTCTTCCTATACTGGAAGACATAGCATTGACTAAGAAAAGGATTTATGATTTTTCTTAGAATACTTAGAATATCTTTGGGGATAGATAATAAATCCACTTGACTCATTGGATAATATTTGCATATTTGCACTACAGATTTTTTAATGGAGAAATTCAAAACTTTATATTTTTTTTTATTTCAACAGATTTTGAGTCCATTAAAGCATAGAGATTTTATTCATGTTGATTGTAATTTCAACATTATAATTGGTTTTAAAATTATTAATATTCAATTGCAGTAGCCAATTCTAGTTACGCCAATTTGCACTATCCCTGATGATATTTTCAATTTATCATTTTATAATAACATTTTTATAAGAAACTAATTTTTTTATTTAAGAAACCAATCAGTCCAATCTAATTATAAACATTTGCATTTGATGCTTTTTTTTTATTTATTATTTTTTTTTTTTTCTTCAGTAACTGCCTTTAAAAAAGTTTATTATTGATTAATTTTTAATGTCTAATTCTACTAAAACTTTGCATTAGAGTTATGTAATATTTATATTCACACCTAAAATAATAAAATTCTGCTTTACCAAAAATAAAAAACAATTTGTTACAGTATAAAATATGCCATTTGTATAGTTAAAATCTCAAGAACTACAAAAAAAATTCAGTAACTGTTATGCAAAGTAAATAAACAATGACATTTAGTGAGCAAAAAAAGTCAATCTGAAATTCAAACTTTGTCTTTTTTATTCAAGTAGTTTACACAAGAATTTTTAGTTTTTCTAATTAATATCTAAATAAAGAGAAAAAAAGAAAGTTGTTTATATTTAAGCAAAACTTTTGCAAGAGCTATAAATTGGTCTCGCAAACCACTTTTAAGAAGTGGTTTGTGGTCCTGCCAAGGCCTGATGTAAAATAAAGCATAACTTATGCTGTGAATTACAAATAGTGTACCACATTAGGTTTTATAAGTAAGTATAACAAATTATTATATCAATCAACAGCAAAAAAAAATGGTTATCATGAACTCTAATAACAAAAATTCAAAGTAGCAGAAATAAACCAGGTTTTTTAAAACAGATTCCAATTATTGTTGTTTGTAATTTTTATAACATTTTTTGGAAAGATGCTTGCTGGCCACATAAATATATTTATAATTTTATGGTGAAGAAAACTAAAAAGAAAATCACTGCAAGACCCAGTATTGTCATCAGCTTTGTTTATATTGGCTTAGTTATCATCAGTCAAAAATATAAATAAAGCCAAACATATAACCACCAATTTCTTCTAAAATCAAATTGACAAGTCATTGCCTGAAAATTTTTCTAGATTGATCACCCTTGACTTGTCTTTTAATGGTTGTTTTTTTTACATCAGCTAAAATAAGAACATTGCTTTTAATACAGTTTATGCTATATTAGAATAAAAACCTTGTTTGAATTACTAATGGAACTTTTGTAATGCAGAAAGTGGGATATTAAAGTAAATATAGAAAGTGCAGAAAGTGGGATATTAAAGGGAATATAGAAAGCCGGATATTGTGCATAACACTTTGTGCAAGATATTTTGTACAGAGAACTGTCAACTTCTACCAAAAATAAAAAAGCTCAAAAGAGAATCACAACGAGATTGAATGGTTATGTTTGCATTTCCCTTTTCCTTCCACCAGTGTTTTATCTGATAGTGATTCTGTTCAAAACACTGCAAACATATCATTGAAAGAAAAGCTTGGCATTTTTAAATGATAATAAATTTAAAAATAAAAGTAAGTTTCTGAAATTTTTATAAAATTTTGCTTCTTATATAATGTAAAACTGCTCAACCAAGCAAATACATTGTTAACGTGTAATTTAAATTTATTAAATAAAGGTGCTATATTTACACCAAATTGTTCAAAGCGGAAAAAAACTGCTGCATTTAATCTAAGCTGAAGGCTACCTGGGAACTTCAGATGCCATAGAAATGCAGTTCGAAGCAGTTTACAATCTAATAGAATCTTTTGACCTCAGTTATTACAACAGTGTATATGTTTTGATACTACTTCTTCCAACACTGGAAACCACCACAGAGTAATAACAAGAATGGCTAACAAGTAAGCAATGACATAAGCTTAGGCATAAGCTTAGGCAGCCACTACTTTTCCTTGCCTGTAGAAATCTTGTTTTAGAAAGACATATTTCCAACTTTAACAAGATTTCTCCCGGTAGTAAAATGTCTGCTCCAGACAATGAGCTCTTTAAACACCTAAAATCATTAGAGGCAGTTTCTCAAAAGGAGAGGTTCAAATTTCATATTGCTGATCTGTTGGACCATGCAAGAATCATTGCAAAAGCATTGTATTACCTTAAAATATATTTGTTGGAAATCACTCCAAATTTATCGAGAGAAATATAAAAGAGATATGGCTATGTTTGAAGACATCTTTTACACTCAGTGGTTCCTTAGAGCAATATCTGCAACTGCTGCCCCATATCAGGTATAAAATAATTAGAAGAAATAAGGAAACAGATTTAGAAAGATTAGCTTATTGTTTGAATGATGAACTAATCTAACTTTATTAAAATGTTTTGTAGGACATAAAAACGCTGTGTTAGATAAAGAGGTTCATAGATAAATCTTCATGCTTCAGCAATTATCTTTATCATAGATAAATCTTCATGCTTCAGCAATAAATTCATTTGGCAAGCACAGCTGGCATCTTGATCCTGTCTTAGTTGTGCTTGCTTTAGCAGATAAACATTGCCCAAACAGAGAGGATATTGCCAAAGCATTGTATAGTACACTTCCCGCAAAACCTAAACTATATCTACTTAAAACTGATTGGAAAAACAACAGAAAAGACAGGATTTGTTTAACCACTTTTACAAAAGAAGTAGGCAAAAGGAAAAGAAAACAGATTTAGCATCAAAACCCAACTAAAAGTATTTTTAAATAATAACTTGTTAACAATTTAAAAAAAAGTTTAAACTGAGTTAATTTTGTTTTTCTCACTTGTCTTCCTGCAACTTGAAAGAAAGGTATATTAATAGAGGAGAGCTGATCCACCTTACTTTAGATACTTCACTAAGTTTGATATCCACAATAATATAGCATATTTTAATAACTTATTTATTTAATGTAATTATTTAATTTGACTTTAAGTGAATTTTGTTATAAAAAAAGACGTAGAAGAAAATAATTTTTTTTTTGTCTACTTCATTACTTTTTCCATAACTTTTTCAGTGTTGAAAAAAACAAAACACAGAAAGAGTGCCTAATTTTTTTTTTCATAATTAGTCATTATGATAACAAATATAGAAAATTAAATTAAATAATGTTGAAAGGTGGCACACATAGATCAAAAATGTCAAAAAAAAGTAAAAAAAAAAAAAAGTTATTCAGGGGCGTGTGTCACCCTTGAACTTTTTCTAAATTAGAAAAAAAAAAATTTTACATAAAAAACAAGGATCTGCGCACCTTATAAGTTTCCACTCTAGTTTGAAAAATTTTCACCTTAATCTGAACCTAATATATATGCTAGACACAAAGCTAAAGATACTTAAAAGACTCTTGAAATCGTTTTTGACAAGTAACTGGAGCCAAGCCAGAATCAGAAACTTTTTAAGAGCTGTAGACAAGCCATAAAAAAATTTTCGGCTCCAAAAGCCTGCAACCAAGTAAGGCATCAGCTCGCTCACTTAAACACAGCACTTAAACACAGCACAATCAATAAAAGTTTTTTTTTTTATTAAAAATAAAATTTTTTGATTAAAAACAACACTAAACAGTCCTCAAAAAAAGAAAAAAACAAGGTTGGCAATTTATTGCTGACCAAAAGCTGTTCTTTGGTCAGCATCAGTTTGGCATAAAATTTTTAACACAAAGGTTTTACTACAACAACATAAAACTGTTAACCAACATAGAATTGATCATTAATAAAGACTTATCAGATTTTTCTGAAATTGATGAACCACTGTGCAAAATGATAAAAAAATTATAAAATTTATATTTGCTTTTAGGAGTAAACAAATAAATGTGAAATGATATATATGCTTGCTACTAAAAGCAACAGTTAAAGTATTTTGTATTAGTTTTATTGTATATTATTGTATTATATATATAAATTGACCTCAAACAGTTAGAGGTTAATTTATATATATATATATATATATATATATATATATATATATATATATATATATATATATATATATATATATATATAACTCTCTCTCTCTCTCTCTCTCTCTCTCTCTATATATATATATATATATATATATATATATATATATATATATATATATATATATATATATATATATATATATTAAAATGCACTGTAGAGTTTCTAGGAACGGTTTGCGATGCTAAATAAAGATCATCTAATGCAACAATTTGTTATATTTTATGATAAAATAATAGATCTTAGGATTATCGTAATAGTAAACCACAGTTTCTTCAATAACTCCATATATCAAAAATTTGGTATATAAAATCTCATAACTTTCAGTAGAATTGTTTGATTTTGATAATTTTTTCACCATTAAAACTTTATTAAAACTTTTTCCAATGGTGTATAACAATTCAGTATTTGATCAATTTAAAATTTTACAATCCACATACCTATTATAGCTTTTAAATATAAACTACAATTGCCTAAACAATATAATGAGATGCAAAAAACTTAAACTGTTGTTTTTAGGAGCAAACAAATATATTATTTCACAAAAAGATTTATTCAATATATAAATATAAATATATATATATAAATATATATATATATATATATATATATATATATATATATATATATATATATATATATATATATATATATATATATATATATATATATATATATATATATATATAAAGAGAGAGAGAGAGAGAGAGAGAGTAAACTAAAGTTACCATTTAATCCAATATGTACTTTCTCAATATGAGTTAAGTATTCTTTTTCATTTGCTCCTTCTATTGGTAAAATAGAACAAACATTATTTCTACCATACTGACAAACAAATGAACCTCCTTCTTTACCACAGTGAAGATTTTTAAGATGATTTCGAAAATCATCAGCATATGAAAAATATTGTTGCTGTTTACAATAAAGACACTTTCTCCTGAAATTTGACACATTATCACCATTTTGAACCAGGGTAATACTCATCTTGGTCACAGCATCATGATTACTTGATCATCCTGATGGCTATTGTTACTTTTATCTTTTTTATATAACTTGTGACACAAGTTGTATATGTAACATAAATAACTACAGAAGAAAAAGGTTACATTTTACTTTTCTTATTACTTTTAAAATGATACTTTTTTTAAATTAATATTTTTCTTGATACTTTTAAAACATAAAAGATGAGGAAAAATAAAGCTAAACAAAAAAAAAACTTATTAAGTAAAAAATTTAATTTAAAAACGGAGAGAAGGACGGAGGGGTTCGTTATAACAAGTATTGGATAAAATATTTTTAAAAATATAATAGTCATTATAAGTTTAGTCATCATAAATTTTGATTGCACAAATTCCTTTTTTATTTTCAATATATATTATTATATATCATAATATATATTTCAATATATACTTGAACTTAATTTTATTTTTCACTCGGTTTATCTATTTATATATAACATAAACAATGTTTAAAAATGGTGCACTAAAATGCGTGTAACCGCACTTTAACTGCCATATCTTTTATTATTTGTTTCGCCTATTGTATTCAAAACATCCGCCGTCATTTTAAATTTAGTCGACTTTGATTTCAACATTTACGCGCGCTCCTGGTAAAAAATAATGCGCGAATATGGTAAGCGAAAGATACTATGACTCAAAATGAGGTCTTGATTTTTTTTAAAAACGAAGACCAGATATATTACTGATTTTAGGAGAAATGTAGGAGAGTGCTGCTACATCGATTGATCTATACCTGTCTTAACCCAAACCCTCTGTCGATGTAGCAGCATTCCCTTGCATGTTATCTCTAAATAAGTCAATGTAGAAGCACTCTCCTACATTTCTCCCCAATTCAGTAATATATCTGGTCTTCGTTTTTTAAAAAGTCAAAACCTCATTTTAAGTCATAGTATCTTTCGCTCACCGCGCGAAGATTAGTTTTATTACTTAAAAAGAAGATGAACCTGGAAAAGGTGAATTTAAAATTACGAGACTTATGATGGGTATTTTTATTGGCGCAAGTTGTTTGCGTTAAAAAAAACTTTTCTGGAAGAGATCCTAAACAAAAATAATTTTAGTTCCAGAACTTTTAAACCGTTTAAGATGATAAGAAATGTTTCTTACATTAACTCACTATCATCATAAATTTTTATTTAAAAAGATTTAATCTATACAAATTTAGTTACAATAAGTTGCAGGATAAAGTAAAATGCAACTCTAGAATACAGGAGTAGAAGGATATATATATTTTTTTCAAATAAGTTATCGTTTTTTTTAATTAATGACTAAAACTAGAAAAATAACAGTATTTACAGCATGTGATGTTTTTTTTAAGGCTAAAGCTGTATTCACTATCAAAGATGCTGTTACGAACATTATGCAAAGTGTTCATGAAGTTATTGACATCTCAAAAAATATTGATTTTAAAAAACAATGTTTAGAAGTGTTTAGTGTAAGTAACTTTTAAAAAATCATTATTAGTTTTATTTATTTTAGACTCTCAAATTGCAAATGTTTATAAAAATTATAGATTGTTTTTAATAGATATAAAAAGAGACAAAGGTAAAAAAAAAAAGATAAACTGAAATGCATATTTTTAAACAGATTAAATTGATACAGGTCTTACTAACCACATACTTATCAGTGTCATATAATAATAACAAATAAAACTTTAAACTTTTTAATTCTTTTTTAATTTTCAATTAAAATTTAAATTTTAGTTAAATTTAAGCTATTAAAATTTACACTTATTGAATGTGTTTGTACTTAAGAGTGTACCTATAATGTTCTATTGTATAGAATAATTTGTATCTTTTTGTTCTTTTTGTTTGCTACATATATAAATTTGTATGCTTAAACAAAAAAATTTGAACACTTACACTTATAATAGATAATTATAAATGCAAAAGTTTTATCTGCAACTTGATAGAAATATACGTGCAACTTTGGCACCATGTTCGAATAAATAATTGCTGCATCTTGACTAAGACAATTTTAATTCATATTTTAAATTTATAACTTACAACTTAGATTTTTTGCTTGAGTTATAAAACATTTAAACAGAATTTTCTACATATTTATGTAAAACTTTACCTTTATATAATGGAAAAATAGCTAACAATCCTTTTTGTTAAAAATTAATCTAGCTATTTTTTCTAGTATTCTGTAACTCCAAAGTTGTTTTTCAGTTCTGATACCAACTAACTTGGTGGTGTCAATGTAACTTCTAATAATGACTTATGACTCTAATTGTAAGTATTTTAAGATTTTCTAAAAACAATTGAATTGTAAGCTTGTCCTCTGTACATTTGTCTAAAACATCTTGTTATGTTTTAGAAAAAGATTAAAAATTTTATATAATAATAAAATATTTAAACTTTACAGCTACTCACCTGTGTATGTATATTGAATAAATCATAACAAGTACCTTAAGATACATTTTTAAATTTTTTGTAACATATCTTTCTCATAATATTGTTAAGTTTAATATTTTAATGTTAAGCATAAATATAGAGTTTTTTTTACTTCATTTCATAAAGTTTCAACAAAATCTTGTTGTCCTTTGTATCCCTCAAAAGTTGTTAAGCTAATAGAAAATATCTGAAGATAATTTACTTAGTATGAACCAAGGAAAGTATTTCTAAAAACAATTAAATTTTCTTTCCTATTTAATTTTTAGTTTAAAAAAAAATTTAGTTAATCTAGAAATAGTTCAAATCTTTTTAGATTTCTTCTTTAGTATGATTCTTTGCACTGGTAGATTTTGTTGATTTTTATTTATATATATTAAGTTGTTGATTTGTTAAAAAAAATTTTAATAAATTATTTTAAAAAATTAATTGTAAGTTAATTTAAGAAATAAACAAGTTGTTAATTTGTTAAATAATTTATGAATAGTTTATGAATTGTTTATGAATTAACTTTTTATTAACTATATAATCGCCAAAGGTTAATAATTTTGTTGGAACCGCTCAGCGTTTCTAACAACAACTAGAACAAAAATGTGAATTTTTCATTGTAACATGCAGCAAGCTGAGATTTGATAAAGTATATTTATGCAGGGTTCAAACTTGGCATATCGCAAATTGCGATTGCTTTTTTTTGATTTTTTTGTGATTAGTTTTTTCTTAAAAAAAATATTTTTGCATTTTTTTTTTCTGTTTTCTCATTAATCTTTTCTTTCTTTTCTTTTTTTGACTATTCTTAAAAGAAATATTCGAGTTTTTTTATTAGGGGTCATAAATATGTCATTATCTTTTGAATAGAAGTATGACCACTTGCTATCTTGCACAGAGATTTTCATTCAACATAAAGCAATTTTGAATTTAAATTACTTTAAACCTCTACATAAAAGCCAATAATATTTTTAAGTTATATTTAGTTTGATTTACTTAATGGATTAAAGTACATCACAGTAAATTTACCTATAAATTAAATCATTTACCTATAAATTAAATCATTAAATCAACAACCATTTAAGCAACTACAGTTAAGCTACTCAACTAATTAATTTACTTAATATATTCAAAAACAGCCAAAGCTATACAAGTGTTTCTATTTATATCTTATAAGTTAACATATAGTAAGCTTTTACCTAAAAATTATTTTAACAAGTAATCTCAAGTAGAATATGAAATACATGAACTTTTTTTTTATATTTTCATTTTTTTAATAGTGATATCAAGATTAAACATATTTTATATGTACACAAGTTATTTTTAAGGAAATTTTTTAAAAAAGAAATCTTTTTAAACAAAAGAATTTTAGTCTTCTAAAATTCTCTTTTTCAATTAATTTTGTGATAAAAATTAAAAAATTGAAAAAATTTTAACATTCAATAATTATAAATTTAATAAAAAATACATACCCACTAAAAAAAATTGAATTAACATTTTATTTTTATTTATTTTTTTTTAATTAATTTTAAAAAATATATATATATATTTTTTTAATATATATAGATGATTAAGAGCACAAAGGGAATATGTCCAACATTTTACGGTATTGAGTTATTGCGCAGATATTGTATTAAAGTATGTAAAAGAAATGAATATAAAATAGTAAAAAGCAAGACAGAAATAATTGAGGAATGCATTTGGTTAAAAATCATGACAATAAATAAATATGAATTATTGTATGTTTTCAAACTTTCAAATTTAGATTTCTCAAAACAATGGTTAGTGGACGTATTCCCTTTGTGCTCCAATATATATTTTTTTAATATATATATATATATATATATATATATATATATATATATATATATATATATATATATATATATATGCAACCCTTAGAATTAGGAAAAATCAGCAATAATATACCGATCTTGATATTTTATAGATCGGCAAAAAAAATTTGATACAAGAGTCTTACCACAAAATATTGAAACCGGGTCAGCATTTTTTTGCCAACCTCAAACACTTTGAGGTCGGTATTGCCGAATGCCGACCCTAATTCTGAGGGTTAGAGTGTGTGTGTGTGTGTGTGTGTGTGTGTGTGTGTGTGTGTGTGTGTGTGTGTGTGTGTGTGTGTGTGTGTGTGTGTGTGTAGACACATACTCAGATATTACAACTTGAAATATGCTCAAGGTCAATGAATTTGAAGATCTGAAGGTTGATTCTTCAAGAAAACTAACAAATCTATTGAAAAAACGACATGGTTTACATAAAAAAGTGGATAAAGATTGTGTAAGTAAATTGTAGTTTTAAATATTTATCTTTTGTTGGTTCTATTGAACTTGAAAAAACAAAAAGCAAATTAGAAAAGTTGCATAACTTTTTAATTACTTGTTGAACTTATACATTTTTTTTTTACTAGTAGAAATAAGATTTTGTTTGAATATTTAATAATATAAAAATCAATAACTTAAATAATTGATATAATTTTGTGAGATTTATAACATTTCTATATTATATTTTAAAGTTACGTTACATATTGGAACGTAAATGAGATGAGTTGTAGACCGATCAAGACTAATACAAGTAATTTATTAAGGTTTTTATTATATTATCTAAAATATAAAGGAACACAATATACATAATATAAATATAATAACATAATATTGCAATAACACAATATTACAGTGCCAATCCTGCCATTCCTATATTTTATACGTGCATAGTGGGGCAGAACTCAATTTAACGGTCGGACAATCGGACATTGTCCGGCTAAAACCTCAGATTGTCTGCTCAATTTACAAAGTAATCAGACATTTTGACCGACGGGAATTAAATTCTACAATAAAATATTTGGACAGAATTACCGTGCGATCAAACGCTTTTGCTGACCACGCAAATGATTTTTTTTGTTTACAAATATATATATTTGTTCAATTTACAAAGTAATCGCTCAATTTACAAAGTACTTGGACATTTTGACCGATGGGAATTAAATTCTGCAAAATAAAGTTTATACAGGATTGGCATACACACATATATAATATATATATATATATATATATATATATATATATATATATATATATATATATATATATATATATATATATATATATATATATATATATATACACTAATTACTTTTATTGATTGTTTAATAAACAAAATTATTTATTATTGAAAAGAAAAAAATTTAATATTTTCAGTTCTGTATAAATTTTTTTCAAAATGTTGCAAAAAAAATTGTTTCAAATAATAACGTTGTGTTTTTAATATTGTAATTTTAAATTATTTTTTAATTAAATAAACCAAGTTTAAAAAAAAAACCTTTAAAAAAATACAAAAAACTTTTAAACAACTCTTTGTAAAAATAGAAACAAAAAAAAAGTAAAGCAATTAAATCGTGGAAAGATTTAATTTAACTTATTCATAATTTAAATTAACTTAAAAAATTATTTTATAGGATAATCAGAACAACATGGACAATAGTTTCAATTGTTTAAATTTATCATTAAAAATACATACCTAAAGTTATTCGTAAAATTATTCGTTGTCAAATGGTAAAGAAAAGTAATAGTAGGTGTTGTCAGTTAAGGTGTGAAATTTTAATTCTATCTAAAAAAACGTATAATATTAAATTCAAACTTTTTTTTATTAAAAAACAAAAATCTGCGATGAATTATTCTAATTATTCTAAATAGTAAGGAAAGCAACTACAGCTTCACTAGACTAACGTTAAATAAACTATATATGTGTGTGTGTGTGTGTTTTATATATATATATATATATATATATATATATATATATATATATATATATATATATATATATATATATATATATATATACATATATATATATACATATATATATATATATATATATATATATATATACACATATATATATACATATATATATACATATATATATATATATATATATATATATATATATCAGGCCTTGTTTTAAAGCGTTACGCCTAGAGCGATTTACGTACGCCTTAAGCGCTTTTTACGTACGCGTAGAGCTGTTTTGGTTAAGCTACTTTTTATCATTTTTTAACTTTTAAATTAGCGGTAACATAAAAGAAGTAATTAATTTTCAAAAAAACCACATTAACTTTTAAATAACGATATGTAAAGGTATTTATTAAAAAAAAGAATTTACTTTAAAATTAATTGTTGTAACTTTTCATCGCGATATATCTTTCCTTTTTATAGCAATTAATTTGACGCTAAACTTTTTATCCAAATATTTAGCAACATGAAAAATTGTTTGTCAATCCTTAACTACAAATTTTTTGCAATGTTTTTAATAAAAAGTAGTAAAGTTTTTATTAAAAAACTTTTAAAAAATCTATATTCCATATTTATTAATACAGAATATAAAAGTTTTTTGTAATATAGATTTTTTATGAATTTTTTACTGAATTTATAATAAAAAACATTTGCAAAAAAATTTGTAATTAAGAATTGACATTTTTTTAAATAAAATCTCAAAAAATGTCTTAATATTTTTGTTATCATGATAACAAAAATATCAAGACATTTTTTCGAGATGTTAAAAAAAATGTCTTTGCTTTTCTTATTAGTTTAATAGTATATAGCTTATAGTTAGTTAAATAGTATATAGCTTTTCTTATTAGTTTATTAGTATATAGTTTAAGTTATGCGGGGGGAGGAGGTCGGCACAGAAAAAAAAATTACCTATTACTCGCAATATTTGAATGAAGACAATTTGTTAAAATTCTTCTGCGTGCGATTCAATAAGTTTTTTTTGTCATAAATCAAGTTATAAAATAAGGTAAAGAAATCATGAGTAGACTACAACATCCGCTGATGACACTAATATTACGTTGAATATATTTATATAACGGAGGTTTTATTATGCACGCGCACATTACAGGTTCCGTTAAATAAATACTAAGGCACGTTTTAGTTTAATGACAGTCTCTATTTTTTACTAATGAATATGTAAAACAAAATGAACATATAAAACAAAACAAACTAGTATATAAAAACCTTGTATATTTCTATTATCTCTAAATTATTTAAAGTTCGAATATGGATTGTATTTTGAAGGACAAAAGATTTACTTTAAAAACTTTTAAATCTTGGGACTTTGCCGATGCGATGATCACAGAAAAAGAGAAGACTTTAAAATCAAATGTAAGTTATGTGATCTTCATCAAAATATTAAAATCAAATGTAAGTTATGTGATCTTCATCAAAATAAAATATTATCCAAAAACAATAGTGCCGTAAGGGCAACTGCCCAACGGTTTATAAATAATACAAGTCATGTTAAAATATTTTAACATGTTACTATATTTTAATTAAGTTGATATATAATTAAAAATAAAAATATAGCTCAATAAATAAATTAAATTTATTCTTAACAAAGATTACCTCATATTTATTCTTTTTTTTATTTTATTAAGTTAAATTGCTTACAAACAAAAAAAAAAAAGAGTTTTGTAATTATACGTAGAATGAAAATACTTTTGAGTTTGTTTATAAGTTAAGGAACTTAATTTTTAATAAACAAATTTTTACGAACGTTTATTATAAACAGATACGATTCAAATTATTAAATATACTTAAATTATTTCAGTTGAGTATTTTTATAAGTTTGCACGATTAAAGTTTGGCGTACAAGTATTTGTTTTTTTGTTTTAAGAATAATTAATAAAAGACTTTGCGTAATTAAGACTTTTATATTTAATTTAATTTTTTTTTTAATTTCCTAAAATTTAAAAAAAAAAAAGATTTAATCGTTGAAAACGATTTTTCTCTATAGCTCTGTTTCTTTGTGATTTGTTTAAAAAGTTAAATATTTTTACAATAACAAAAAGTTTATGAATTAAATTCCTAGCGAACGCGTTCTAAACTACGTATCAAAAATACGCTTCAAAGCAGACAAAACTTTTTTATATTTTTATAAAACGCAAGTTGAAACGCTTTTAAAAATTTAAAAAATATTTAAAAACTTAAATTTTTCTTTGCTAGTCAAAACAAAATCGTTGTTTAAATAATTAACATGGGTTTGTGTTTATCAATGTTAATATTTTTTGTTTACTCTAGAAATTTTAAAAAATAAAAAAAAACATTATTTTTTATTCAATAACGATTAAAAACAATTATTCAAAAACAAATTTCAGAAATAATTAATATATATATATATTTTTTTTTTTTCACTAAATAATATTGAACTAAAATTAATAATAAAATAACAATTGAAAACATTACAAAATTTTCATAATAAATTTATATTTAAAACGTTTATAGTTTATATTTGAGTTAATTGTTAAATTGAATTAGTTTGCGGTTATTTATTGCGGTAGTTAAAACACTTAACGCCTATAAAAAAAAATAAAGATAATTTTATGACGTCAAAATCGCGTTAAGCTAATGCATTAAGCACTTTTTTATTTAAAACAAGGCCTGATATATATATATATATATATATATATATATATATATATATATATATATATATATATATATATATATATATATATATATATATATATATATATATATATATAAACAACAAGAACGCTCAAAATTTTTTATGTTTCCATAGTTGACGAAAAGATTCTTTTTAATAAAAAAGTTACTGTGATGGGAGAATAGGAAAACCTAAAATCTTAGCCCCCTTCTGCCCCAAATGTGAGAGCAACAAGTTGATGAAATATTTTTTGTACTACTTTTAACTAGACTTATATTTATCGAGAAATTTTAAATTTTATATGAAAACATTATAGTGTTCAAAAGTTATAACCATATAAAGTTTTTAACCTCCTCAAATTAGGGGTGTTTATACTTTACATGGTCATAATTAACACTATAAGATAAAAATAACATGACAAAGATTTTACATAACTCGATTCCATAAAACTGTTAAAATTATATTTTAAAAATTTGATCAGACACCGTCTGACCAAAACAAGTTTTGATCAGAGATTTTGTCCGGGACATTATAAAAAATTAAATATAGCCTTTTTGGGGTGATATAGTTTCAAGTAATGTGACTGGTTCTACCAGTGGGTCTCCTTACAATGAGGTGAATTTTATGTAGGACACTATTACCTGATTCTACTTGAAAGTCAAGTAGATTAGCACCAGTAATAGTTGAGCGTTTGAAACCCATTAAACTGTTGTGTGGACTAGAATTTGTTGAAGTGCATAGTAGTGATCAAATAGAGGATAGAGCTGCAGGGAGTACCAGTTCCGAGTGAATGCAGGCAGGGTTGCCAAAGAGAAAAAATATTTCTAAAAGATGCAAACAGGTATCTGGAATACTCATCAATTATGACTAAAAGGTATTTGTTCGCTGTTTTTGAGGAAAGAGGGTCAACAAAATCTATAGCAAATCTTTCCCATGGTATGGTAGAGGAGATGAGTTGACCAGGTAGGGGTTTAAAAAACTTTAGTTTGAGCTCACAGCATACCTGACAGTTATAAATTCTGTCTCTAATTTCACCGATAGTGTAGGGTAAATTCCGTGTCTTGCAGTAGTGATTCAATCGTGTTACCCCTGAGTGACATAGTTCCATATGTAGTTGTTGTAATGCACTAAGATTGGTATTTATGGCAAGACATCTAAAGAGTGCGTCTGCTGCAATATTTTCTGGTCCAGATCTATATGAAATATTGAACTGATATTCAGATAGTTCTCACTTTTTATTTTGGAAATTCGTTCTGGATTGCAAAGGAAGGAAACAACTTTTTGATCTGTTAGAGCTCCAATTTCAGAGCAGAAAACAGTAGATGTCTCCATCAACAACAACATTCCATAACAGCCATTGGTTCTCGTTCTATGACAGATTGGCAACTTTCAGGCTTCGATAGGACTCTGGAGAAAAATGAAAAAGGTCTTCCTTCTTGACTTGTGTTCCATCAATAGCAGTTTGAGAAGCATCAGTTTTGATTCTAAGTGGAATATTTGGGTAAGGTGTTACTAAAGTTGTGCTTGTTAGTTGGTCTTTTAGTTGTTTAATGGCAGAGGTAGCTTCCTCTGAAAGTGGTATATTTTTGCTTATTGAGTCATGAGATTTAGTAAGAATGGTAGTTAGGTTGGTGCAATTAGGGATCCATTTTGCATAGTGTGCAAAGAAGCCTATCAAGGTGTTTAATTGTTTAATGTTAGTTGAAGTAGGATAATGTTGTAAAGCCTGGAACCTTTTGGGATCTGGTTTCAACGTTCTGTTTTCTATTAGGTGTCCAAGAAAACAGAGAGAGGTTTGAGAAAACTTACACTTCATGGTTTATTTTTATTCAAAAATCGTTTACTGATATTTTAAATGCTGAGAGGTTTTTGCTGTGTTATCCACATATAATTATGTCATTTAGATAATGGTATGTTTTTTGTAGTTTGTATTTGAGACATCATCCATATTTGAGAAATCGTGTATTATGCGTTGAAAGATGCTACTGCATTTGTGCATCCAATTTTTCATCAGCTTTGAAGGCGGTCAATGTATAATTTTTCTTTTTTAGTGGGATTTGGTGGTAAGCGTTTTTTAGGTCTATTTTACTGAATATACTGTTGATAGCTACCCTAATTAGTAAGTCATCTATTCTAGGACAATGGTAAGAATCCAGAGAAATATGTTTATTTTTGGTGTTAGAGAAGTCGATTACTAGACAAGGTTTTTTTGATAGGTTTGTGACAAAGCATTGGGCTCTCCAGGGGCTTTGACTAATTAGAGTAACATCATTTAAGAGCTAAGTAATTTCACTATTAATAAAGTCTGTATTTAGATTGTGTCGTTGTAAAGATGTTGCAATTGGAGTGAGTTGAGGTGTGTCAATTCCAGGAATAAATTCATATAGTTTATATTATATGGAAGATAGGGCAAGGCAGTATTCGATTTGTTCACATTTTTCTCCAAAAGTGTCCATTTTTCCCGCAGGTATTGCATGTTGAGTTTCAGACATTGCATTGAGACCTGTCATGTTGTTGACCCCAAAACCAAATAAAATAGTGTTATGTAGCCGCAAAGATAGGATGTTATTCATGTAGGGGAAAAGTTTTAGTGTCTTTTATTACCAGTTCCATAGTTGTTGCTGTAAGTAAAAGTTTTTCTAATGAGTCATTAGATGATTCTAAGAGGCGTTGACAAATCACTGGAGATAAAAGGTCAGCTACAAATGCATGGCTAATTAACATTTCTTTATGTTTATTTACGGTTAGTTGTTTTATGGGGCATTTTCTTACTAAAGAAAATCCCCCATAAAACAGCTATACATAATATACTTACACAATATACATTTTTTTTACATAATTGATTATTTGACAGACTGTCTGCCCAAACCAAACCCTCAGTGTAGCAGCACTCAGTTATGAGTCAGGCTATTTGTCAATGGATGTAGCAGCACTCTGTTGCATGTTAGGCTATCTGTCAGTCAATGCAGCAGCATTCTGTTGCAAGTCAGGCTATAAGATGTAGCAACACTCAGCTTTATCAAAACTGATAAGCTCATGTTTTACAGTTAAAAAATAAAAATAGAAACATTTAGAATGTTTTTATTTAAAAAATATATATATATATAACATTCAGAATGTTTTTAAAAACGTTTAAAATGTTTTTAAAAACATTCTAGTCTTTTAATTTGTGGTTTTGTGGTTTAATTATTTTCTGCAATTAAATTAATAAGTTTTAACATAATGTATCCTTAATTTTGTCAGCTTTAATACTACAAACAAGCTAAGAGCCGTTTTTTACCACGAAATCTAAGCTGTTTACTCTATATATATATATATATATATATATATATATATATATATATATATATATATATATATATATATATATATATATATATATATATGTATATATGTATATATGTAAAAATAGTATTGCGTACTAAGGTAAGCAATCTGACGTCATACTGAAATAGCCTGCTGCTATGGGCTTCAGTACATACATCCACTGACAAATAGCCTGACTCGCAGTAGAGTGCTGCTACAACGACTGAAGGTTTGGGATGGGGCAGCAATCTTCGTTTTTTTTTTTTTCTTCTTTTTCAAAAAAAACGGTATAGCGTAAGGTAAGCAGAAAAAGTGAGCAAATGCTTATCAAAACACGCTTTAGTAAGTGTATATATATGTGTGTGTGTATATATATATATATATATACACACACACACACACACACACACACACACACACACACACACACACACACACACACAGTGAAACATATGATTTTTTTTTATTTAGTGTATCAGTAATTTTTATAATAAAACTTGATTTTTTTAGTTTTTCAAAATAATTGTTATATTTTAATTGTATACATGTTTTTTAGCTTTCTTCAAATATTAGTGGAAGTAGTTGTAGCCAAAGTAGTGAGAGTAGTTTTTTCAGAAGTAATTCTAATTTAGTTGAGAAAAGCGAAATAACCAATCGTTGTTTAGTTAAAAAGTGCATAACTAGTCGTTATTCTCCAATTCGTAAGCGTCATCGCTCAGAGCCTCTTACTAGTTTTCCAAAAAATCAGATATATCCTGATGTAGTTTCTATAGATACAGAAAGTTTTCAAGATCTTGAAAACATGAAATTCTCAAATGCTAGTAATGAAAATGTTCTGGATACATCTATTATTTCAGATTTTATTGAAAACGCAGATTTATTTTCAAAAGAAATATCTAATGTTAAGGTTCATGAAAAAATAAATACCAAAGAAACTGTTACTCAGCCTGATTATGCAACAATTAATGATACATCTCAAACACCCTCTGTACAACATTTTACATCAAATGAGGGCTCTCCTATATCAACTAGTATTTATGGACAAGATAGCTTCAGCTTACTTAATGAAGTCGTAACTCCAGGCTCCTTTAGTAGTTTAGATGATAACTTTGAAGCTCTAGACAATCTTTTTTTTTTTAATCAATGTCCAAAAGATTATTCAGTTAACTTATAAGCTCATTGAAGAAAAACACATCCGATTAATAAAGCGAAGTAAAACAACTGATTAGATGAGGAAAAACACAATTGATTAATAAAATGAAGTAAAACAACTGATTAGGCAAAGAAAAACATAACTGATAAAAAAAAAAAAATGAAGAAAAAAATTTAACCTAAACCTAGAAGAAAAAAACAACAACTGAGAAATAGTTTCTGTTTATTTGTTGTTGTTTTTAGTTTGTTATTTTTTTTATTTAAAAAAATGTGTATATATAAAACATTATTTTAATAAAATTATATAAAATTATTTGGACATAAAAATTTTTTTCCAAATAATTTAATTCCATAATAAGTTACATATCTGCTTATTTAAATGACAACTTTGAATATTTTTTTTAGACATATCTAAAAAAAGATTATTACTTATTATAAATGAAGTTGTGATCATTATTTTTATTTTACATAAAGTATATTTAAATTTGTATTGTTTTTTTTTTCTACTTTAATTTCAATGTCTTTTTTAGTTGAATGAAATTTAAAAAACGTTTATTGCTGTTTTAAATTAAAAATTTATATTAATTTTTTTATAAATAATTCAAATTATCCAACCCTGTCCAACGTCTGTCCGATTGCTTTGTAGGATTTGCTTTTTAAGACATCTTAGCAGAGTCCTAGTTAGATGACATTTTTACTAAAACATATTTGAAAAAAACTGTGTTTAAATTTGAAGTTTAAAATTTTTTCTAAGAATAAAAATGTTCATTTTTATTTGAAACGGTTTTTTAATGTTTTATCTAAATAACACTTGTGCTGAGAAAACTTTTTATGAAGACTTACAAAGAATTACATCATTCTTTGAAAACTTATCACATTAAATTAAATAAAAAATAAAATATAAAATTTAAAAAGTTTGACATATCCAAATAAGTAAATAGTGTATATTGCTTGCTCAGAACTAGGTTCAGAACTCAAAGATTAATTTTTTTATGACAGTATATGATTTTTTATTTAATTTTTATTTTTATTTTTGATATAAGAGTATAATAATATATAAATTTGTATAAAAAGGAAAAAATATGAGGTCATTATTTGATGAAAGGAAAAATATGACGGTAATACAAATTTTTAATTACTATTTGTTGGTTTTAACCAACATTTTTTTTCTTTTTAGGTTGCATGCTTTTAAGAATGATTTGATTTGGTAAATGTCATGAATGAAATTTACTTTTTCTATCATTGACCATTCGAAACAGTAAAAAGAACTTCGAAAGTTATCAATTTATGATGAGTTGATTTAAAAAATGTTATATTAATAATGTTAGTTAGACCTTTTTGTTTTTTTATAGGGTGCTGGTTAAGTGACGATATTTTCAGCGTGTAAAGTTGGGGTGTGGGGAATATACGCAAAAATTAAAAAACTAATGTGTTTTTTTACTGAAATCTTGCAAAGCTAAAGATGCTATAACTCACTAAAACCGCAAAAATATTTTGGTTTATTTTAAATAAATATGGAAGATATTGCAGAGTTTTTATTAAACAGTTCTCAAATATCCTTACGCTCTTGTATAAAACGTTGCTGATGTTATTGGTACAACATTAAAAAAAAAACAATTTCATTATTCTTCGATTTTATCTTGTTTTTCCGAAAAAAGCTTACAAGTAAATGGCTAAAAAATTTCAAACTTTTCCGTCGACTAAACACGTTGCAAGTTTCCGCATTTTATCCGCACCTCTTTTTATAACGTAGTTTTAAAAAATAATAATGCAATTGTGACACCAGCCGTTACCAACGAACGTTGGTAACAGTTGGTGTCAAACTGGATTTATTTTTTTTTTAATTGCTGTTTAATAGCTTAACTTGAGTTTAGTTATTGGTTTTTTAAGATTATTTTTAAATTATACTAACAATATTTATTCTTTTTAAAGTTTTATACTTTTGATTTAGATTAGTATTGTTATTTTAGTATAAATATAGAATTAAAAAAGTGAAGCATCAAAGATGATTTAAAGATGACTAGTTGAGCGTTAATAACTTTAAAAATTGGCTAAAGAAAGATCTTAATGATGATACTAAAGCAAGGTGTGTGGTTTGCCACAGGTCAATAGAACATTCTTCAAGTAGTCGCTTTGGCTTGACAGATGCAAAAGGAGCAAAGCACAATATAGAATTAAGGAAAGTGAAAGGGTTCTTTGCAAAACCAAAAGAGAAAAGTTCTTTGCCCTTTGTCTTTTCTGTCTCTAATGAGTCAATTATAGAAAAATAAATGACAGACTCTTGTGTCAAAAAACCAGATATTGGGTGAAATTATAAGGCTGAAATTATTTGGCAGCTTAAAAATGTGAATTGTGGTTTTTCTCTATGTTTGATGACTTAAGTCGTGTTTTTACAGCTACGTTTCCGGATAGATATATAAGCTGGCTTCACAATTTCAGTCTGTTCGAAGCAAAACTTTATACAAGTTAAATCATGATTTAGCTCCTTACTTTAAATCAGTTTTGTAAGAAATTTTAAAACTGTCAGAGGTACATGTCTGTTCTTTTAAACGAGGTCACTCAAACCTCTGAAATGGATATTTATATTAGATTCTGGGGTGTTAATTCAAATCGTGTAAATGTCCGTTATTTTGGATGGCGTCCTATGATTCAACCGAATCTCTAATTTCAATTTAGAACCGAATATGAGAAATTTATTACACAACCGAAAATATTTACGAAAAAAATTAGAACCGAAAAAATTTCAATCGAATTTTCGATCGAAAGTCATTAATGATTTTAGAACCGAAAAAATTTCGATCGAAAGTCATTAATGATTTTAGAATCGAATTTCATTAAAATGGTTTACAACCGAAAGTTACACTTAATTAATTACAATTAAGTGAGCGTTTTTAGAAAACGATGAGGGAAAACGAAGAATAATGAATGAAAAGGTTGCTGACCCATACCAAACCCTCAGTCGATGTAGCAGCACTCCACTGCGAGTCAGGCTATTTGTCAGTCGATGTATGTACTAAAGCCCCCAGCAGCAGGCTATTTGACGTTAGGTGAGTATGACATCATCATGCTCACCTAACTCAGCAGTATAAGATATATGTATATATATTTTTAAGAAATTTTAATTGTTTATTTTATTGTAAAACGACTAACTGAAAAAAAAAAAATAGATTAAAAAAAGAAAGGATTTTGTAATTCGATTCAAATTTTTTCGGTTGTAAAATTCGGTTTAAAAACTTTCGGCGCAAGAAAGGATTTTGTAATTCGATCCTGCAATGAAAGTATACTTTTCGGTTCTAAAATTTTCGGTTGTGAAATATTTCGGTGATATTTTCGAGGATAAATATTTTCGGCTCTATCATGTGACACGTTTTGGATCAATTTTCTTAGGTCATACAACACAAAGGCTTATTGACTCATTTCAAAGATATTGTGAAAAATTTTGAGAATAAAAAAGCTATACCAAACATCAATGGATGGTTAAGACAATTTTTGAATCACTTTGGAAATGTCATTAGTACTGGAGTTTAAGTGCTTTTTCAATACTGAAATCCTGGAAAAACATGTATAAATAAATTAATAAGTGCTGGAAATTCGTTTAATCTGAATCATTCAGAAGTTTTGACTAGTTCAATGTTTTGTTACTAAAAATGTTCAGTAATTTCGTACCGCATTAACTTTAAAAAAAAATTTCGCGATCAATAATATTTAATACTAGCCAATTTAATGAAAAAACCCGAAGTAAATTGAGAATTTTCAAACAAGTCAGAAATATATATAGTATTAAAGAGTTTAATTAAAGAGTTGCACGTTCAGTAGAATTATTTTTTTTGAAAATCATATTGATTGTTGTTTAATAAACTGTTGATTGTAAGATGCTTAAAAATGTTGTTGTTAAAAATACTTTATAAAATTTTAGATAATACAGAAAGTAGTGAAATCGGACGATGTTACCACGTTTTAATATTGGTACGATTTTTCGCTAATTTTAGACCTTATGGAAAAAAAAACCCTGTTTTAATGATACTGAAAAAATCTTAAAGAGTATATCATCTAAAATACCAAATAATATTATAATAATGTTCCATTAATACCATGAGTGTCTTGGCATTTCCAAGCTCTTCAAAAGATAATTTAAAAGAGCTCAATTAAGAGTTTATTGTTGGGTTTGCAATCCCGAAGGTCTTTCTTAATCCCGATTGAAAAATAGATATAGCATCTATATAGTTTTAAGTAGAATAAAAACAGCGCACTCTTAAACGAAAATATATTTTATAAATGATGCTGTTTGTATTACATCGTTACATGCATAGAAGAAAACATGTTAATTAATGTTAAGAAACTTTATTAGAAATAAGGAAATATACATGTATCATGTTTCATGTACTTTGAAATGTGACTTTAGGAAGCACAACGCGTCCATTATTTCATCGCCCAACCTGTTACAAATTTTATTATTAAACAGGAAGAAAATGCCCGCTGAGCCTCGACACCGTCATTAGAAATGAATAAACTAATTTCTAAATAAAATCTAAACCTAATCCTACTTTTAAAAGTAGGAATAGGTTTAGTTCAGCAAATTAAAGCACTCAAGATTACAGAATTCAGGGTAGGAGAGAAATTTTCTGTCTTTTGACAAATGGACGTCACTTCGAAATTGTCGCTATATGAATGATAACGTTCATGGAAAAAATTCTCAGTTTTGGAGTTTTGCTTTGCTCTACTATATGATTACGATTTGTGTTTACTGACGTTGGTAGATTTCTGAATCCCATAGCAGTTAGAGCGGCACGTAAATCTATTGAAGAACAAATCACATTAAATGAAAGCCCGTCAGACGCCGTTTGACGAGCAAGTGTAGTGTTTTCTCTTCCTTTTCAAAAATCGAAAAGTATTCAGTTAGTGGTTTAGATTTCTTTTTTGGTGGTTTATCTGATGTGCATTCTCCGGTAATATTAGGTTGGGTTGGACTTTCGACCTTCACATTATGCACCAACAACATGGGTATCTGAAGCCCTTTTGTTGAACCAACACAGATTTTTAAAATCTTCTTGCAGTTTGACAATTTACACATCGCTGTTTACCTTTTTTATTCTCGTTGAAAATATTTCCAAACAGCTGAGTTACTTTTAATTGTAAAATCCGCATAGGCCTGCTTATTTAAGTTTTCAATTTAAGATTAAACCTTGTAAGAAAGGCGCGTTTTTTATTTCAATTTAAAAAAGTTTATTTTGCAGAATTACAGAACAGAACACTGAAAATAGAATTACTTTCTGTGATATTAAACTAAATAAAAATTATTATATTGATGCACATAAATTGTTGTTATTTTTATATATTTTTTGATTTTCCATTTTGCTCGATCGTATAGAGAATCCCGGGATTAATATTAGACAATCCCGGGATTTCGGAATTATAATAAAGGCCGGGATCCCGGGATCGCAGACCCTAGTATAGTGTAAAACGTAAGTTATTATTATGAAAAGTAAATTTATTAAACTGTAAGCATTAGGAGTTACTTTTACAAGACTTGGTCCTACCGACACAATATATATTTGTTACAATTTTCCGTAATCTCTCTTTTATCAAATAAAAAATTATTATAAATTTTAAATGTATTTTGCAAAGAGTGAGAAGTAAATTTTTTGCTGCCAGTATATTATCTTATTATATATCGGGTGCGTTTAGTATTGAGTATAGTAATTTATATTTATCTAGTAAATTTGTGTAAAGTTTTTTTTTTTAACTTTTTTTTTAAGGTGGTTAGAAGTTTTTCGTAATTTTAATATTCATCTTTATTTTCATTAGTTTTACATTTTAAGTATTTAATATATAACTTTGGTTTGATTTTCCAAGACTTCCACAAATCCTTTGTAATCCAGGACGATTTAATAATTTGAGTTTTAAGATTTTAATTAACGTTTAAATGTAATTAAGTTTATTATCTGAAAAATTAGTCTTGTTAATATCATAGCAAGTTTAAAAAAAGGAGTTGTAAACTATGATTAGGCCAGGTGAATAAAAAAAAGCAAGCAATTGCTTTGAGTAAAAGCATAAGCTAAAAGCAGATGTTCAAAAATACACGAATAAAGTTTTCTTTTTGCTCATAAGCAATTGCTTCTGCTTAGGAGTGAATGCTTTATGTCGCTACCAATAAAAATATTTAGGTTTTACTTGCTTTTTAAAAATGCCTGCTTTAAGTGTAAATTAGACTGATAGTTATGATAACCAAAATGAAAATATTGATAACAAATGCAAAGAAAATGAAACATTATCATTTTATGAGAAATAGCAATTCTCCTTCAAAAAAAAAGTCATTCTCTCGATATCAAAATAAAGAAAAAAGCATTTTCAAGATATTATTTCCCACCACCAGAAGAGCCTTGTATCAATAATAATTAAAATTATTAGTTCACATAATAATATATCTAATTTTTATGTGAACTAATAATTTTCTATTGATTAAAGATACATTTTTATTTTTGACAATTTGTTTTCTGTGATATTTATATATATATATATATATATATATATATATATATATAATATATATATATATATATATATATATATACACATATATGAAATGAATAAAAAAAAATATTTTTTTTTTTGCTTTTTTACTATGTCATCTTACAAAAGAGTTATATCCGATTTATTTTTAACAAGCATGCCCGTTAGACGTTTTTAAATACTTTTGTTTTATAATGGCCCTAAAATTTATTTCTTAAACCAATGTCATTTACTTAAAGGTCGTTCATTTTCTGCGACAGGTACTGGCATTGTATTAAAAAGTTTCAATTAGAATGCATATAGATTCAAAAATAGACTATTGACTCTTTGAGTATATTTGGTTGAGAAAACCTAAAGTGCTTCCAGAAGTGAAAAATGAAAACTACTTCAAGCTATTAAGATGAGAAATATCTTACACCAAGTTGCCTTCTATTTCAAGCTTTAATTTTTACATTGCACATACTGAGCTTGATAAGAAACGCTGTAGTTGTAGAATATGAAATTCAATCTATAAGCTGAATTTAATATTCTACAAGTTCTGAAAATTCTTTTGGCTTTTTCAATCAAACATACTCAAAGAGTGTTTTCCAATATATATGCATTCCTACACTAATGCTTTCTAATTTGATTTTTTTTTTGCGTACAAATTGAATTTACTTAATAAGCATTTTAATCTTGAATTTTTTAATGCAATGCCACCCCTGTCACAGAAGGTGATCGACCTTTAAGTAAACTAAAATTGATTGAAAAAATGATTGTAAGGCTACTATAGAACATGAGCGTGAATCGGACATACACGTTGAAAATAAATTGGATAAAACTCTGTCGTAAAATGACAATATAATAACAGTACTAGTAAAAAAGCAAGAAAAAGTGTCAATATTAATTTCAAGGAATCTGAATGTTATTTATAATCAGTGAATGTGTTGCATAAGTGTTTTTTAATCTAGATGTGATTCATAAAAATATAAATGTAAAGTAACGGTATTAGAAATAAAGACAAGTCATTAACTTGTATAGTACAAGCTTTTAATTTAAAATATGCAAGCTTAAAGGGGCGCCGAATTGCTGCTATGCCCCGGGTGTCGTGAAAACTCTCGGCAGCCCTGTCGAGATTGATTGTTTCAAATATAAGATAATTTTAGATCTATTGAAGCATAGAAAAAAGTTTTAAATATAAAACAACTTCTGCAAAAAAGTGTGAAAATTTTAATGCTAATAATTAAAAGACAAAATTTTAAAATTTAAAAAAATTTGCATTTTGAATCGTTTACCTATCATGAATCAGTTACCTAACGAGACTTAAAAAATTTTTCCGAACAGAATCTCTGCTCGGATGTCCGATCTCTAACCCTATTTGCGCAATTTGAACTTTATCAGTCTAGAGAAAGCTCTTCCCCTTTTTATATTATTTAGTTATAATAGGTAATTAAGTTAAATGGACAAAAATAAAACTGCCGTTTTGAAAAGCTTTTACTAAGAAATACTGTTAAAACTAAAAGACATGCATGCCTTTCTTGCTGAGTTGGATGACAAGCTTCCAAAAGTCGGGTGGTTTAGAAATTGTCTAATTACTCTTGGTGTTGGTACAAGTGTTTTGTTTTGCTGTCGCTTTTATCTTGCTTTTAGACGTGCAAAGTGCAATAATAAAGTGTTGTTGTCAGGAAAGACTTGCATTATTACAGGTGCTAATACTGGTATTGGAAAAGCTGTAGCACTTGAATTTGCTCGACGTAAAGCAAAAGTTATTTTGGCATGCCGAGATGTTCAAAAAGGTAACGATGCAGCTATTGACATTCGAAGATCTATCAAGGACGCAAATGTAAACGTCTATCAACTTGATCTTGCATCGTTTACTTCTATTAGAAAGTTTGTGCAACTATATAAAGAAAATGAAAATGCTTTAGACATTTTAGTTAACAATGCTGGTCTCATGTATGCACCGTTCACCAAATCTGAAGATGGCATTGAGTTGCACTTTGCTGTGAATCATTTAGGGCATTTTTTACTAACAAATCTGTTACTTGATTATATGAATAACCATTCAAGAATTATTGTTGTGTCATCAGCTCTTTATAAAAAAGCTCAGCTAGATCTTATAAACTTTAATGAGGAAGAGATATATGATGCTTTTCAGGCATATGGAAAAAGCAAACTTGCAAATATTTTGTTTGTTAATGAACTCCAACATTATTTGCCACCTCGTAAGTTTTTATTATAATCATATTTAAAATGATCAATAAACTATTATCTTTTATGTGAACTACAATCTGAACTACACAATAAGAAAAGTAGACTAAGTTCATAGATCCATAGTAAAATAAAAATAACTAACCAAACCTAAACAATTTTTTAGCTAATTATAATAATAATAATAATAATAATAATAATAATAATAATAATAATAATAATAATAATAATAATAATAATAATAATATATTTATTATTATTATATACATCACCATCATTATGATGATGATGATAATGATGATGATGATGATGATGATGGTGATGATGATGATGATGATGATGATCATCATCATCATCATCATAATCATTATCGTTATCATCCTTTAAGTTATCATTATCATGAGAAGTTAACATAAATGGTTTCATCTAAAAATTGCTTCACTTTTAATGTTTTTCTTTTGTTTGACAACTCTACAGTAAATTAGCAAACTAACAGTTAGTGATCTAAAAAGTATTAAAGATGGTATGACTTAAATCAGAATGAAATGTCTAAAGTAAGCTTTTTAAATTTTTTTAAAATTGAAATTCACGTTAAGAATATTACATACATCCATGAAATTTTTTCTTATGTTAATACAAAGCACTAAATTTGAAATATAATTACCATTTACAGAGAGGTATTTCAAAGAGTAGATGGGGTATGACTGCAAAGTTTTTTCCCAAACTTACTTTTTAAAATCAAATTTATCTTTAAATAGGGTTGCATAGTTTCATTTTGGATAGTTACATAGTTTCATTTTGCTTCAATATTAAGCAAGTATGTATCTGTAATTATGAAATTATGTGTTTCTTAAGGGTAAAACATAAAAAACTGGTTAAATGATAGATATAATTAATGGTTATGATTGGAATTTTATCAGTAGAAAAACAAAAGATTTCTACCTAAGGGCTATTATAAAGAAAATTACAGAAAGAGCCCCAGTCAACTTCAAGGTAGTTAGTTGTAAATGGTTTAATGATATGGAGATTCTGATGATTAAAAAAAAGAGAAATAGTTTTAGAAAGATCAAACTGTGATCAAAAGTAAGAAAACTTTTGCCTTTTGTGTAAGAAAATCCCTTACACAAAAGGCAAAAGTTGTGGGGTTTAAGCCCTGCAGAGTCACTGACACTAGTACCAAGTAGTTCAGTATGATGACCGTCACCAATAACAATATTGGCTAAAAGTGAGCAGTATAGAGGAGAGAAATGTGATAGAGTAAAGTGGTGCTAAAAGAAAGCACATATAAGAATAGCCTGTGGATTCAAACCTAGTTTTAGGCAAATGGGTGAATTTTTATGAATGTAAATGCTCAGGCCAAGAATGTGACTATTGGAGTCTTTACGAATTAAAGGAAGATAACCATCAACACTAGGATCACAAGATGTCAGTACTCTGATTCTTTACAGTTGTTTATGAAATCAGCCTCTCTGAGAGCTACCACAGAGTTTAGGAAACCTGACTACCAGCCAACCCCAGAGCCATAAAACTGAGTTTTAGACATGTACCCTCTGCACTTCTCTAATAAAAGAATGAGTTGCCTAGTCATAAAAACAGAGACACAAGCAAGACTTATGCAATGAGTCAAGAAGATCCAGCATTCAACATCCTAAACTGGAAACAATGTATTATAAATACATCTATGCCAGCCTAATAGATAAAGAAGGTGTGCAAAGCTGGTCAAGAGATAGAATTTGTTTACCTCTTTAGTTTTTGTCTAGGACACCTTCTACAAGACAGGAGCCGGATGCATATTTATTGAGACACCATCTTTAGCCTTTATCTAACCAAGATCCCTAAGTAAGGGTGTGTGTTAAGTAAGAGTTAGCTTTTCCTATCTTTTGCCTAAAAAAAGTGTATCCTACAAGGTAGCAGGTTGTACTAGGTTAAATGTTACAAGTAGTAGGATAACCTGTTATTATGTTTTTTATTGGTAATTATAAATAATAAATTTAAGAGGACTTAAAATATAAAAACTGCAGTTTTACTATATAATAAATTTTTTTATAGATTTGAGTTTCATAATAAATACTTTTGTTTTACATTTTGATGCTTTCATAGTATTCTCTTAATAATTCATAGTATTCTCTTAATAAACATTCAGATCATTTTAAAAATCACTTTTTGTTAGTATTATGCTACCTTTTTAAAGTAATAAAAACTCAGAAACTGTAGCAAAATATCATTTATGTAGCTTGTATCTTATACAATTTTGAGACATTACCATTTTTTAATGCTTATTTTATAATTTCTGTAAACAATAAAATTATTGATAATTGATAAAAATTTTGGAAATTGAAAAATGGCTTGTCATCAAACTTATGTACTTGTACAGTCTTCTCCGTTTAAAGTTTACCGCCAGCACACGAAAAAGCGCTGGCCAGACAGTAAGCGTGATTTAAAAAAAAAATTTTTGTACCTCTTTAATAAAAATTTGATTAAAAAAAAGGCTTGTTATAATTTAAAAATGCGCTTGAAATTTTTTAGCGAGCGCTTAGCGGAGAAGACTGCTTGTATAAGATGTATGTCTTACATGTAGTATAAAATTTTATTAGCCAGATAGTTTTATTAACTTCTCCTAATACTTTGTATGAAATTACAAAAAACTTCTTTTTTAATCTTCTAACCAAGGTTGTTTTTTGTTTATTTTAATAGACTATAGTATAATAATGGTCTTAACAATAAATAATATATTATATTACAAATAAGCACAATACCAAATTATTATCAATAATATTAGGTTTTAGTTTGTTAAAGTTAAAAAGCAAATTTGCTTTTCTTTTTCTTTTACTGGTGTTAAAATAATTAATCAGAATAACATTTATCTTTTTATTATTTAATAAATAGCATGTCTAACAGTTCATGAAATATTATATTTTGTTATATAATTCATTTGAAACACAGTTTATTGTTACTAATTCTTTTTTAGACTTGGATATTACGGCTAATTCTATGCATCCTGGTGTTGTATGGACTGAGCTAGCTCGTTACAAGTTGTCAAATTTTGTAACAAAACTTCTATACAATTTCTTTGGATTCTTTTTTTTAAGAACACCTGATCAAGGAGCGCAAACAATTATTTATATGGCAACTGATCCTAGTTTGAAAAGTATAACTAACCAATATTTTGGTGATTGTCAAATCGAAGAACTTTTACCACATGCTAGATGTGAAAAAAGAAGTTCAAAGTTGTGGGAAGTATCAGAAGAATTAACTGCCTCAAATTTTACGAGATTTACTAAATGAAATTTTTATTTTTCAATCTAGTTTAACTCTAATTTATATTTAAAAAATTATATATTTTATAGTCTAGCTTTACATATGATGTTTTACAGATTGTTAAATCTTCTTCAATGCATATTTTTACTAGCACTATAAATTTTTTTCAACAAATGTTTCTACCAGCACTATAAATTACATTTACATAAAATATTTACATAAAATATTCATATTAAATGGATCAAGTATAATTATGCACTACAACAACAACAACAAAATCTATATAAATGATAAAAATTAACTTTTAATTTTCTCTTATTAATTTTTATTTTAATAATAATAATTACAACATAAATTATAATAATTATAATAATTAATCAATAATAATAATTAATCAATAGTCAATAAATAATAAAGCATTAAAGATATTAAATATTATATTTTTTCAAAGTATGAAATCGATATATTTGTTTTTTGGAGTTTTGTAAATATATTTTTTAGTTATACCATGTCTTCATTATTCTATAAATTAAAAAATGAAGTAGACATCTTACTTACAAGAGAAAAAATAAAACTTCGGCAGAATGGGGACCCTGTATTAAGAAAGGTTGCTCGTGAAGTGCCTCTTGAATACATAAATACACAAGATTTCAAAGATCTTATCACTAAAATGATTCTGATAATGCGTAGCAATAAAGGTCAAGGTATTGCTGCACCTCAAGTTGGTGTAGATTTACAAGTTATAGCTATTGAATTTACTGAACATGATCTTGAAATGGCTACAAAACAATATGGCAAAAATGAAGTTGAAAAAAGGCAAATGAGAACATTTCCTTTGCATATTTTTATAAATCCTAAGTTAAAAATAATTAATTATGAAACTACATGTTTTGAAGAAGGATGTCTAAGTATTTTAGGAACAGTGGGAGTTGTTCAGCGATACCGAGAAGTGCAACTTGAATTTGTTAATGAGAAAGGTGTTAATGTTTTGATGAATTTTGACGGTTGGTTAGCTCGCATGGTTCAACATGAAATGCATCATCTTAAAGGATTTTTAATTGTAGATTTTTTTATTAAAAAAAAAAAATTATTTTTCAGGTAACATAACCTTTTGTGGAGACTTTAAAATTAGTTAGTTTTTGATTTTTACATAAATCAGTAAAGTTACTCATGTGAAAATATTCATACAATGTAATCATAAGCGCATTTGCCATAAAGCAATTCTAGGTAACTGCCTATGGGCATCAACCATAAGAGACCACTTAATTTTTTACTTACTTTGATCAACTTTATCAGACATTCTTTATTTATTATTATTTTATTTTTTTTTTACCGTATATTCAGAATTAATTTTGTATTTTTCAAAAATTATTCTTATGATTAGTTTAAAATAAGATTTTAAACAATGAAAAATATGTATTAAAGCAAAAAGTATTTGCATCAAAACTTATGTTAAATAATTAAATTGTTAAATAATTTAATTATTGTTACAAATAATTTAATTGTTGTTACATTGTGTAAAGTACTTGATACTTGTGTAATAGAAAGTACTTGATACTATTATTACTTAAACATTTTTGCTTCTTATTAAATTAATAAATTAACAAAAAACAACAGATAATTAGTTTTTACTGTAGATATGTATTTTTTTAATTTCTATTACAAATTATAGGCCGACAACTACTCAAATGTGTAGCCACAAATGCTGCACTGGGTGTAGTATAAAATGTTTATATTTTGAATCATATTTTTATAAATGAATCATGTTTTTATAATAAATAGTTTTTGATAAAGATTAAAAAGTATAAAATTTTATAAATTCACACGCCACAGTTTTTTCATGTTCAATAGCCATTTTCCAGGGAGGGTGCAAACTTTAAACTTTTGTGTTTAATTACTGGTACCAAATTAGCTTGTGTTTAAATTATGGTAACTGGTGCTTAGGTACAAAAATACCTCATCGATACATTAAGAAAATGAATATTACTAGTCACTACTTCTGAACACCAATAGATATGTTGGTAAATTATTTTAAATGATGAGTCGTTACAACATGTCTAAATATATATATATATATATATATATATATATATATATATATATATATATTTAGACACGTTACAACATGTCTAAATATATATATATATATATATATATATATACATATATATATATATATATATATATATATATATATATATATATATATATATATATATATATATATATATATATATATATATATTATATATATATATATATGGTTAACTACAAACAGATTAATTTCTAAAGAAGATATAACATGTCAAATGAAAGATCAATTGGTACTTCTACTTCACAAATTCAATTATCTAATGATTTAAAAAAACCTGGTATTTATTTAGATATGTGTGTGTTTGTTTATATAAATATATAAATTTTAGATATGTTTTTAACTGATATAAATTTAAAAAGTTGTCAAACCAGTAAACAAACAAAAAAAAAACATGCCATACATCTTCGTATCTCAAAATGTTTAAAAAAAAAAGTAAATTTCAAAAAAGTATACTAATAAAAATTTTTATATTTTAAATTTATTAGCACAAGAGCCCTTTCAACAAATCATCAGTTTTAAAAAAACTGTCTGTAAAAAAAGCTGAATGTGTTATCATTTTTCATAAGTTCTGTACCAAATTTAATTGTAAAACTTATTGAGTCATTTAATTCATTTAAAGAAATTTCAAATTTCCTGATGTCATGATTTTTTTGACAAGATCATAAAACCATCATCAATAAATCTAAAATAATATTTATATATACCATGTACTTCACGGTTAGAAAAACACAAAGTTAGGAATTTTGAAAAAAGCTTAGTCTCTTTTAAAAGCTCAATAGTCAGGCGTTCATAATCTGTACCCAAGGTTCTACTAATTATTTGGTAAAACAATTGATAATCAAATATGAAATTATTACTATTTAAAATAAAAGATGCTGAGTAAATGAATTCAGGTGTAAATTATCTATTGATTCTTGATTTAGGGTTTAAGGTTTTAAGGCTTCCTAAAATTATGTGGGATGTATGAGGTTAACAATATCACATGTCATTATACAACTTTCTGATTCTAACTCTCTTAAAATTTTTCTGAAAAAATCCCAGTCATCTTTAACAAATGTTTTTTGTTTCCTTATGACTGGAGACAAAAATATGTATAAAATGTCATAAATGAAATGTTGGTGAGTTTATTCTGGTAATAATTGATTTTTAAGATTAAGCCTTTAAGATTATTTAGTAGTTTCATTTCAATAAACAAAAGAGTTGTACACTTTTGTTTTGTCAATAATTTCATTTATTAATTTTAGGAATTATATAGAAACTTCAAGACAACCATTTAAAGTTTAATATATTTTATCTCATTTGCTGTAAGGGGTTTGGTTTATTAATTATTTTATTTATTTATCAAAATAATTAGACTGCTAAAAAGATTTTGTTGTTTTCAAAATTTATTTTTTCATGTTGTAGCAGAAAATAGATGGTCCTAACAAAAATGTTTGTTTATATAGTCTCACTGAGTCCTCTTCTTTACGTTTTCTTGGATAATTGTTTACTACTGACCTTTCTTAGAAACCATATATACAATTGATTGCTAAATTAGCATTTTCTAAGGTTGTTTTATCTTTTCTTACTCATGGTTCCATTTTCTGCCTCTACAAATCTATTATTTGTCCCTGTATGGAATACTGTTCTCATATTTTGGCCAAAAACTATTATCTCTAGTTTCATTAAATAAAACTCATTCTCTCTTTTTTTAATGGTTTTCTAACTCTGACTATAATTCTTTTAAGTAACAACTTAATAATGGTTGCTTATATATATATATATATATATATATATATATATATATATATATATATATATATATATATATATATATATATATATATATATATATATATATATATATATATATATATATATATATATATATATATCCCGACTTGATAGTGGTTGGTTGCAGTCTTGTTGGGAGTGAATCAGAAATGTATGCAATTTGTTTTTTTTGTTCTACAAAAGCAACAAAAACTTTATTTTTGTAAAAAAATTAAGCCTCTGGATTGAATCAATCTTTTTTGTAATAAAATCTTTTCCTGTTTTGTCATGACATCAGAGACATTTTATGCAAAACTTTGTTGATGTTTGTGGTTCATCGTAACATTCTATGTATTAGTTCAATGTTTGTGTTTTAGCCTTTAGCATTTAAATACAGTATTGTATATATCATAGATGAGTTTTTTCCGGAATTCACTTAATTTTCCAGAAATTTCCCAATGTTTTTTTTTTATTATTTTGTTTTAAAAAAATTATAAATTTTTACATAAAATTTTAAAAAACAACAACTTTTGCATTTAAACAAATATGTTTTCTATAGTTAAAATTTTCACAAGATCAATTTTCATAACAATTTTTTTCTTTTTTTTTTTCTTTTTCATTTATTCAAATTAACTTTTTCGAATATTAGAAATTCCTTTTTGTAAAAAGTTTAATAATCTAAATTCCATTTTAAAAGTTTACGAAAGTTCTTGTTTTCAGTTAATAAGATCAATTTTTAATAAAATAATTTTCCGGGATTTTCATAAAAAAATATTTCCGGGATATATATATATATATATATATATATATATATATATATATATATATATATATATATATATATATATATATATATATATATATATACATATGCAAATAATTGTTATGAACTTTTGCATATGTATACATACATATACATATGCAAAAGTTTTTAATTTTTTAAATTTTTTTAATGCAATTAATCAATTGTTATTAATAAAAAATAAAAATATTAAATAAAGTAAATGAAAAAATTAAGTAAAGTTAATGTTATTTAAGTATTTTAAATATAATGTAACTAATTATGTTATATTAAAATTGTTTTTGTATAAATTATTTAATTTCTTTCTGATACAAGGTGATCCTTTGAACAATGTATACAGTTCAAAGTATTTCAACTTATCATTGGATGAAAAGCGTACTTTTTATAAATGTGGAAACAAGTTTAAAACGTTAGATGATATTCCATTGTGGGATGTTTATAAAAAAATCTATTGCAAAGGTAAGTATCTTAAAAACATTCAGTATGAATCAGATCTTTTCTGCCCTTTATTTTTATAGCTATTTTTTTTGTTTAGAATATTATGGGATAGTGAAAATTTTTGCTCTTATTAATAAATTTTAATAATATATGAAATAAATATAGAATGCACTAGTTTGACATTGCCTAACAAAGGCTGATGATACTTTTAATAACAACACTTTAGGTTGGGATTACAGGTATCCTGGAATCCAGTATAATTGCACATCAAGATTGAGTTATTGCAACAGGAATTTCAGCTTGATAGCAAATGTGAGATCCTAAGGATCCAAGGAGTCCCTAAAAATTTATCAGGAACCCACAGTAAAAAAACCCCACAGTCATAAAAACTTGCTCATTTAAAAAAAAAAAGCTTTAAAATGCTTGCTGAATAATAATTGTTGTGATAAGGTGTTTTAATTGCACACAGATACCCTGTACAAATAAAACACAAAATTAAAATAATTGGTAGACTTTCAGTTGAATGATAAATAATATATATTAATAATGATTTAAAATTTTTGAAATTATGAACACTGAACAGCAATCTTCTTAAATCTTTTTTTTTTTTTATCTTTTTCATCTTTTGAAATCACAAAAGTAGCACAAAGTAATGCTAGTAATTATTTAACTGAACTGATGCTTCTTTGATTAGACATCCAATGAAACATTTAAAAGGAGCTTATATTCCATCAGAGCAACATACTAGGAGTATTTTTGTATTTTATTACTTAACACTAAAAAAGATGATAAATGACAGCTCTCAAAGACAATGACCAGCTTATGACATTTTGATAGTCTCATTTGCCAACTTAATGTAGAGTTCGTGTAATAAAGAAAATCATTGACTTATTTGGACTGTTTAAATTGAAAAGAAAGCCTGAAAGAACAAATAAAACATTGTTACAAAGCATAAAAATGTTTTGTACACTGGGACAGAAAGTTGATGCCTAAATTGATCTCCAACAGTTCAACTTTAATTGATCATCTACCTGCCCAGCTAATGTCTGCTGTATATAGCAGTTTCAAACTTTTTGGAGTATCTGCATTTTTGTCTGGGACTGTCAATTATGAAAAAATTTATGCATGATTTTACAACTTCAGCTGTCTAGTCTTCACTCATAAGAATAACTTTACCACCTAAAGGAAATTTGTTAAAATAAATTTGTTTTAATAACCTATCAATTGCATCCAAACAAACATTCACACACTTTTTTTTTTAAATAGATAAAATTGTAATTATATTCTACAATTTCTTCTATTTATTTTGTATAGTCTATAGTCTTTTCATTTATGTTTTAAATATTGTTTTTTCATTTATGTTTTAAATATTGTCTTTTCATTTATGTTTTAAATATTGTTTTTTCACCTAATTTTAATCTTAATTAAGTTGAATAATTTTATTCATATTCTTATAATCACTGTAATTATGATAATTATTGCTTTTTTAGCATGGTAAGCACTGTTATTATTCAGATGTATATTATTATTTTAGATAATAATAATAATATTAATAGTAGTAATAAAAACTACAATTAGTGTGTGTGTTAAAAGTATATTTATATTATACATATTAACTATAATTATTGTATAATTATAGTTAATATGTATAATATAAAAAAACTTTTCAAATTTTTAACAATTATACTCGTATTTTTTGCTTAAATTATATTTGCTTTGTATTTAAAATTTTTTTTAAATAATTAAGGTTTTAGCCGGGGAGAATATTGTTCCTGCATTTATCTGCTATTGGAAATTTTTCTTTTATTTTTCTCTTTCCATCATTTCCCCCATCTTTTAAGTTACACTAATCTTTTGAAAAATTCTTTTTTGTAAGTTTGACCAATGGTTTTTTCTTATTAAGTACTAATAAAGTTTATAAAATCTTTTTTGCTGATATAATTATTTTTGTTTAGACAATTATGGTCAGGAAAATAAATATCCATCTCAAAAAGAAGTGAACTCTAAAGTTTCATTATGGCAAGGAGATATTACAACACTTGAAATAGATGCAATTGTTAATGCTGGTATATGACTTGTTAACTTTGTATATTTTATAGAAAGTTTTGATAAAAACCCATTGTAAATGATGATTCATTTAAAATGCATTGTTAGATTTTCTGTAAAAAAGAAGGGTTTTCATTAAAAGAACCAGCCTAAATATGATAATAGTATTTTATACAAGGATGAATAAGAGATTTATAGAGGGAGAGAATGGAATCAGCTGTATGAATCAGGGGTCTTACTAGTCACAATAGGGAGGCAATCTTAGTTGATGCTAATTTTGTGAATGATTCTATGTGTTTTTCATGAGAGATCAGTAGTTAATCATAATATGAGAAGTCATAGGACTCAATAAGAGTCCTATGACTCTTATTGAGTACTACTGATGTTTTCCAGATGAAAAGATGACTTTCATCATTTCATCTGAAAAATTAAAAGGTTAATATTGTTAGTTTTTATGTATCATCATCATTGTCATCATCATTATCATCATCATCATCATCATCATCATCGTCATCATCAATATAGTAACTTTATTTCCACACTTGTTTGCCCATTTCTCATCATGCCATTTCTCCAACATAGACAATCTTTAAGATCTTTTTTTCTCAACTAAAGCTTTTTAATGTCATTTATAATGCACACTCTCCAAGTTTTCTTACTTGTACCTTTTTATCCTAAATCTACAAATTCTATACATGGGGATACCTAATTAACAGTATATATACACTTAACATACTCAAACCACCTAAGTCTTCCTTGTTACACTTATCAAATATACTCACTATTCCCAATCTGTCCAAAATCATTTCTTTTTTTTTTTATCTTGAAGTCACACATTTATTTGATCATTATTTTTTCTTTTGATCTTTAATAATGCGCCTCTTGCTGTTAGAAATAGAGAAGATTTTCTGAGCTTTATCCAGGCACAGTTTACTTTTGTCCATGATTCCTCTTTTGCTCCACCAACCGATCCATTTCAATTTCTGAGATGTTGAAACTTAACAACAGGTTTCATATTTTTACCATTTATTTATTTCATTCTTTTTAAAATTTTTAAAGTAAGAGTATATGACTAATTTCCATAACAGTATATTCTCCATACATTTATATCTTTTTTAATGTTATGTTTCCACGCTTAATGTATATATATATATATATAAATATATATATATATATATATATATATATATATATATATATATATATATATATATATATATATATATATATATATAAGTATAAAAATGAATGAAGGTTTGTTGGTATATAAGTCTTTTATGTGTTCCATCCCCTTTTATTTAGTCTTCACCTAAAGTCTGATGGAAAAAACATTCACTAAATAAAGCAACCATTTTTTAAGTCTTCTTTAAGCTTTCTTCTTCTTTAAGCTTTCTTGACATTCACAAATTTTTTGTATGAAGTTATTTTACTTAAAGACAAAAAAAAGTATTTTTAAAAAAGTTAAAAATAAATGTTTAAAAAATGTAATGTTTAGTATTTTTTTTTAAGCAAATCCAAGTCTGATGGGTGGTGGTGGTGGTAAGTTTTTTTTTGTTTTAAATTTACATGCATTTTATATAGTCTATCTACAATTTTTTTATAAATTTAAGGAGTGGTTATAGTTTTTTCCTTATAAAACAAGGATTATTTTATGTTATAACATTAAAAATCTTTAAAGAAAGTACTACTTTCTGGTACTACTTACTAAAAATTCTACTTACTGCTGACAAGGGTCAAACTTCCTAAAGTTGTCAAACTTCAAAGGGTCAAACTTCCTAAAGTTGTATTCAATTTTCATTACACATGCACATACATTTTACATGAATTCATATTTGCATTAACTTGTATATGTTTTATATCTTTTTCTTATTTTTTAAACATAAATTTACTATAGTGTCTATGATAAGAGCTGCATCTAGTTAAAACTTTTTATGTTAAAGCCAGGAATCTGTTTGGTTAAAATTGTAAACAGCCAAAACATCAGATTACAAAGAGTCAGATTTTAATGCATGTTGATGAAATAAGGCATTAATTTGCAGTTAAATTAAATCAAGAGACTTGATTTACCTGGAGTAAATTTGAGTTTATTAGTGAATCAGATTGATTATTAGTAAGTTGAGATAATCAGTACTCAAGTACCTTGAGCACTGATTATCTTAAACCTTTTTACTTCACTTAAGTTAATTGTTTAATCAAACTGTTTTTGGTCTTTGTGACCAAAAAAACTGTCTTGGCTGTTCGAGTTACCGAGATTTAACTGTACATACATTTTATATATCTAATTGTTTTATAATTATTAAGTTGATGGAAGCATACATCAAGCTGCTGGACCTACACTCAAAAAAGAGTGCTCAAGCCTTGATGGTTGTTGTAGCGGCGAGGCAAAAATAACATCAGGTAAATGTTTTTTAATAATGTTTTCCATTTTTTATTAAAAATTTATTAATACAAATTTAAAGTAGTTTTTAAAATCTTTGAACTGAAAATGTAACATTGTTTTTATAAAATTTGAGTGCAGAAAAACATGGTGTTATTAAGATAAAGAATAAAATTTGGTTTTATTTGCAGAAAATATTTTTAGCCAAAGTTTGTATAAATTAAATTTTGTTCTTTTTTTTTTTTTTTTTTTTTTACAATTTTAAACGGTTTTCTAGTTTGATTTTGTAGCTTATTTGTTTACTATTTATTTTTTCAAAAATAATAACTTAATAAGCAAAATAGCAACTTAAATCGTAACTTTAAGTATTTTACTTTACCTCGAAAAAAGTAATACTCATCGTAGACCATCTGTTTTTCGTTATAAGGGTAGCTTTAATGTAAATGTTAGCTAACCTGATATAAATCCAGGGTTCATAGCACTCAAAAAACAAGAAGAAATACATTACTAAAGCTGAAATTAATATCTTAATGAGTGTGTTGACTTAAGTACAATTGGTTGAAAAGTTTATTAAACAAACTGCGTTTATTCATTGTATGCAGTTTTATTGTTGTAAATCCAAATACAATCATAAGGATGTCTGCAGGAGAAAATTTTTTTTCTTTTAAATTTAAAATATTACACTTTTTTTTCTGATCAAGGTTTCCATTTATTATTTTTGTTGGAGAATTAATAATGCATCAAAGTATGAAATGAATAGAGAAATAGAGGATTTGAATGGTTTTGTTTTAATATTGCCAGTGGTTTCAGTAAAAAAAACTTATTGACACTAAATTTGTTCCTTTCGTAAAAATCATTTTACTGTAAAATTTTTCTATCAAATTTCAAAATGATTCTTAAAAAAAAAGCTTTGAAAAAAGCTATGAGCACCAGAAAAAATTAAAAACATTTAGAAAAATACTCGCAGAAAGAAAAAAAAAATCAGAAAAATTTTAATGGTTTCAAATGGAAAATGTTTAAATTTACAATTTAAATATTCACAGAAATTATTTTTTCATTGATTAAAATATTCATCAATAAAATGGTTTAAACTTAACCAAAATTATTATCAGTAATAAGGGGTCATCCATAAAGTACAACACCAAAAGTTTTGAAATTAGATCCCTCCCCCTCTCCCCTGTTGCCATGTGTACTTTTAAGTCCCACCCCTTAAGAAGTATGTACGTTCTTCCCACCCCCCTTCCTCCAACTTTTTTTTAATAAAAAAGTTAGTTGGAAAAAAAAAGGTGGAGGAGGTACCTTAGATACTTTATACGACCCCGTTTACGGCAAGCCTTTGTTTAAGCCCTTTGTTTACGGCATAGGATCCCAATTTAAAAATAGTCTCCAAATATATACAAATATTAATTTAAATAAGTTTAAATTACATAGAATTAATGTGTTCGATTGGCCGAGAGTTTAATGTTATGGACGAGAGGGTTTAATGTTATGGACAAGACTAGAGTTTATGTTATGGACGGGAACTGTAGTTTGATTCCCAGTCATGTCGTATTGTGCTTTTAGTTTGTTTTAATGACAATAAATATTAACTATATTTAAGGCAGACGTTTTTTTGGCAGCCTATAACTCAATCTAGTTTTAAAATTTTGTAAATCGTAGAATATGATGTTTTTGATTTTCAACCGACAATTTTTGATTTTTATATTGACCCCTAAATTAGGGGTAAATATAAAAATCAAAAATTAGGCTAATTAAAACATTCACTACTAACTTTTCGACCTACTAAATTATTGACCGACTGTATTTTTGTCCTACTGAATTTTCATCCTACTAAATATTCAACCTACTGTATTTTCTATTTTATGACTACACTTTTCTCGTATGTATTTTGTAAATTTGTTGTTGATTTAAATACAAGTTTGATCAGTCTTGGCACATTGGCTAAAGTGCAGTCCTTAGAATAGAGAGGTATAAGGTGCGATGAATGCTTGGAATACTTATTGATTGTTAATCGAAAAAAAATTAAAAAAATTGCAGTTTAAAAAACACAACATTAAAAACACAGAGCAGTTAATAGGTTGAAAATTAATTTATCTCAAATCAGTTGAAATGAAAATCTATAAAACAGGTCGAAAAAAAAATCGATCAAAAACAAAAACATCATAAATCAGTTGAAAAAAAAAAGACAATCGGTTGAAAACAATTTACGCCTCAGTAGGTTATCTGAAAATTCGCTTCACTTTTTAGTAGATGTTCTTTTTGTAGAACAACTTAGTAGGCCAAGATTTTTGTAGATCTAACTAACCAACTAACGAGATTTTTGTAGAACTAACACGGTTTTTTTCAGGCACCCCTTTTTAGTAAGTCCATAAAAAATGAGTCTTAAGCGAGATCAGTAATATTGAAAACAAAGCCTAAAACCAAGTGCCGAGGACAGGCTACCCATACCCCTTAACTGCGAGCGCCCCTACATATATATATATATATATATATACATATATATATATATATATATATATACATATATATATATATATATATACATATATATATATATATATACATATATATATATATATATATACATATATATATATGTATACATATATATATATATATATATATACATATATATATATATATATATATATATATATATATATATATATATATATATATATATATATATATATATATATATATATATATATATCAGGCTTGGTCGGGAAGCGGGTGTGATTGCACTTGATAACTGACCACGGAAATAATATTTAGTTGTGAAAAACCGGCCAGATTTTTTAGTCGTTTTGAGAACATTAAAATTTATGTATGTTTCCTTAATTAAGTTCATTATTTTATCATAATTTTTAAAATATTTTTTTTTACGGACATACATGGAAACATAAATAAACTCGAATATTCTCAAACATCTTTGTGCCGAAAAATAAAAAAAGAATATTTGCGAACACAAAAAAACCGCCAAATCTAGAAACAACTAATTCTATTGCTTTAAATAATACGAAGCGAAATTTCTAGATTATTCTGTTGAATTATTTTTAAAAATTGTGTTAATTGAGTTTTGTTAAGTTTTTGTTGAGATTTCTAGCATAAATTGTTTTAAGAATATACTATCAAAGGAACTATTATTTTAATTCTCGGAGCCACATCTACAAAGCTATAAATGTTTTAAACTAACATTATTTGTTTACAAAAATAAATGTTTTAAATTTATCTTTTTTAACTTGTCAACCTTTTGTAAATATATTACAGATTGTATTAGTATATTCTTATTTTTTATATAAGGGATGTATTTTTTATATATGTAATGTATTTTTGTATATGTATTTTTATGCATGTAATTTTATGCATAATAATGTATTATTATGCATGCATAATAATGTATTATTATGCATGCATAATAATGTATTATTATGCATGCATAATAATGTATTATTATGCATGCATAATAATGTATTATTATGCATGCATAATAAGGTATTATTATGCATGCATAATGTATTATGCATGCATAATAATGTATTATTATGCATGCATAATAATGTATTATTATGCATGCATAATAATGTATTATTATGCATGCATAATAATGTATTATTATGCATGCATAATAATGTATTATTATGCATGTAATTTTATGTATGTGTATTTTATTCAAATGTAATCTTTTAAATCATTTTGTGCAATTGATTTTGTAAACAAAAATATTTTCAATAATAACTACGTTTTTAATGAAATTATTAATAACCATCAAAGTTAATACATGTAATTTTAACCACTAATCCATTTTCCTCAGTATACCCGATAACTAATTCTTTCCCCCAAGAAAGAAAAGTTTATTAAGTTCTTAGAAATTGGTTTACTAACTTTAATTATTTTTGCTTCAGCCATTCTTACAAACTCGTTATACTTAAACTTAAAGTTATTTTTTTCTGTTGTAAATACTAATTAAAATTGTAAAACCCACTCACTAAATATCATCAGTGTTATTGTGAAGCAGTTCCGCTTCCTCCCCACATAGTAATTTAATGTTTTTAGTTGATTTCTATTTAGCTAATTAAATTTCTACAGTTACTAAATGATCTAATAATTTCATTTGTCCATCTTACTAGGAAAAATTGTTTCAAATGTGTTAAACTTTTCAAACTACACAAAGCATAAAACAGTTATTGAAAAAACTTTTTTATTTATAAATAAATCATCTAGTGTTAGTTTTATTGGTTGAATCTTGTTGGACTTTTCAGGGGCTGCATTATTTTGGCGGCCTTTTTTATGTGACAGCGTAAAAATGACTAAAAAAAATACCGAATCGTCCTTTTGACTATTTCGCGGCCAATAACATTGTGAGTCCCTAGTCTACAGCCCTTCTACCCCCCTCCCCTCCCCTCCCCTCCCCACCTCCTCAATCCAGCACTGGAAATAAGACATAAGTATAATCCTCCTCAATCCAGCACTGGAAATAAGACATAAGAAATAGAAATTGTATATACTCTTTGATAAATGGAAGAACATTTGTTTCCTTATTAAACAATCATTAATAGTAAGTTGTTACTTTATATAAAAAATGTCACTTAATTTTATAAAAAAAATTATAAAAGAGTGATGTTTCATAAATATTTTCTCTAATTGTGTTTATTTTGCTTAAAGTTTTTTCGCGTTAAAAGCTATTTTTCTTTTTTTAACTGTCTCTTATCGGTCCAGTTAATCTTAAAGCGCTTTTTTGTTTGTTTTTGAAATGTTCTCAAAACGACTAAAAAATCTGGCCGGTTTTTCGCAACTAAATATTATTTCCGTGGTCAATTATCAAGTGCAATTATCGTGGTCAATTATCGAGTGCACCCGTTTCCCGACCAAGCCTTATATATATATATATATATATATATATATATATATATATATATATATATATATATATATATATATGTATATATATATATATATATATATATATATATATATGTATATATATATGTATATGTATATATATATATGTATATATATATATATATATAATATATATATATATATATATATATATATATATATATATATATATATATATATATATATATATATATATATATATATATATATATATATATATATATATATATATATATATATATATATATATATATATAAATAAACATGTCATATTACATAGAAGTTTGTTTTAAGTCATATTTAATTAATCAATTAATTTTTGCTAAAATTTTAAACTAATGCAACTGATTGTGGCATTTTTCAACATGGTAATTCAAAATCAATTATTATTTAGTTGTTTACACACTCAGAATAAGGTCTATTTGCAATATATATATATATATATATATATATATATATATATATATATATATATATATATATATATATATATATATAACATCATATATATATATATATATATATATATATATAACATCATATATATATATATATATATATATATATATATATATATATATATATATATATATATATATATATATAACATCTTGTAATAGAGGGTACTGTATATTATTTTGAAAAACATCAAGAAATACAATTTTTCTCAATGCTAATAATTTCATGAAAAAAATGAGGAAAATTTATACTGATATATATATGAGCCTCTCAGTGCACTCTTTGATTAACTCCATAAAAATAAAAGTTGAGATTGATTTCTAAAATTCCCGTTATGATATTAAAAAAATTGTAGTCTAATGAACTTAATTAAAAATGCAAAAAGCTATGACTAAATCAAATATGCTGACTCTTAAATTAAGGAGTTTTCAAAAAGTGGATTTAATTGAATTGTGCACTGATAAATTTACAAGTTTATTTTCAAAATTGTTATAGCAAAAGTGAAAGCCAATTTTATTAAACATAACAAAAACATGACAGATTGCTTTAAAAGAAAGTATTTGGCTGTTGGTAAAGAAACAAAATAAAGCTATTTGATAGTTATTGTTTCTCATAAACTTTCTTTTGAAACTTATTTTTATCTAAATAAAAGTAATGAAGTTAAAAGATGTTCTGAGAGAGTTTTTTTATTATTAAGATTTGTCAATCTTAATAAAAAAAATTGGAAAAAGATAAAGAAATACTTAGAGAGAAACAAAAAAAAACAATCATAAAGCATTGGCTTTAGCTAGTACTGTAAGTGCAGTAAATAAATCAAAAATTGATAGAACAAATTTTATCTTTATAATAAAAAAAAATTTTGAACCAAGATAAAGCTAAGGACAGAAATTTTCATGATGGTTATGTTGTAGGGTTCCTAATAGGTAAATTCAATTAAACTATTGGGAATCAACCTCACACCAGTTGATAACCATCATAAAAATTTCTGTATACAAATATAATTATGCTTAATATTTTAGAGCATCAAAAATTTAGTATAACACTTTAAAAAAGAGCAGTTAAAAAAAGATACTGTTTTACTAAATTTTTAATGCAGTAAAATATCAAGCATAGTTATAGTTGTATACATACTAATCATACTATTATACATCCTAATTATATCCATCATGGATTGTACCAAAACATTTGTACAAAGTAAATTTTAAACAGTCTAGTTATATCTATCATGAATTTCACTAAAACATTTGTTCTGATGAAATGCATGATGGATATAATAATTAAAATCTTTAAGTAAGTTTAGTTGCACTGTCTGTAATTTTTGTGCTATAGAGTTTGAATAAATATTTTTGTATTAGCAAACAAACAACAAATAGAGTTGTTTTATTGCAATTCACTTCCCCAAGGCCATGAAGTGGCAGTTGAGGAAGCTACTTTTTTTTAGTTGTGGTTAAAACCCTCTCTCAACTCCAAAACACAAACCTTGACGAACAAGGCTTCTGGGCGGTAAAATAATTGGAGTGTGGTACTACAAGGGACATAATGGAGATCAAACTTAAAACTTCTTGCTTATGAGGCAAGCACTCTACAACTACACCACTTTACTGCAATAATTTGATTCAAAAACTTTCCCAGATACACCATATGAAGCTTATGGTAAAGACATGCTAAACTTTATTGAAAGCTTTAACTTTTATCTTGTATATATTTTTTATATGTGTTTATATTTTTTCAACATCTTCACTTCCAACAAGGCTGCAAGCAACCACTATTAGAGTTGAAAGTTACTGGAAGAAAAAAAGATGAAATTTATAAAGCAAGATAGTGATTAACAGACAACTTAAAGGTTGCAAATTATATGAATCAGAAAAACAAGTGCAAGGAAGCAAATTCGAAAGGACTGATGTTGTCTGTGAAGCACATAGTAACTGATATGCAGTTTGTTAAGTTTTGACATTAATAAGTATATGTCATGTAATCCAACTCATACAATTTCTGTATAATGTTCACTATAAGTTAAACACAAATAAACTCTGTATTTGGGATCCATTGTGTTTTGCCTATCAAAGTACAAATCAAATAAGTTTTTGCTAATCTGCATCCTCACAAAAAAAAAAGTTGTTTTATTGATTGAACCAATAGCATTTCAGACAGCATCCACTTAAATGTTTGATTTGGTTTTGGTAGGTGTCAGTACTTGATAATTTCAAAAGGTAGATTGTAATTACAGTTTAAAATTTTTAAAAGGTGACTTTCCTGAATCTTATTTTGTTGATGATTTGCAATGTTAAAAAAACAACCTGGGTACAACTCTTATTGTTCTTATTAAGTATAATCACATCTTATTGATACTCTTACTTCATAAGTGTAATTTATATATTTAAATAAATAATTTGTGTTTACTCTCGGGGTCTGTATTTTACTGTTTTATGTTATGTATTTTAGAATAAGTGTATTTTATTTAAATCCAAGAATATTACAACTTTATTTACTTATATAAAGCATGTCCTTTTTTTACAAAAAAATAACAATTAAATTTGATCTAATGCTTTTGTTTATACTATCAAAAAAATTTTGATTTATTTTTTTTTGTTTATATTATTAAAAAGAATTGCTATAAAAATAATGGAAATTAAAATCATAATAATTTTATGTAATATTAATTGAATTAAAATTATAATAATTTTATGTAATTTTAGTTGAATTAAAAGAAACTTTTTTATTTCATAAATTATGATTATGAGTTTTTTTTAATACAAAATTTGCCTTCTAAAAGTATGAAATTCTGAAATTATTTATTAATTAATAATATAAATTAAATTCTGAAAATATGCTGAATGTAAGTTTAACTTCTAAACTAAATTTTATTTCTCTTATATTTTATATTAATTTAGTTTTTTTAAAACTCAAACAAACATAAAATTTATGTTTATTTAAAATATCATATTAAGTGCAAAATCAAAGAAATATTATAAATTTAAAAAAAAAAAATTAAACACAAAAAGCTGTATAAAAGTTAAAAAAAACTCAAATATAAAATTTATGTTTATTTGAGTTTTTTTTTATTACGGAATGTATAATCTATAAATGTTGTATTTTACTGTTTTATGTAGTTCATTTGAAGAAATTAAAATTTTGAGTTTTTCTTTAATTTTTTTGATTTAGTTATAGCAAATTATATTTAAAAAATACAACTTCAATTGAATAATTTTGTTTAGGTGTGGCTCACTTATTAATCAAGGAGGGAAAAGGGGTCAAGAAATATACAGATAACATTTATTAGTTGCATAAGTTTTGTGCATTTCATGGCCGCCTGATAAATATGAGCCAGTTTAAATCAAATTTTATACTGTGATGTGACAAGTCTTGTGCAAAAAAAAATAATCTTAAAATGTGTGTTAACTTGATGTTAAATATACCTTAAAATGCGTTAAAAATATCTTATAATGTATGTTAACCTAATGTTAAATATATATCTTATAATGTGTGTGTTAACTTCTAATTAATTTTTTTTAAATATACAGCTTTTTTGCGTTTCATTATATATATATATATTATTTTTTTTTAATTATATAATAGTTCTTTGATTTTGCTCTTAATTAAAATGATATTTATTTTATATTGTGAATCCTTCAAGGCCACTGTTTACCAGCTAAATGTAAGTTTCTTTTTTTTTAGCAAAGTTCTTTTTTATTACAAATAGTAAAAATAAAAATAACAACTAAAAGTAAAAACTATAATGATTTAAATTTTAGACAATTTCTAAATTCAAAGCCTGCAAACTACATAAACTTATTTATATAAACATTAATTTATTTCCTAAATTAATTTTTGTTAAAAACTGTAAATTAGGGTGTCCCAAAAATACAACTTTTTTCACAGAACCAAAAGGTTCTAAACACATCATGGTTGTATACCTTAAATAAAAGAAAAATGCAAAATTTTAGGTCTTTAAAATTTCAGGAAGTGTTAGGTGTAGATTTCCATTTTTTCTTCAAAACACCTAATATTTAAATAATAAAACAATCTGAAAAAAAAAACAGGTTATTTTGGTTCAAAGTATATATTTTTTGATTAAAGTGGGGAAAAAAATTACATTTAATGTAAAATACTTTTTACTAAGGAGTTCTTTTCAATTTCAGAAATCACTCTTTTTCATTCATTTATCTACACTTTTTAAATTCCCTTTAGCAATCATCATGATGTTTTGTCTCTGATTTTCATGACTGTCTACCAGGAAATCTTGCACTAGACAAAGCAGTCATTTGTGCACTAAATATTTGAAACAAAATCTTTAAAAAACTTGAAGCTGGGATTTAGATCTACAAATTTTCCATCAGAAATCCAAAACATATCTTCTATATTAAGATTAAATATGAAAAAAATATACCAACTGTTTTTCCCAACATATTAGTGCAAATGAGTGTTCTTGTAAATGATTATATCACCTCTAATCTCTGGTTTCTTTACTTCAAAATAACAAATATCCTCAAGATAGGGAAAATTAATGAGTTTCTGTATCATTAGGAATTTCTCTTCATTAGTTACACCAGGATCTGCTAGTGATTCAATTACAACATTTTCAGCCAAGTACCATGTGTGTCTAAGAAGAAAATTTTTAGGCTTTTGCCTAATATTTCGTCTTCTTCCTCTATGCTTTCGGCTACTTTAATAGCTTTGCCATCATTAGATGGTGCCTGGATTATGATAGATGACTTCAGAAACCAAGGAATGTAAAATATTGCAATAAAAGGTGCAATTTTGTTGACATCTTCTATCTCCTCCACTGACATAAATTTCAGTTTCTTATGAGTTAGTTGAAGTATCAATAAATATATCCCATTTGCATAAATCTAGCTTCATGACAAGCAGGCGGTTGATAAAGGTCGAAATTTGGTACTTCGTTACTTAAATAGAAAGAACCTAGTTCACATTATCTTATATAGTCTGTTCTCATCTTGAAAAAGATTTTCAAGGTAACAGCATTTCCTAAATATTATTTAGCTTCTTGTGCAATCTGATGTATGTAAGAATTGTTTTTAAAAATGTTGAAATTAAATCTGTCTAATGAGTGAATATCTTCATTGCATACCTGAAAATTTTCAGACCAATTTTTTTTAAATTTGAAAACAGTTATTTTTTTGGTGCCTTAGTCTTTCCTGTTAGTGCTTGCACAAAATGACTGATGCCTCTCTCATATATGTGTCGACAACATAATGTTCACAAGCCACATAATGTTTTTTTCGACAACATTCCTACTTATAAGTTCGATTTCTCCACTATGTGCACCAGTGTTTGAACAGCAGTTGTGTCAGTACAAACAGCAAAATTGTTATTTTTAATTTCGAAATCTTCTAGTGCCTTTTTTATTTGTTTTGCTTGGTCTTTGCCTTTAGATGAATTTGCCTGGAACACTTCTAGTTATCAGGAGCCGTCACTTATTGCAATCACGTCATTGACGATAATCACGTTAATGACGTCACGTCACACAATTATTTCCATTTTAACAGTAATGTTATTTTAAGATCCCATTCATTACACAATTTAGCATTGAAGTGAAGCAAAAGTTTCTTACCAATTAAAACATCTAATTTCTTCCCCTTTGTTTTTGATGGTGTAAAATCTTTTTCTGTGGTTTCCTGATTTTGACAAAAAAATATCTTCCAAATTATGCCCTGCAGGCAATAGAATTGAGGAAATAATTGCTGTATGACCCCTTACACCAAGATGAAATCTTGTAGCAATTTTACTTGTCGCTTTTATCAATCCTGTTCTGATATTGACAGGTGCAACTCATCAGATCCTTGTTTTTTCTTGTTAATAGCACAGAGAAATTTTTATCATCTTTACTAGAGACAACGAAAAATGAGTCATTAGATTAATTTTACTCTTTTTGTCTAACTCATTCCTACATTATATTCTCTTTTGGTAAATCATGTCAATATCCGCAGTTATATACATTTTTATAGTTGACTTTTGGTCGAGAATTCAATGTCCTCTTTAATGGCATCAGGCGATCTGTTGCAATCAGCTTTGATTTTTATTACAATATTTTTCAAGAAGTTCATTTGAAGTTTTTTTATAGTCAGAAGTTCATTTGAAGTTTTTTTATAGTCAGTTTCAAGAATCTAAAGATTTTCTTTTGAAGAGAAGTTCAATCTAATAAGAAAAAATAGACGCTATTTACACATTTACAACTTTAAAAGAGGTTGACACTTAAAATAAAATACAATTTATTGTAAATATATAAAGAAAATCTTACTTTTTAAGATCTATTTGCTTTCTCTATTTTTTGTTGAGCTTTATAATCTTGTCTCTAATGGTCCAACTTTTCATCGGAAAGTAGTTTTGAAAACCTGCTATGCACCAGATATTTACTACTATTTATTTATATTACTATTTATTTATATTACTATTTATTTATATTACTATTTATTTATATTACTATTTATTTATATTACTATTTATTTATATTACTATTTATTTATATTACTATTTATTTACATACCTAAAAAGCATAAACTTTATCGTTATTGTTATATTGATTTAATTAATGTAATATAATACTCTGAAAAAATAATACTTGCTTATTTATAATAATAAAATTATATATAATATAAGTAAATAAATTAAAAAGAGGTGGAAATGTATCATTTATGTGGAAAACCATATAAAAAATCCAAAAGTGCCTGTTTTTCAGTTTTTACACCTAACACTCTAAGGGTCCTTAGCACCTTTAATTTGGTAAAGTTGCTTATTTTTATGCATATAACCAGGATATATTTAAAACCCAAATATTTTTTTTTGGGACACCCTACTGTAAATACCTTGAAAAATTAAAAATATTACCAGTGATGAGCAAACTTCTTTTTGTAACAAAGTTCGTTAAAAACAAATCAAAACAAATTAAATATAAAAGTGTTATAGGTTTAAAAAAATACTGTGTTATAGGTTTAAAATGAAATTATTTATAATAAATATATAAGTGTTTTTAACACAGTAATTTTCAATTTAATTAAATGAAATGTCTTAGCAGGTTGCGTTTAAACATCTGGCAGATAGTTGGTTGTTCATCACTGGTTACGGTGTGCATTGATTTTTTGAAATAAATGGTTTTATACTGCATGTAGATATAATTCATACTGTGGGGCCAGTGGGAAAAAATCCTGACCTTCTTGAAAGTTGTTATAAAAACTGTCTTCAGCTTGTCCTAGATTTTGAAATAAAGACCATTGTAAGTGTTTCATGAATTCTGTTTTAAGATTTATAAGAATATATAAGTATAAATACTCATTACCTATATATTCTTACATTTTATGATTTTGTTAGTTAACTTTTTTTGTTTCATTGATTTAATAGTATCCCAGCAAACATTGTTTTAGTGGATTTGCAGTGGACTTATATAGGCGTTTTGAGCAGTTCATTGGAGTTTTGCTCATTGGTATAGTGTACCATTAGTCGTAGCCACTATAAATGACCAGTCGATAACTTTTTGACATGTTAATTCTGGTTTGTCATTTGTTAGCCACTTTTGATGGCTGCCAAAAATGGTCTACTAAGTAACAAACAAGCAAAACTACAGTGGACTGTTCAAAATGCCTGTATAGGTCTACTGAATTTTCTCTACTGAATGTTTGCTGGGAACATTTTATATTAACTTGTGTTTAATATTATGATGAAATGTTATCCATATTTGGCAATATTATTGTGATATAAAAGTGATATTGAATAATATTTCTTCTATTTATTTATATAGGCATTTTGCTGCATATCTACAGGAATTTATGGTAAACTTTGCTTTTGTAATAATAACTTTTTTTTAAACTTTTTTTTGTAGGCAAAACTTTTTATTTGTAAACAAAAAAAGCCTGTGTAGATAATTTTATTTTAAAATTTAACTTTCATTTTCAGTACTTTAAAAATTCTTTGTTTTCTTCTAATCTTATTTATGTTATAGAGATATAAATTAAATTGTTATTACATAATTACATAATTAAAATAGCTATCGAAGTTATTACATAATTACATAATTAAAATAGCTATCGAAGTTATTCCATGATTACATAATTAAAACAGCTATCGAAGTTATTACATAATTACATAATTAAAACAGCTATCGAAGTTATTACATAATTACATAATTAAAACAGCTATCGAAGTTATTACATAATTACATAATTAAAACAGCTATCGAAGTTATTACATAATTACATAATTAAAACAGCTATCGAAGTTATTACATAATTACATAATAAAACAGCTATCGAAGTTATTACATGACAAATTAAAACAGCTATCGAAGTTATTACATGACAAATTAAAACAGCTATCGAAGTTATTACATGACAAATTAAAACAGCTATCGAAGTTATTACATGACAAATTAAAACAGCTATCGAAGTTATTACATGACAAATTAAAACAGCTATCGAAGTTGTTACATGACAAATTAAAACAGCTATCTAAGTGAATAAGCTATTTAAAAACTAAATAATAATAATAATACTATAAATTGAATATTTTAATTAGCTTATATAAAATAACTAATAATCTCGAATAATATTTCAATTAGCTTATTTAATCTAATGTAAAGTAAATAAAGTCTAAATTTATTCATAATCTTTGAATAACATAATTTGATAACAGTCTTATTTAAATTAATCTATATGATTTATATCAAAATTATTTTTAAAATAATAATAATTTTTTTTCTTATTTAATAATGATAAAAAATCTTTTATTATGCAAAAAATAGAATTTTGTAATAGCGTAGGGTTTTGATGACGTTACAAAAATATTTTGTCCGTATATCAATCCCATTAAAACTTGGGTTATTTAGATTTAAAGATGTTTTCGCTGGATTAATTTCATTTTATTTATTACCAAGTTCTTTAATAATTTGCAGGCAATACTTTCAGAGACTTTTGGTAGAATAGACTTAAAATTTAAAAGACAAATCGAGGTTAAATGAAAGCCAGTTTGCATGTGTTCTGGTTTGAGCCAGGATTTTGCATGTAGTTGTTAGTAAAAAAAACTTTAGTAGTGAAGATTGATTTTTTACAGTTTATAAACAATATTATTACAAGTTTTATTACCACGGATGTTGCGATGTGAACATGCATGGCTTCTTGTTGTTTTTTTTATAAAAAGTTTCCCTAAGTGAGTGAAAAAAAACAACAAGAAGCCATGTTCTGTAAAAAGATTTAAAACAATAATTTGTCTGCTTTTGACGTTTAACAAAATAGTTTAACCTTTCCAGAATTTTGAATAAACGTGTAGATTCTAAGATTCAAGCTGAATTTCAACTAATTCGTGCTTTTAATCAAAAATAAATCTATATTTTGGATAAAATTTTTTTAATAAAAACATTTTTGATTAATTTAAAAGCCAAAAAAAACTCTACTTAAACCTAATGTGAACACATTCAGGGAATAATAGTCAGGCAAAAATGCAAATATATATATATATATATATATATATATATATATATATATATATATATATATATATATATATTAGTGATGTGCCGGGTACCCGGTTCGGACCCGGGGACCCGGCAATTCGGCTGTTTTACCGGGTACCCGGTATCGGCCATTTTGTTGCAGTACCCGGCACCGGGTATCTTCAAATTGATTTTTCCTTTTGTTTAAACTTTAACCATTAAACTTCTTGATATAAGTCTAAGAGTGTTATGTAGTCGATAACCACAAAGTTCTATTAACTTAGAACAATCTCACTTAAAATATTTTTTAATACATTTCTGCAAAAAAATTTATACGGATACAAAAACTGTAACGCTAAATGAAATAATTCGAGAATACGAATAAAAAGAATGGGAAAAAAAGTTTTAAAATAGCTTCTTTTTATTCTGTTGGAACACAAGATAATTTTGCCAAGTTTTTATTCCAACTTTTAAAAAATGGACTCGGTGCTGAGTACCTGGACTCGGACCCGGTTTTTTCAGCCGGGTACCCGGAATCGGAGACTCGGCATAAACTGGTTCCGGCACATCTATATATATATATATATATATATATATATATATATATATATATATATATATATATATATATATATATATATATATATATATATATATATATGTATATATATATATATATATATATATATATATATATATATATATATATATATATATATATATATATATATATATATATTCGAGATATTTTAAATAAATACATAGCTAAACAAAAACTAAAAACCATAACTAGTTATCTAATTAAACAAAAAAAAAAGTTTTATATTAAGTTGATTTTATAATAACTAATTCTTTTATTTTTTTTGAAATTGAATTTGAAATAATCAAATAAGCATCTAATATTAAAAAATACACATAACGAATATGTAATATAAGACTTTTGAAAAAAAGAAATCTTTCACAAACATACAATGATATCAGTTTGAAACATAAAATCATATACAAATTTTTTCTTTTATTGATATTTGAAATTCTGTTTTAAAATCTATTTATATTTAAATCAAGTTTGATGACCACAAACAAGACATAGACCTTTTCTGTAAAACGAATTTTCACCTTGCTCAGAACACACAACACACTTTCTCACCTTAGCAGCTTGAATTTTTCAATCATTTTTGCTGTGCAATTAAAACCGCTTCAAAACAAGACCCAGCTTCTGCTCCTGATTCCTAATTGAATGCAACTGCCTTAATTCTTAATTTATGCAGTTATGCAAACACTCTCCCTCAACAAAGAAATAGTTTTATGTTATTTAACAAAAAGTGGTACATTAAAAATGAGCTCATGCATCTTTCGAGTGATACTTTCATATGGAAAGCAAGCATGAAACTCATTTTAGCTCAACCTTGATATCATCAAGAGCTTGAAGTAGAGCTATCTCATAAGGCCCTGTGTTAGTTGTGTAATTTTTTTTACATGATCCTCACAGGGGGCTCTTTTTTTTAGGCTCTGGCCCATAAAAAGGCCTCCAAAAACAAAAATAGCCCCGGGCCCCAAGAAATCTTAATCCGCCACTGGTATTGCAGTTGTATTTTGTAATTAAACACCTAATACTTGCACAGATTTCTTATTTTTTACAGCTTTTTTATTTTGATGGAGGAATTTAGAGAAATGCGTTTTAATTTAAAAAACTTTTTTTCACTGGCTATCGCGTCTGCAGTTTTATTATGTCTACAATTTACTTACCTAATAAGTGCAAGGCTTCTGCTGTATTAGAATGTTCAATGCTTTTAGCAGCTCACTTTTCACTCGTGCTCACATCTTCACTATTAGATAATAATAAACCAACCTGACAATTTTAAGTCTTACATTCCTTTAAACAATAATTTATAAAGTTTTAACATTCTTAACATAACATGGAAAACAAGAGACACATACATGGAAAAATCACAGGAACTTTAATTGAATGATGAAACTTACCTAGAGTTCTTAGGTTTCCACCGTGTCTATCTTCACACAAAATACGTCTTAGCCTTCTGAATTCAGCCGTGGTCATTATTAATTGACTGCTTAGCTCTTGATTCTTATTTAATATGAAAAAATCATCTGCTGTTGTTGTCATCTGCGTCTGCTGTTGTTGTCATCTGCGTCTGCTGTTGTTGTCATCTGCGTCTGCTGTTGTTGTCATCTGCGTCTGCTGTTGTTGTCATCTGCGTCTGCTGTTGTTGTCATCTGCGTCTGCTGTTGTTTTTTTGTGGAGCTTGAGCCAGATGCATTTTAAAAAATAAAATTTTGCAAACTAAGTTTTTTTAGGCGTGTTAATTTAAATACTTTCATTAAAATGGAAACGACATTGTTAGTGATTTTATCCGCATTTATCGCTTAACAAAAGGAAAGTTTTTTTTTTTTTTTTTTTTAAATTCACCTCCTCAAGGCCGAGAAGGCCACTACAGACTAGGAGGCTACTTATTTGTGGCTATAGCCCTCTCTCAACTCTATAACTCCGAATCACGAACCTTGATGAACAAGGCCGCTGCGCGGAGAAATGAGTTGAGCGCGGTACTACCAGGGACGTGGTGGGGATTGAACTCGGAATAACTCGTTTATGAAGCGAGCGCTCTACCACTACACCACTACCGCATATACATTTATCTTCTCAATTATCTTCCCATTCAATGTATAATTTTAAAACTATACTTGAAAACATAGTTATAAACTCAAAAATTGACGACCTTATAATTATCTAATAAAAACAATAAAAATTATATTTATTGACAAATAGATTCGCTTGATAAAAGAAGATTTGGCAACTTATCTGATATTAGTCTGATTGTCCAAGAGAAAAGTTCAGCGTAACTTTGTTTATCTATTACCAAGGTCTCCTATATACTTGTTCTGCGCACTCCCAAACTATTTTTCAAAAAGCATAATGTAAAAGGGGCCGATGTAAAACCAGTTTTTAAAACAAAGTTTTTAGATAAGGGTAAAACGTGAAACTAAAAGCTTTACAAATCATCTTTTGTCATAGATAAAAGTTTGAACTTTGATGTTTACATAAATAACATAGTTGTTTCTGAAGAATCTTTCCAATCAAATAGATTCCAATTATCAGATTTAGAGAATTTGCTATACTATATACATTATTTAATCGAAAAGGATAGTGAAATTTCACCTGTATCTAAATGTGTTAAACTTTTGGAAGGATATAATTGCACTGAAGAAATTCGTACAAAGCTTAACTTTATATGTGACCAGCTTCTTTTATAGGAAAATTCATGCCAAAGTAGAAGATACACCAATAATCTTTTTATAACTTGTTTGTTGTGGTTACAAGTAGTAAAAGATGCTATCAGATGATTTTACGTGATAACATCTTTACATTGCCATCGAGTACTACTCTCCGAAGGCTATCTAATTTAATATCAGTATCTACTGAAATCAATAAAGAAAATAAAGTTTACCTTGAAAAAAGAATACAGTCTTTGATCAGTAGAGAAAAAATTTTAAATTTAATATTTGATGCAGTTTATATTAATCAAGAAGTTGAAAAGGCAGATGGAAGTTTTTTGGGTATTGTTAATAAAACAGAGGAGCCAGCAACAACTGTTTTAGTATTTTTTATCCCTTCAATTGCTGGAAATTATATTGATACTATTTGCCTTTTTCCTTTTTCTAAAATAAATGTTCCCACTTTAAAGAATTAATGGTTTCAGATCCTGGAAATGCTTAATATTATTGGATTTCATATAATAATTACAACAAGTGACAATCATGTTGTCCATCGTAATTTTTTCATGAATGATTTTTTTTCTTGAAATTTTTTTTATTAATCATTAAACAATGAGAAGCTCTTTATTTGTTCACAAAAAAAAATGTTTTCAACAATTTTGAAAGTCGTAAAATATTTTCTATTCCAATATCATATATAACCAATTACAAGTTTTATTTTCACCTTCTGGTTTAAAATGTATCAATGTCGATTTTAGTGGTATTTTACAAATTTTTTAGTATGAGAGTAAAAACCACTTAAAAGTTGCCCATCACTTGTCCGAACAATGCTTCCAGCAAACAAATCTCCAAAGAAACATCAGCAAAGCAATGTTTCAAAAATTTTCATGGTTGATATGATAACACATGGATGATATAAGATTCATAGATTTAACATTCATGAATTTTTATACTTTTGTTAAGAAAATTTTTTTTGGATAACCTCGTGACGTAATGCCCAGTTTTACATTGCCTGAAACATAAGTAAAATTATCACTTTTAATCATTTTTTACCAGATAACTTTTTTATCATACAAGGTACCAGATCACATTTTATCATACCAGGTACCAGATTCGGAAAGATTGCTTTGCATCCCTACATTTTACTACATAATATATAATTTAAACAAATTTACAGAAAAAAAAATGATTGAAAAAGTTATAGGAAACCCTTCAGAAAAGAAAAAATCGCATTTAAAAGTGTGATTTTTTTTTTTTTTTTTGCACGAATTTTTTATTGTTTTACTGGGATCAATATGTTTTATTGAAGGTTACCCAAACAAAGATGCTGCTCATGTTGCTCTTAAATACGTACGTCATTGGCTACAAGAAAATTATGATAAGGTAAAGTATGATTGCTTGACTATTACATAAAAATTTTGTACTTTTTCTTACCTTAAGAAGACCTTTTAATCTACACCGACATTTCTCACTACTAGACTTGTTACACAATTTTATACAATTATGTTAGACTAGACGTTTTCCGTTTTATTTTTTATCATTTGTGGAAAAAAAAAATCTAACTATAAGTAACTGCCTAAACGTTAGGAACAACATCACTATAAAAATCAAAGTTAGCTACTTTAAATCTACCTTGAAAAATTGGAATGGCATCAAGTCTGTAACTTTTTTTTTTTTTAGATTGATCGAATTATCTTTTGCACATACATATCTAAAGACTTTGAGATATACAAAAAACTCATGTCCAACATATACTTTTCGTAATTCGACAGTTCTAATAAAAAATCACTTAAAAATCCTTTAAAAAAATTATTTTGAGAAAGAACGCTTTAAAAAACATGAACATGAATTTAGTTATTTGCAAAGGATAAATAATCTCTTCTTTATTATTATTATTTTTTTTACTCGTTTTTTAATACAATGCTATCTTTAATTATCGTGCTGCTTGCGATAATGATAACGATAATGATAAGCACCTGAGTCCTCTCAATCAAAACAGTTTATTTATTTATCTTTATTTATCATTTTTTATTAACTATATTTATTAACTTTATTTATCAGTAAAAGTTACAAAAGTATTTAATAAACTACGCCACAATAAAATACTAAACTATATAAACCAATGACGGTGATCTTTCGCCACGATGATGGTGATCTTTGGTCACTAATGTCAATTGGTTCTCATCGTAATATTACTATTAATTTTTTTTATTTGTAACAAAGTTTGCATGGATAATTAATAGGCTTTCACTTGCCAGTTTTTTTATATAATTTATGTTTCTTGTTAAAGAAATGTTTATTATATAAACCAGAGTCAAGTTCCAAATTAATGATCCAGATAGCGAAGAGAATTATTTCCGTACAATTCCGATTCATTCTTAGAGGTACAAAAGTAAGCGTTGCTGTGTATTTTGATGAACGCAGCAGTTATTTACTTCTGATACAGTACATTGTATTTCTGCTTTAGGGGAAGGTTGCGTAATATGAGCAGGTTCCTAAGATGGTAAAACCTCTTACGGGTAGACTACAGAGTTTTTCGCGAACTTTTTTGGTTAAGGATATTCATCCAAGTTCGACGGTGTTATTTATTTTAATTTCTTGGTTGTATAGTTAATATTCTTTGATTGTTTTATTGTTAAAAAAATTTACCATCCCTGTTTTAAATTTTTATTATTCAACATTTTGTAATTAAGTCAGAACGAAACAAGATCATCAAATTTTTATAACATCATCAATTTTAATGATTATCTACTGCTAATTTCATGGATTATATGAGATAATACATAAGCTGTTGTCATGCTATTTAAATTATGATAGTACTTGGTGAAGTCGCTTGAGATAATTCATTTGAGACGCTCAATATGAGATACGGCTTTTTATTAAGAAAAGCGCGTCTTTTTAAAGTTGTTTTCACGGGAGCTTTATTTTGGTATTTCAAGAGCGAAAGTTTTTTAAAAAAATAGTATCGCAAACCTTTTTAGAGATAGGAAGGATTTATTGTTTTTTTTTAATGGTTGAGATAATTACTTTTTACGTAAGTATAGTCTTTGAAGATACAAATTTATTTAATTTTTTGTGTGATAATTTTTTTGTTATTTTAAGTTTTTAGTTCCATTAAGAAAAGCTCATCTTAAGAAGCTGGTTTCCTAAGATGAGATGATTAAGTGTGTTGAAAATAACGCAATTTTTGATATAAAGATTTTTTTTTTAATGAGCCATTCATTTATATTCTTTAAGAGGAAAGATTAAATTATGATAATCTGCAAAAATAAATGTAAATATTATAATATTTCGGCTTCAAAAAAACAATAGACAGTTAACATGCTCAACAAACTCAACCTTTCCCTACTATTAGTTCTCTGGATTGAGAAACGGCTCATAAATCAATACTGACATATGAATCAAAACATTTGTTTTGAAACTAATAAACAAAAAATCAATTAACAAAATCTTCAAAAAAGGTAAATAAGGCGTTTTAAAAGTAACTTTTTGCGCTTTTTTTGGCAGCTCAAATATCGATGACATTGTTCTAGCTCACCTTTTTAGCCAAATCTCATGGTTAAACACGGACCATGGTCAAACGGAGAGAATTTTTTACATTTTATGGTTTATTAAATGATCATTTATCTTCAGCAACTGACTCAGGAATAGAGTTGAAAATCCGATGTATGATGCAAATGTATGGAAAAAGGCGTTCAAGCTTCCTCTCAAATATTGGGTTGAATAGCTGCATTGGATTTGTTTGCTTGAAAATTGTTTTGTAGCCATTTTTAAAACGACGAATTTCTTAAGATTCTTGAACAATGAGATTCACCGTGCATGTTCACATTCACCGTGCAAGTTCTCAAGCTTTATTTCAAACAAGTAGATCATCATTATTCAACCAGACAAATGAAAATATGTTGCCAACTACCCTGCTTGCCTCAAATCTTGAATGAATCTGCTGGATCAGACCATCTAAATTAAAATTAAAAACGTTCACTTTGAATTCTTTTGTTTTGCTGTCATGGAAATGGAATGTGTTTGATGTCTTATCGTGAAAGCGCTTTAGTTTAAACTTTCTTTTAGTAGTAAATTCAGTTTCAAACCCTAGCGGTTCAGCTACAGCTACAGCCTCTTAAAAAATTTGCAACCAAGAGCCACTAATCAGTTTAAGATTTTTCAGCAACTGTCTAATCAAACAAAGCTCGTCATCAATGGTAATGGCTACAGATTGTAGAAGACGACTAACTTCGTAAACAGCAGTAAGTATTTTCCTACAAAACTAGCAATACAAATTCAAAAGATGATAATCATTTGGCAAGTGGTTTGATCAAGTTGGTACGAGAGCCCTATCTTGACATAAAATGTCTATGCAATGAAACTGTTATTGTTGTTTTTATTTATTATATTTAAAGTCAATAAACAATCATTTTACAATGTTTTTGTAAAAATTAAAAATTAAATCTTTATATTCTGACAGGAGCAAGTAGAAGACAATGCGTCTTATCATTCTGCTGAAAATATCAATAACGTTTTACGTATTAAGTTTCTAAAGTATACTTTATATAAGTTTTATACATATTACAAGTTTTATACATATTATAACATATCACAATTCATAAAATATACATAAGTTATAAGATGCACATAAACGTGTTAACAAATCAATATATAAGTGTTTTTGAAAATACAAAAGAATATTTTTATTATTTAAATTTAATAAATATCGCTAAACTATTAATTTGAAAAGTTATGTTTTTCATGTCTAAATTCAGGATATAGTTCCTCGTGGTTCTCAACATGCGATAGAGAAGTCTAATTTTTAAGAGATGTTGTAGGAATAAGAAAATTTCCGATGGAATGTCTTGTAAAGTATTAGTGATTAATTAAGGAGAAATGAGGATGAAAAAATGTTGGGAGCATGTTGTTATGAATTTTAAATATAAATATCAGACTTTGATAGATGTTTAGTTCATAAATATTTAAAACATTAATTTTGTTAAGTAAAGGCTCGGCGCATGCATATCTACCTGCATTCAAAACTAACCGGCTCGCTTGCTTTTGTTTGCGATAAATTTTTTTTAAAGAAGATGAATAATTACTTGTCCACGTTATATTGCAATAACTAATGTGGCTATGAATAAATAAAAAATACAAGCTTTTTGAGTACATTATATTCAAAAGGTGCTTCATTTTGAAAAGAATCCAGAGAGTTTTTGAAATGTTGTTTTCCACTAACTGGATATGATTCTTCCAATTTAAATGATCGTCAAATATTATGCCTAGGATTTTCATTAAATAAACTCTTTTTACTTTAATGTTGTTTATAAATAAATCAGGAAGTTTTAGGGGTATGTTGTCAGTTTTCGAAGGTTTTGTGAACAGAATGTATTTAGTTTTATCAATATTAAAGGACAGTTTATTGGCTTTAAACCAATCATTGAGATTTATTAGCTCTGTGTTAACAGTAGAAAAAGCAAATTTTTAATTAGACCCCGAAAAAAAAAATTAGTATCATCAGCAAAAAGAACAAAGTTAAGGAATTTAGAGGATAAGTGGATTTCATTAATATATAAAAGAAACTGTAGAGGACCAAGTATTGAGCCCTGAGGGACACCACAACTAATAACTTCTAACTGCATACAAGTTAAATCATACATCACGCATTGTTTACGATTTTGTAGGTAAGACTGAATCCATTTTATATTAGAATTTTGAATTCCATAATTTTTTGATTTATAGAGGAGGATTTCGTGATCGACAATTTCGAATGCCTTCGACAAATCAACAAAAACTCCAAGTGTATAATTATTTTCATCAAATCCTTTCAAAATATTGCTAGCCAAATCCATCACTGCATGCTCAGTGCAATGATTTCTCCAAAACCCAAACTGTTTAGGGTATAAAATATTGTTTTTATCAATAAAGTTATATATTCTATTATACATAATACGTTCGAGAGCTTTTGAAAAACAGGAAAGAATTGAGATGGGTCTGTAGTTTGATTCTAAAGAATCATCGCCGTTTTTATAAATTGGAATTATTTTCGCAAGTTTTAATTGATCAGGAAAGTTCCCGTTTTTTAATGAAAGTTTAAAAATAATGAAAAGAAGCAATTCGATAATATCAAGGACAATTTTTAAATAATTTGCATTAATTTCATCAAGACCTGCACTTTTATTTGTCTGAAGCATGTTAAAAGCTAAATGAAGTTTTTCAATGGAAAGTTCCGAATTGTACATAATGGAATCTGATTTTTTCAAAAAAGACTGGAATGTTTTGCTACTTGGAGAGATTTCTTTAGCTAAATTTTTCCCAACATTTGTCTCTTCTTGTTCTATCTTCATTGACTCCTAGCTACTCCATTCTAACGAAGTTTTTAGTGCTAATAGTGTCGATTGCTTTAATGACTCAATGTTGACTGATCAGCTACCACTATAATTACCACAGCCATCATCTTCAGTGCAATCGAGCACGAGCCAAAATAGCTAACTGTTCATGAACTTATAGAATACGCCCGGTTCCATCTTTCAACAACAACTAAATCCTATTTTCTTGTAAAAAAATAGTTTATAATTAGTTGTAATAATAGAGTTTAAAATTTAAACTACTTCTTTCGTATGCATTTTTATTCCGAATACTAAATTTTCAATCTCAAATTCAAAAACTAAACAGGCTTCACATTGTCAATTATTAAAGTATTTTCTTTTTAATGTAAAAAAAAAAACACAAACAAACGGAAAGTTACCCCCTCTGCCCCTCACTCTCGAAGGCCATGCGTGTAACTTGTTGATTTTTGTATTTGTTGCTCTACTTCAATAGATCCGCACATGAGAACATGAATTGAGATTTAAAGAAAGTTTAAGGCAGTTGCTTTTATACCACTTTACTATCGACTTATTAT